TCGCTCCTTCCGCTCTTGATTATCGTTGGCATCGCCTTTGTGAAAGTGAATTCCATCATGGTCACTCGCAGCGGAGACGCTTTCGCACGTGCTTCGGCTTTGGCGGAACAAGCACTGGGAGGCGTACGAACAGTTTATGCATTCAGTTTACAAAGTCGGTTACAAGACAAGTACAGCAAAGCACTACATGGGGTGGAAAGCGCAGATAGGAAGAAATCGAATATTGCCGGATTTGCTTTGGGGTTCTTTACCTCTTTGCTATTTTTGATATTTGCTCTGTCATTCTATCTGGCAGTCAGAATGAAAATTGATGGGGATATAGATGGTTCCAGCGCAGTGGTAAGGTGACCTAGATCTGCGTTTCACCAATGGTGCATGCTGCTTACCACAGGTCCTTTCCTGCGCTTCCAGACGGTTCTCCTATCCATGATGATGTTAGCGGCTTCCCTCATGAATGTGCCGTCTGCCTTATCTGTACTCGCAAGCGCCGCCGCCGCCGCTAGCATCCTTTTCCACATTATATGGGATGCTCAATCGATGGCGCCCGGGGCGAGGGGTGCACAGGAAATGCGAACCCTAGACCGAATAAGCGGAAAGATCTCGTTTCAAAACGTCCATTTCAGTTATCCAGCCAGACCAGAAATACCAATCTTGAACGATTTGCATTTGGAAATTGGGGCAGGGAAGACTGTTGCCTTCGTTGGGTAACTATATCTCTGTCGTTCATGAATTGAGAGATTTCCCGCATTGACATGTCGACCGATATGGATCGCTACAGAGGCTCTGGAAGTGGCAAGTCGACTACCATTGCGCTTCTTCAAAGGTGGGTTCAAACCGACTACGCAAGAACCACGCTTGGTTTCGGTGTTTTGTCTGATATGCAAAACAAAGTAACTCACTTTCGATGGCTCTAAAAATTCAATTCACCAATAGGCTCTATAATCCGGCGCGAGGTTTCGTGCTCGTGGATGGTAAAGATGTGCGCTCCTTGGACCCGCAATGGTTGCGAAGGCATATCGGAGTCGTTGGGTAGGTAGCAAGGACATTTGTTTCTTGGAGATGAAACATAAAAATTTTGGGGTCACCTCACATTTCAACTTGCTGATTAATGGAATAGGCAAGAGCCTGTTTTGTTTGCCCTTTCTATTAAGCAAAATATCTTGCTGGGGACCCACGAGAGCGTCTCAACGTCGCGCTTCCTTGAAGGTACGAGCACTCACAAAACATGTGAGTATGCTAGCAATGGCTAATTACCAAGCGGAGAATAGTTTGCAAAATGTCCCAATGTCACGAATTCGTTAGCAAACTGCCTCTTGGATACGATACTCCAGTAACCACTGGAATGTTGTCAGGGGGACAGAAGCAGAGAATTGGTACAGTACTTGTAGAATCAAAAGACTCTAAACGCAGACGGCACTTATCTTCTGGTTGCCTATAGCAATTGCCCGCGCCTTGATCAGCGACCCAAAAATACTCTTACTTGACGAGGTGTGGCAAAGATTCTATGCGATTTCGTTTGTTCTTTGCAACTTCCGCAAGGTATTGAAAAAACTCTCACTGGCTGAATTAGGCTACTTCGGCTTTGGACACCAACTCGGAACGACTTGTCCAAAAGGCACTAGATTCGGCATCGAGTGGACGAACAACGATAGTTATTGGTATGGCAAAGCGAACTTGAATTGCTTTGCTTATTGCTAATCGGAATTGTTCGGATCATGTAGCCCATCGGCTATCTACGGTTCGGAATGCTGATATGATATGCGTCATGGAAAAGGGGGTGCTAATTGAAAAGGGTCGCCATGAAGAATTATATGCCCTGAACGGCACTTATACTCAACTGGTCAACAAACAAAAACTTTCGGTTGGCCATGAGACTGCACCGGGGAGAGACGAACCGATGGTGTCACAAAGGGAATCCGTTCAAATGGAAAGAAATGAGTATATTATAGAGATTATGCGCGCAGACGAAGAACTCCATATGGACTCTCCAGAAGAACTAGCAGCACAGTCTGAAAGAAGATTACAAGAAGAAAGGAGAAGGAGGGGAGACGTTGTTCATGGCTCCTCCTCGCTGTTCTGGAGAGTATTCAACTTCATGCGCCCAGAGTGGACTTTGATTGTCCTGGGTACTCTTGCTGCCGGATGTGGAGGAGTCGTATGTAAATTTGATTGACGCAGAACAACACAAAGAAACCCGCTTCCGGACCGCTCATTCTCCTATTCGCATAGGTTTTTCCCGGTTTTGCGCTAATACTGGGTTTCACCGTGCAAGAGATAGTAAAACCTGATCCCACCACGGCATACCGGTGGATATCTTTTATGCTTGTAGTTGTTGCGTTTGCTCTGTTTAGGTAACGCGCATAGTTTTTCGATGCCTGTCAGACTACGGCACTTTAGATGCGAAATTCCCACAGCTAACGCATGATCTAAAAGCACCTGGGCTCGTTCGGCACTATTTGGAAGAGTGAATGCTATAGTGACAACCAAACTACGGCTCTTGATGCTGCAAAATTTGCTCAAACAAGAAATGGGATTCTTCGATTTAAAGCTGAACTCCATTGGAATACTTTGCAACAAGTTAGCAATGTGCTCTTCTGTACCTTGTTTTGTAACGGAGGTTTGGTCTGAACTTGCGCAACTGTCATTGTAAGTACACTGTTACTTTTCTTGGTTTCCCTTCACCTTACTTGCTACTAACGGACGAACCCGTTAACAGTACCGCTATTTATGGAATAGGATTATCCATGGCATTTGCTCCGACGTTGGCAGCGGTATAGTGCGGATATTCCTTTGCAAAGTTTATAAAGGTGGACTAACTCCTCCTCTCGTGATTGTGTTTTAGATTCTGCTGATACTACTTCCGTTTCTGATCATCGCATCATACTGGCAAAGCAGTGCCATCTCTCTGTACGCCGATGCGAGTAAGGAGGCTAATGAACAGGCAATGCAGGTTGCAACCGAAGCCATTCGCGATGTGAAGACCTTCAAATCGCTCGTCAGAGAAGACTTTGCAGTGCAGAGATACCGAAGTATGGCTTGCGTGAACTTCATGGCATTCCCTGTGTCTTTCCGGATAGCAAATCGCTCACACTTACTTTGCGATTTCTTCCTTATGTACCGTTCAATCGAAGCATTTCTTGCAAAGCCATTCGAATTGAGTAGGAAAAATGCGTTTCTCGATAGCCTTGCATACGCCGTTCAAGCTACAGCAGCCATGTTCACCATCTCATTGGGACTGTACGCCGGCTCCCGTTTAATTAAATCTGCTACTCTGGAATTATGGCAACTACTTGTGGTAGTGCTCGGAATGATGGTACGTTCTACATTACTTTGATTGGAATTCTATGAGTTTTAGGTGCTTCTTTCTGACTCCTCTTTCAGGTTACCATGATTAGTGTCGCAAGTTCCGCCGGGCTGGCTAGTGCGTATGCGAAAGGCAAATTCGCATCCCTTACCGTAAGACCTTGCTGGCCATTATTTAATTTTTCGCTGCAACGTCCAATATTTTGCCTTAGGCATTTCAACTGCTCGACAGAGAAACGGAGATTGACCCAGAGAAGAATGGATTCGTCCCAACAAATTTTCGAGCTGGTTTCAAATTCGAGAACCTCGCTTTCCAATACCCAACGTCAACGGAGCCCATTTTTACCGGACAATTTAACTTGGAGGGGCTGGAAGATAAATCTCTAGCACTGGTATGATTGGCAATCTATTTGACGTTCACCGCCATTCGTCACATCCTCACAAACATTGTTTTTTTTTCCCGTTGATCGCTTCAGGTCGGTCCTAGGTAGGTTGTAGAGTCTTTTCTTCATTATGGATAAACCTTCTCCAACCACATCTGCATTTTCTACTTATACAGCGGATGCGGCAAATCCACGGTAGCGTCTGATTACATGCAGAACAGTCTCCTACACGAAACTGACAGGAACGCGTTTGTAACGTAGGTCATTGGACTGTTGCAACGATGGTATGAGGCACAGGCTGGCGAGGGCACCATTGGCGGAGTCAGAATAGCGGATTACCAGTTACTGCAAGGGCTACGTTCAAACATTGCTCTAGTAAGTGTTGCCATCGCAAAGCATATAGATGGTCGAGTTTTTCAACGCAGCTATGGGATTGCTTCCCAGGTCGGTCAAGAACCCATCTTGTTCGACATGAGCATCGCGGACAATATTGCTTGGGGATGCGAAAGACCTGTCACAATGGACGAGATTATTGACGCTGCCAAACAAGCAAACGTTGATGGATTTGTTGCTGCTTTGCCTGACGGTAGGTTGGCAATTTATTTGCCTTTTTTCATCGTGGAATGATTTGTCACTACCATCTTTGTTTGTGCGGGCAGGTTATAATACCAGAGTAGGAGAAAAAGGAGGACGCTTATCTGGCGGGCAAAAACAACGAATAGCCATTGCGAGGGCTCTTATAAGGAAACCTAAGTTGCTATTACTGGATGAGGCAACGAGTGCATTAGATTCTACAAGTGAAGCAGAAGTTCAAAAGGCCATTGATAAAGCAGCCGTTGGGCGAACCACCGTGACCATTGCACACAGGTGAGAAGGCATCCTGGCGCATGGGCTAATAACAATGTACAGTGACTCATAAAAGGGTTCTGTATGTCCTTGTGCTTTCAGGTTATCAACTATCAGAAACGTTGATTGCATTGCCGTTGTTTCCGGTGGGAAAATAGTTGAGATGGGAAGGCATGAACAACTCGTTGCACTCAACGGGGTGTACGCGGGTCTCTGTCGGCAGCAGGATGTGTGAATTCCAACGTGTACTTCGGATCATAGATTAGACTTCCCTGTTACTGTATGGCACTTCCGAGGTGGTGAGTAAATTCCAAGCCTTGGAATGAATCCCCTTTACATTGCAGAAAACAAATTGACATTGCCTATTGCACCGATATATCGAGCTTCCCAATTCCTTGAGGAATTCGGCGCCCATTACCCTGGATGTACTTAGAGCTGTTGGCGCCGCGTGCAAGTTTCGGAGATTGCCTGAATCTAGTTTCCAATGCAGCACCGCTCAAAAAAAGATGATATCAGATTTTCCTAAACAGTCTGTGATTTGGCATTGAGGGAAAATGGATATCAATTGTTCGCATCGTTGCGTCATTATGAGAAGAAGATGCCCCACGTCGAAATGAAACCTTTGCTGATATTGATTTGAAAGTGTCACAAATCGAATCAAAAGTGAAGAACCAATCAGACATTGCAACTACTATACAAAGGTTTGAAATGAATGACAATGCTTCCTCTCGATTTGGAAGGCGTACATCTAGCCTCAGCCTAACCTCTCACCAATACTAATAATCCTACCTAATTCAACACGGACATATGTTTTCCATCAGCAAAAAATGAGGTTGATGGAAACATTCATGTTGACGCCGTGAATTGCATTGCACCCCTTGTAGAGGGCAACACTCCATCTCGGATTTCGACAAAGGCGAGATCGTCATCGCCAGCACAGGTGTAGTAATGAGTTTCGACCTCCTCCTTTTTGATTGAAGAGGTTCACCCAAAACCACTTTATTAACAAGGATCTGAACGTCTTCCAAAACCCGGGCGGACCACTCAACACATGTGTATTGTTTGATCTGGATGTCCAGACGGTTGAAGTATTTGAATTTAAACTTAATGAGTATCTAACATTTGAATCAAATTTCAAAATCATTGGTAGTTAGGTCTAACTTCATACAATGATAGGCACAGCCGACGATAGGATGAAGGTAAGAAGGACGTTTCATGCCCGCTCCTATTAATAATATAAAACTTTGATTCTGATATCGATATCAATTTTTTTCCCCAGCATATCGAAATGAGCAGAAACCCGCGACCGAAATAATAGTTGTCCTGTGGTGCTGCGACGTGAAACCTTATGTGGCGATAAGTAAACATGGTGTGTGCCTAAACGAATCGTGCAAACGTAGATGGGGTCAAGTCGTGGCATCCTATGGTTGAGCCGAAGCCTTTACCTAAGAATCTTGGTTCTATTCATTATAGTTGTATGAGAGGTGTTAAATGGCCTTGGAATCGCTGGTTCCTTTCTCCTCATGAAATCATCGAGGATTCCATGAACTCTGGGACGCAGGGTCGTATATCAACTGAAAATGGCTGGCGAATGCAACAGCATAACCCGGTATAGAAGGTGCCTATTTAAAGAGCTTTAAAGAGCAGTACGCCCACATTCCGCAGATCACTTACGCCCACTTACAGAAAGAAACAGGGAGCGCGCTGATAACAAAACCCAAATGACAAAGAACCTCCCCTCTGCTATGGTTATTAAAAGACATGGAGATATGGAACAAGCCAATAGCATATATCTCCTACATAGTGTGGAGGTGATTGAAAATGGCACTAGGACCCATTATTATCCGGATTAATCCGGTTAATCATATCGCATAATCAGCACCCCCTCTAACTCAAAAACGGTGTGGCATGCATGTAATGTCTTTTTATTAAACTGCGGTGAGGCGCATGCCAAAGGTCTGTAAAAGGGGAGCCTTTGCTCTCTCTCCCCTTCCTCACCAGTTCCTCGACTCTCAAACCATCTGCGCAACCCTCATCGCGACTTGGTCAATCATGAGAACGCCGATGTGGTGGTGCCGAGGACCTCGACCGCCCGACAGCAACCGTGATCAGAACCAGCGGCAACCAATCGGATCCGATAACAAAACTTACTATTATGCTGCCACATTAGTTGAGCTTGGTTGGTATGTATCGATGGCATTTCTTGCATTTCTTGTCATCGGGTCATCTTCTGACATGCAGTTTTTAGTCTCCAAGCCTTTGTCACTGAACATCCTCTGGCTTGTGACGCTGCCCAGTCGATTCGCTCCTGGATGCAAGAGTCTGGCTTCAATGCCATCAAGAGTTCCAGATCAAGGCCTAGTAGGGACCGTGTGTGGTGGTGGGCAATTATCCGGTTAGAACCAACCGTTACGTATTGCGTGTATAATTGCCTAGTAGTAGCTTAGCTTTTCCGAACCGGTTGTCGCCGGTTTATTCTCTGGTGTAGTAGCTAGTGCCAGTTTCTGTCACCTCTACACTATTGATGAGAAACACAATAATACAAAAAAAGGATTCGCGTATCGAGTTAAGGTGAAGAGTTCAGAAAGCTGCAAATGTATTTATCGAGTTCGTTCAAGTAACCATCGAAGCGTGCGCGGGGAAGTTCACGCTTGACCCGGCGAAACATTCTTCAACAGACTTAACTACGCCGGCAAAAGCGCAGATCTTTCGAAAATAGGTGCCATGGGTTTCAATATTTTCCCCGACGTCGTCCTCTTCATCATTTTGTATCGTGCTGTTGTGTGTAGGTTCAGATAGCATTGACAATAAATCTCCTCTAACCCTTCAATGACCGTCCATGTTGTCTCTATACCTTCTCCATGTCTTCGACTGACAACAGATGGGGCAATGGTAACAGCGACGTTAAGTCCTGCCCATCCTCCAACCTTTCCACTGCTTCTCAAATTTCCTCATACCATTTTTCAGTGTCGTTCAATGAGAATGATTTGGACAACGGTAACATCGATTCTCTCTGATCGTGTGTGGCTCTAGCACGTTTGATCTTGGCGCCCTCTTCTTCTTGCCATATGTGAGACTCGGCGGCGCTTTGGGCATTTTGTGAAATGAGGTGTTAACAGGTTTCTGCAAGAGTATAAAACTAATATGGTAGGTAAAGGACTTGTTCCTACCCCTATATATATCTGTGTTTGGGATCTGGATTTTCAGAATCGATATACTTAATGTGGAACCCTAAAAGTAGTGTCAATTCGCCAGGGGCAAAACGATTTTATGGAGTTAAGAGCACTTTTTCAACTGCAAACTGAGATTATGCTCTTGGGTTCCCATTAGTATCGAATGTTGAATCAAAAAACTAAATGATTAATGCTTCTCCGAAGAAACTTAAAACTAAAAAAAAAAAAGGCTGAGGCTTATGGGAGAAGCCTACCTATTTCGTCCAACTTTGTGTTGATTTTGTACACACCGTTTTCGATATCATATTGTCCGTCTACTGGATACACCAGTTCCCTCGTAATGTCTCGGCAACATACATGCCATCGATTCGTACCGCTGTCCTAATTTTACCCTTCAGCAGGATCAAGACAGAATCCGTTCTATCGATTCGTAGACCTTGGCAAAAGTGAGTTCTCCTCCTTATTGTCTTGTTCCCACAACTGCCACCAAGGGAAGGGTGATTGCATTGGTAACGTCACCATCGCTCTTGCATTTCATTCTTGCACAGGACGCATTAACACGCCCGGCCCGCAGACTCTACCACCTCCCTTTTCCTCTGGATGGGACTGATGTTGTTGTACGATTGCTGCTGAATTCTGTCGAAAAGGGTGCAAGAGTCTTTTATATTTTCATATTATCAAAACACAATGGTGTTCCTTCACGACCTGGGACTCGCAGCGTACCTCAGAGTGCGATGCATTGCGTACGCTGTAGACTCTCTTAACTGCATCTGGTCTCCATTGCTCGCCGAAGTCTCCATAAAAGTTGTGAGGAATGCCTAAGCGCGTTCGTAGATACATTCTCCATTCCGCTATGTTTCCTGATCGCGGAAGCAATATACATGCCCCACTTTCCGGCATTGTCAAATGCACACTATTTTTCTTTGCAGAATAGGAATCTATGCCCATTTCCCTTTGTCAGAAAAGTTCGAATTTCCGGTTGCATCAGATAAATCCAAATATTTGACAATGATTTCGCCATCTGGCGGCAGCTTGATGGAATCCATTGGGGTAGCGATTCTTGTTGTCCGAGACGATGAGGACGTGTCTGTCATGAATGGTTGCGATGTGGTGTTGAAAAGATCTTCGAGACTCGGCTTCAGAAAGGACCCTGTCGAGGACGAGCCGGACTTCCCTATTTCTCGATGGAGGAATGGTGGCGTATAGAGCGAGAGCAAGGTATTTCTGAACTTCCGGAGCAAGTATTGAAGGGTCGGCATTCAATCCCATTCCGCACAGTCGATCGCTGACCTGTCTTTGTCCCCGCGCCGTCTCGAGAAACTGCGGGAAGAGAACGTGCTACATCAGCACTTTTAAACCGCAAAGACAGTACCGTGGCACGAGGATGATCACATACCTGGTCCCACAGAAATGTTGGACCATCGCCTCCTATGACCGAATTCTTTTGTCTATCAGCCAGCGTCTGTTCCTTGTTCCTTCGACTTTTCACGCGGGCGATTTTGGTGCATCTTGGGAAAGGTTCATCCTACTGCACATGGACATACTTCAAGACATCTACTGCTGCAGTGATGGCGGTTGGCAATTGACCCATGTGCCAACCCACGGATGCTGACCAAATAGCAGTCTATGTACTTGTCCTTAATGAATACAGGGAAATGGACAAATACAGTTAGGGGCGCCTCATCCCGCGGTTGTAGCATGTTGGAAGCTTCCCTAACTTACGAGGAGCTTGGGTGCTTTTTCCGTTTCGACTATTTGAGCCACCCCAAATAGCCACAAATGCCTTCCCGAGGCTTCGCAATGGTTTGCGCATTCCGGGGTCTACTTCCTCGCAACGGTTCATTTGGTCGGGAGAAAAAAACCCGCGAGGGCGTGAAACTCGGCATCATTCGTTGGCGTCATCTCGAAATCCTGGAGGGTGCAACTGTAGTAACACTTGAATAAATGCAGGGCTATTTAGACCCAGAAATCATAGAATGTGACTGATAAAACGACCCACTGGTGCAAACACTGACTCACCACTTGAACTTTACAAGAGATTTGACCCCCTTTGCCAATTTCGTCTGATCCACATCAGGTAATGTCCTTCAGCGGTCTCAAGAAATCCTCGCTTCCCATATCCCTGTTGTCATCTTCATTGCCGCTTAGTCGTCGCCTTTCACCATTCAGAACATAAGAAGTATGCGACGCATACACGGCAAAAGTATCGCCCTGAAGATCTTCCTCATCTTGGACCGATGGGTTGTTCGATCTGCCGAGCCTCGTAAGGAATGGGTAGCGCGTCCTCTATTAATCTGGTCACGGAACAGACATTGGAGTGAGCCTCTGGCAATGGTAAGAAGACATCTCTTCTGTCTTCATCGGTGTCTTCTTCTTCATCTATAAACCAAAGCGGTGGTGACAAAAGGGACACTTACCAACAGCTGTTTGCATACCAAACAAAAAGGCTCGGTGCATCCCTTGCCCTAACCCCTAAATGTCAGAGGCGGAAACTTGAATAACTCGGCGAGTCCATAACTTATCAACAAGATTAAAACGGTTCTGAGAAGCCCTAGATTGTGGCAACAACCTGATTATATTACTCTTCTGGTTAGGCGGCATGCAGGCCCAAACTCATTTGCTACTTTCTCAGCGCTATCATAAGCCACCTTTCATCTCCGCATAAGTCAACTCTAAATAGTATCAACCGTTTGGAACACAGCAGAAACACTTGCCTGATGATATACTCGATACTGGTTGTATGGTGTAAAACACATATGCCTCACTACAGTACATACCAGTCTTCATGGGATATCACAAATTGCCCCTTTTTGACGTTACATTATGGATTCCCCATTCATTTCCCCACACTGTGGACTCATTATCCAGAAATTAGGACCGACCGGACATATCAAGATAGAATGAGGTAGGATAAGGTGGAAATTTACAAAATGTCTGTGTATAAAGCAATGAAAGAGGATGCTTCCGTTGCATAGGCATAATAACATGACATGACATGGACATTTACTTTCCACTTTCCAGAGAGAGGACATTCCGCTTCAAGAGCGCGTCAATTGAAAAAGAAACAGCACTAGCCGACAGTAGTCCATCCTAACCTTTCCAGTGGAAAAGGCGCCGGCAGTCTTATTTTTGGGGCTGCTCACAGCATGTGCACAGGTGGATCGAGGTTGATGCTTGAAGGGCAGTTGATGGGTTGCGACTGTGCATCAAACGTGTGGTAGGTCCATTTGCAAGAAAAGATTAAATGTTCTTTTGTCAAAATGTCAAGACAAGTTGCACCGATTAACATTGGTACGCCATTTTGGACGTTGCCTGGGCCGGCATGAGAGTAATCGTCGTCGCCTGTTCGTCACGTATGACAGTGGATGGCAAGGTCAAGAACCGAGCCGCTAATGTACCAACTGCAGAAGAGCCAGCCGCCGCATTTCGGGATTTGGTAGAGCCCGCTGTTTGTAGTCGGATGACAAAGATGGCTCTCAAAGTGTATCCATGGACGGGCTCAAGGTTTAACTTGTTTAGACTATCACTACCGAAACCATTCACACAAGGAAATCTCTGTGCATCGGCTTTATCGCCATCAAACAAACCTCTTTGGCATCGCTCCATTTCATTGTCAAGAAACCTTTTGACACGCCAAATCATCCAAAAGCGTCCATGGGCACATCCCGTCCATCTGCGGTTATTGTCCATGTACATTGACTTCATGGGACAGATGGCACAATCATTTAACTGTTCTATAAAGAAAATGGGTGTTCAAAGGGCCCAGATATGAAACAAACGGCGAGGACAAAAAGCATTTGCACACTTTATCAAGATTTGCTAGCAACCGATCATAGTAACGACATGGCACAGTCATACAAATACGTTGCACTGCGCGCCCGCAACTGGAAAATAAAACGCTTTCAGAAAGAGCTAAACAGCAAAAGAAAAAAGATGCCTAGGAAAAGCGTGGGAAAAAAAAGTGAAAAAACACCTCAAATGGCCTCTTGTTCGACGTTTCTGCGCCGCAAAGGGCTTTTGGACGCCGTCGTCGTTTTTACCGCGACGCAGCCAAACAGTCGCTCCATTCCAGAGTTGCTGCTCGGCGGTTTTTGCAGAGAAGAACGTTGACGGAGGTTCAACCGAGGGTGAAAAATCCAAAGGTTGATATTCCGACAAGAACGTGAAGAAGGGCGGCGGGGTTTTCTTGTGGCGCTTCTCACATTTCAACAGTGCCCTACGCGACATTGTGACGACCGACGACGGCGAAAGGTAGCACTCACACCATGCGTTCGACAGCGATTGTCACCTCCCTTGGCCTAGTGGCAAGCTGGGGCTTTGCTTCATTGCCTCTGGTCTCTGCCCAGCAAAAATGCTTTCCTCTCGAGGCAAATACCCTGTGCGGGAGTGATTTTATTGGGTATCCTGTGCAAATGCCTTCGTCGCAGTTTGATACTGCCCTCCAGGCTATGGCTGCCAACTCTCAAGCATTGGCCCGATCGTTGCAAACCGACAGTGGATGTACGGCAGCCGGCAACAAGACGTTAGCCGCGGTGGATACCTTGCGGTACCAAATTTCCATGTGGTGTGCCGGGGCGGTCATTGATGCCATCGAGGTGGCAAAATGCCAGCCTACTGCAACAGCCCAACGCTCAAAAGATCCTACGATTCTGTGCAGCGAGCAATGTAATTTGGCAGTGTCGACCATGTCAAACCTCTTGAACAATCCTGATGTTTGCCCACCTCCGACGAATGCAAATCTTACCAAGTCCAGATCGGACCGAATCAGTCTGTTCAGCAATTATTGTAGCACGGTCGGCAAAAAAGATCAATCAAAATGCATAATTGGTGTGGCAACTGAAGCAAAGTCTTGCGGTGAGTTGACATGTAGAGAACATGTGGGCAGCCTAGCGAAATCTCATAACCTTGTGGGTCCAACCAGGATTTACGACATCATCGGTAGCGCGTGAGCAGTGTCAGGCGCTGACCAAGGACGATTGCTGCAACCAGTTGATGGGCCGGAAGGTTGCTGACGATGGAAATAACTCGATCCTAGCTCCTGCACTGGGAACCGCAACCGCCATCGTCGTTCTTGTTGCCGTGTTTATTACCTGTTGCGTCTGTCGTCGAAAACGAAACAGGAGAAACAAGAACTCTGCTAGCAATCGTGATACCTGGCCATATAATACTCAAAAGCCGTGGGAAAATAAGGAAGCTGGAATTTACAATAATATGAACCGTCCTGGAGACATGCATTCCAAGGCACCATCTCCAGATTTTCGCGACAGCTGGACTCCTCGCGGAAATTTCGAAACCCAAATCGACATTAAACCACCTCATTCGACATATCAGTCGGACAACATCTCTATGTCACCCATCACGACCTCTACCTACACATCTCAACCCTCGCCAGTGTACCATCAGGAACCGCTCCAACCTGTATCGGCGTCGCAGAATGTCCAGGTTGATTTGCCGCTGCTCCAACTCACTCTCCATCTAGCAGGCCCTGGGACGCTCCGGTTGTGACGGCTCAACCTGCTCAGGACCAGTCACCAGTTGAATCTAACGAAGAAGGAGAAATCCTCAACATTCCTATGAGGGTAATTCATCCCTATGTTCCGTCTCTGGCGGACGAGCTCCCTCTTGAAGCTGGCACTGAAATCATCATGGTTCGCTCTTTTGACGATGGATGGGCCTTGGGACTTATACCTAGCACTGGACAACAAGGTGCCTTCCCGCTGGTTTGCGTCGTACGGCCAGAGGAGACATCAAATGACAATATGGGCGTTGAGACAACCTTGAATCTTCCCGAGCCCACTGATGGCCTTGCGTTTTCAAAGCGTGTGTCGAGCCAGCAGTTTTCCAAAGTTGACTTGAGCCGTTTCGGTACCCTGGATCGCAGTCTCGGAAGGCCCAAACCTGAGCGTGACAATCTCCCCGCGCCCATCGATACAGTGAAGCCGGACCCCAACCCAATCACACCCATGCCCCATGAGTCATTTGGACAGCCTGCTCCGGAAGCCAACTTTACGATCGGCACCTTTGACGAAGAGGAAGAGAAGCAATCTTTGCCCATGAAAGCACCTCCGAGGGTAGTCAAACCCCCATCACCCGATTCCAAGATACCTCAATCGCCGGACGATGCGAATCCATTTACCGGACCCTTTGACGATAAACACATAATTGAAGCGGCGTTTGATTCCCCCAAAGCACCGACTGCAACCACCTCCGTGACGACTACTGATCTTCTGCCTAACGTCCAAGGAGGATCACCGACACTGAGCCTCGCACCTAGTCTTCCGGAACTCCGGCTCAGCACCGTTGATTTGAGTCTGTCGTTGGATGGGATGAAAGCCGAGGTAGTGAGTCCAGGGGAAGATGACAAGGATGACAACCCATTTAGAATGGGCGGTGACTAGAGGGTGCGTCTCTGGAGTATTACAGAAAGCACATTGATAGAGATGGCAAGACTCATATTGATTGTTGTTTGCCGTATATCATTTTTACGTAGACTTTGTAACTGGTTTTTGTATTGATTAGGCTTTATTCTTTGTATAAGTAGAAGCATACCCCCACCGTGTGGTTTTAGAGTCGAGAACGGTGGGATGAGTTAGAAGAGATTATATTGATCGATAGAAAACTCAATGAATACTAGTTCGTGAGCTGATATAATTGTGGTGTTTCATGAAGTGCTCCGTATAGTTTGCAGAGAGTTCATTCAAAGCGCATATCTTATGGCCATGATATTAGTATGCTGCTCTCGGTTCTTGGAATAGTCACAAATTTCATCGCTGGGTTTATGAAAGGTTGATCATCACAGCCATCACCAAAGCGTTCGACGGGTAAGTTAGGATACAAATAACAAACCACCTGCCGAAATCAGCCGCCAAGGTAGTATAGTGGTAGTACATCGCGTTGTGGAATTCCGCAGAACCGCGTCGACCCGAGTTCGATTCTCGGCCTTGGCATCAATGCGTTGAATAGTGCTTAACTTTTTCCCCTGTGAACAGATGTAGGACCGAAGAGAAATATTCTGAGGGTTTGAGGCGCATGTGTGCTGTAGTGTTTTAAACGTTCTTCTTCATATATGTATTGGTTGTCATTGGAGAAGACGGGGATTGTGCGTTTTCTAGTCAAAGTGATCCATCCATCTGTGTATGATCTTGTTGAGCGAACAAGAAGTGTTTCGACAAGATGAAGCATTCACAGTCTTTGTGTGTTCGGCCCGATCCATCTACATAAATCATTCGCAAACCAAGACATGTGCTGTGCGAACAAAACATCCATCAAATCGCTCAATATTACACACCTCCCACCATATACATCAAAAAAGGAAGCATCTTTCGCAAAAACAGCGACTCATCGAAAGAAAAAACAATCCTACAAAAACCACAAGTCACTACCTCTGTCCAAACCCAGCCCCCTTTTTAGCTTCCTCAAACGCATCGCCCGCCCTCTGTCTAACATAATCCGTCACGCCCGCAACCTTGTGTCCAATACCCACATCATCTTCATTAGTAACCGACGATACATCCTGAACAGAATCTTTGGTCGCTTGAATGGCTTCCGATGCTGTTTGGGAGGTCCGTGACGCTAATTGCTGTGCAGAATCAAAACCAGATGTTGTTGATGATGATGATGTGGTGGAAGAAAGGGGGTGAGCATGTTGAGCGAGTTCCTCTAATTTTTTGGTGGTTGCGTAGGCGAGGAGATCTTCGTCTTGGCCGGGTTCGATGGAGGGGTCTGGGATGGGAGGTGTGTCCTCGTTGTCGTTGTTGTTGTTGTTGTTGAGGGGGTTGAGTGACTTGAACATTGTTATTTCTTTGTTGTGTTGTTGAATATGGTGCGGTTTTTCTTTGTTCCTTGTAGAAAGTTTCTGTGTTTTTGGCAAGTGTTTTTCTGAGCGATCAAATAAAAATGGTTTATATAGTCGCCTTTACTATATGGGAAACACGTAATATTTCAAATTGTCACGTCAACATGACATAACGAAACAAACGAGAAAGGTGGTCGGTGGTGGTGACCCAGCGCCCGCGGGATACTGATATGTTTAGTTGTGAGTAACTGTTTTTTTTTTATTTATTTAATGACGAGGTTTTGGGGTATTTTTATTTTTGGTGGGGGTGTTTACCACCGACTGCGAGTTTCCTTTTTGCAAGTTTCAGTTGTTTTGAGATATTGCTCATAGGTAGCCTAAGCTGTGATCCGGACTCGCAACGGGACTCTTGACCTTTATTGCTTTTTCAATGACTCTAACAACTTGTACATCTCCCAGATCCCCCGTTAACATGTTGATTTGACGATTTTTTGATTTGCGTTTGTTCCTAATGGACGTTTAAAAACCTACATGTTGGGTATAGAAGCAGGCATTATAAACCAAGGATCGCGGCCAAAACAAGAATTTTCAAATAGTAGGTTACAGAACCCTCTGACAGTAGAGCGATATCATGTTTCAAAAAATTCAGTGCATGCAAAATTCGATTAGTGCTTAAGAATGTGGACAAAAAGCCTTTTAAATAACGTTAAAAGCAATGAAACGTAATTCTCTGTTCATAGATACTTTATGATTTTCTTTGTTAAAGAATAGCAAATTTCAGTTTTCATACCCGTCTTGACCTAATAAACCTCCACAATGTAAAAAAAAAGCGGTGAAAGTAAAGGTTATAGCATAGCAGAATATCCAACAAGTGTCAAGAAAACGACACTTTAGCGAAAACATGTTTATTACATGCGTTTGTATCCCAAGAACCTTGTAAAAACAGGTTCAACATGATTGTTAGGCAAGAGTATTCTGTTTGTTTTCAAAAAATCAATATCATCGTTCTCTTTGTTCAAGCGAAATACATTTTGTTGATATGGACTGCGTGAGACAGCTCATCACCCAACAGCGTATCAATGCATGGAGTAACAAACACTTGAACTTGAAAACCTTACTTTAAATCCCATCCCGTTGTGCCAACTTTTCGAAACGCAAAAAAAAAGCTTTTAAACCCTAACCAAAAAAACGAGTGTGTCCTGATAACCTCGTATACAGGTGGACAGTAGTGGACATGCAAAAACACATGATATAACATGACCTAGAATACGAAAACATGTGGAATACGGGGACGATAAACACTCATCATCATGTCGAGTAGCGTATCATGGTACTGTAGGTTCCATTTACTGTTTCGAAAATCATAAAGAAAACCATTATTGCATCAGACAAATACATTGTCAGTCTTATACGACGTGAAACACAAGTCAATCTACATCAAGATGTCCATACTGTGTTCCCCGACCATATGCTAAATCACGTACGTTCGTAAGGATTTCAAACAGCGCGTGAGATGTGATACATATAGCAAGGTCCAAGAGTCACAGCAGTACCGGCGCCTGTCTTTTCAGATTATGACTATCAATCCCCCCCCAAAAAAAAACACACACACACACACACAAAACTCTTCCATTAAATCCACAGTCTCTATGCATATACAGATATCCCATAAATAAAATAAATGTATCTACACACTTCTACATAATCTATTTCTTTTTCTGCGCCGTGACATTAAACTGAAAATGAATAATATCCCCATCCTTGACAACATACGCTTTCCCTTCCTGTCGGTACTTGCCCGCCGCCTTGACAGCCGCCATACTCTTGGACCCATCACTCAAAGATTTAAAGTCATCAAACGCGACAACTTCTGCTTTGATGAATCCTCGTTCAAAGTCAGAGTGGATGACACCGGCGGCTTGGGGCGCTAGTGCGCCGTTATAAACACACCACGCTCGGACTTCTTTTTCGCCCGCTGTGAAAAAGTAAATAAGGTTGAGGGAGGAGTAGCCTGTTGTGATGATTTTGGGTAAGGTGGAGGGGACTGGAAGGTCTTCTGACGTGGAAGAAGTGGTGCGGGCTTCCCAAAGAGCTTGTTCGTATTCAATGGAAAAGGGAATGATGGAGCCTCCGCCGTGGGATGAAACCCAGGCAGCGATTTTGGCAAGCCACTTGTTTTTCCGGCGGATAAAGTCGGCTTTGCTGAGGTTGACGAGGTAAATGACGGGTTTGGTGGTGATGAGACGGGTTTTCTCATTGATGAGTTCGACTTCAGCAGTTGACCATTCTCCGCTGGAGACTGGGATATTCTCCTCGAGCATCTGTTGAATGCATTGTGAGTGCGCCTGACATGAAATCATCGCTTTTGCAACCACAATGGAATTACCTTTTTCAATTTTTCCATAGTTTCCAAAAACAAGGTGGAAAGCTTGTACTTTCCTCCCGCCTTTTTCACAGCCAACTCTTCTGCGGTAATGGCTTTCCCCACAATTTCCAAATCCTTTTTGCACAACTCTGACAAGATCGTCTCCAAATCACGCACAGGATCTACTGAATCATCCACGTGCACAACGTCCGGATTGTCAAATGCCCTATAACATTGCATGAGCCAACATTCCTACCATGTGTCGAGCAACCAAAACATTTGGATCTCACCGAACAACATGGTAAATCCCATCTACAGCCTGAATATGCGACAAGAATGCGTTTCCCAGTCCTTGGCCCTCGCTCGCGCCTTTGATGAGCCCTGCAATGTCGGTGATGTGGAGGTAGGCGGGGTACATGGATGGAGGCTTCCAGATATCACAGAGGTAGTCGTAGCGGGCATCTGGGACGGGACAGCGGGATTCATTGGGCTCGATCGTGCAAAAAGGGTAGTTCTATTTATTAAACATGGGATTTTACGTCATTCATTATTCTTTCTTTAATGGTGTGTTTATAAAATGTAAAACAACACACCTCTGCAGCCGCAGCTTGTTCGGTCATTAAATTGAACAAGGACGACTTGCCGACATTTGGCAATCCCACTACACCCATTTTGAGATTGTTTTTGACTCGGCCGAATCGAACGGCGTTGACGGGCTCGGCAGCGGCCTTCTTTGGTGGCATGGTTGGGTCAATGTAAATGATTCAGATGGGTGGGAGAAATGCGCAACTGCCCGCGAAAAAGAAAAAGGCAGACCCATCTGCTGAGGTCAGCAATGGCTTAGCACTTAGAACCCAATTTGACCCTTTTTGGCTATATGACATGCTGGTCACGTTCCCAACATCATGTGACCTTGCTTTGATCCGCCCCTGCCGACGGTGCCGTTTGCATCTACTCGCAGTGGGGGGGATCTCTTGCAAAAAAAAAAAAAAAAGATTTCCTCTAGTTTTGGGGGTTAAAAAGTTGTTCCATACCGCAAGGATTGCCGTTGTGACAACACACACAAAAGACATCAAATCAGACAATGAATGGGATCCCTATACATTTTATACGTTGTTTTTGCGGCACTATAGTGTCCATAGATGTCTGACATCCCATTAGAACTGAAACTTTTATTTATTGCAATGCACTAGTGATCATGCAACCAATACATGAATGACAACAAGAGGTATGCGATCCAATAACGTTTCCAATAAGAATAATTCCCTAATATGGCTATATTGCTCGTTATCAACAATGTGACAAAAAGACTTCCGAGTGTCCAATTATTATAGCCGCTTCTGCTGAGAATGATGGGAAAACCAATCAATTTGCAGGTGTATTCCACGTGTTTATGTGAAAGTGATTCAGCCGTGTGGAGTGATCACATGAATGATATCATTCCTAAAAGGATTTCCAGCACATTCCCCCTTTCTTCCTTTCTTTTTCTCCTTGGCAACTCTGTAATCCATGGGAACTTTCATGTTGTTATTGTTGTTGTCTATTGAAAGAGTAGAGAAAAACGCCCCCCCTTGTAAATGTCACAAGTTGCAAATGAAATTTGATAAGGAGGCTGTGCGATTCATTTCTCTTGTAAATTTACCGCATGTTTAGAAGAGAGAAGAGAGAGAAAAGGGATCCCACACACACAAGGGGCATTGGCACAGTCATCTAAGAGTACAAAACTGCGAGTTACAACAGTCAATAAAAATCACACACAAAAACAACCCTTTGAGTGTCTTTTTAAACTTTAGTTCCCCTCATCATATATGGTTCGATTGCATTTTAAATAGGAAATTTCTTACTCATCGCTACTTTTTATCCGTTTCTTGTTGCTTGGCCTTCTCCTCCTGTTCTCTCCTTGCAGCGCGCGCCGCCATTTGTCTTTTTTGTTTTTTCCCTTTTGGCGTTTCGGCGTTTGAAAAAGCAAGTTACAAATAAAATAAATAGTCACCTTGTTCCTTCTTCTCGTCGATTTCATTATACGTAAATACACACACTTACGGTTGGAAGATGCTACCGTCGCTTTCGATGGTTGATACCTGCTCTCTCTCTTCCGCTTTCGACTCGCTCTTTGCCTGCTCAACATCCACCATGCCCGACACATCTACGCTCGACGCTGCCTTGGCCTTTTCCACAGTCGACGACTCGGTCCTCTCCCAACACGTTGAACTCACCTCCTTTGTCGTCCTCTTGCTCTGGAACAGAATACCATTGGACGTCCTATTGCAAATTTGGTCTACACCCGATATCGGAGGCCATGTAAAGTTTCGAAATTTCGTGCAAGGGCTCTTGTCCGCCACCAAAGTGTCCTCTTCGGTCGTGGTCTTGGCACTAAAGTACCTCCAACGCATCGCCCGCTCCCGCCACACCTTGGATAAAGACTCGCATCTCCTTGGCGAAAACTCGGCTCAGATCGCCCTGCTCGTCTCGCTTGTCCTCGCAAACAAGTTTGCAGACGATGAGCGATTCACAAATTCCGCTTGGGCCACTGTCGCCAACGTGCCTATTGAAACCCTCAACACGGCAGAGCTCGAAGCTCTGTTTGCCATCAACTTTAATCTCCAAGTTAATGAAGTAGAATACACGGCGTGGATCACACGCCTATCTCACTTTGCTTCCGAGGCAGCGTCTGCCTATGAACGCCAGGAACTCAAAAAGCAACAGGCGCTATCACATCACTGCTACCTCCCCTCCCCCGTCTCGCCACCTCCCATCTCTCAGGACTATTACCCTCGCGCCGCAGAATCCTCCGTTCCCCGTTCCGCGCGAGCCTATCCCACACCCTTGTCAACAATAACACCACAACCACCACCATCATCAGCAACAACACCACATTCATTTGGAAGTCAGTGGGCTCCCACTGTCTCCACCTATGGATGGCAAGATACGCTGTTTAAAGGAAGCATGCATGGTGGACAGATGGTGATGGGCCATTGAGATCCTGTTTGATTAGAATCTTCTTTTACGAAATGTATATTTAATGAGATACCCGCGCGAACAAAACAAAATCTCTTTCTGCCTTAGTTATTATCACTGAACATGTGGTGGTGGGTGGATTGGACAGAACTTGTAAATAATAGAAAGAATGGTTACATACAACACACTTTTTGGCAATATCTCTAATGAACTTGTTGAAAGATTGGAGGCGTTTGGAGAGCATGGCCTTACGTGCATGGCCTTTAGCAGCTGAGCCAGATGCGCTCATGGCCGCAAACTCCGCCCAAAACACCTTGCTGCCAAGCCCCCTCCGCAAATGGATCGTGGGAAACATCTGTGCAATAATCACGTGTCTCCAAAGTGGGGAGGAAAATCTTTATTTAACCGATCTTGTTGTTGTTGATGGGAGACATTTTGCATTTTATACGCCCATTGGATCGGACAACAAAGGAGACTTTCTACCATGTGAGCAATAATGTGAGTGCACGTGGATCTCACACATCATTGCAAAGAGATAACAAGACAAAACAAGAATGGAACAAGGGTTTTACATGACGACAACACAACCACCCGATTCAAAAAGGACACTATCATCAACATCACAGGGCAAAAAAGGGCTTGAAAGTGAGTGGTGCACGAGTTCCTTTTTACGTACATGGATGGAACAATGGGAAATTCCATTGATGCTTTCAATTACCATTGGAACGGAACGCCCGATATCGAACCATTGCGTAGAAACAGTGGTTGTTTTTCATGGGGATGTTGCCATGGTATCCATCGTATCATCGTAGATTTTACGTGATCTTTTTACTTTGTAGAGTACTCGTGTTTTTTACAGGTGGCATAGTTCCTGGAGTTGGCCAGTCTGCAGACTAGGAATGTTAACCTATATGACGAAACCCCATTTTATCGCTCCTCTGACGTTCCAATCATTCATGACTATTCCAATAATAGTAGCATATGTTGTCCAACCACCGTTGATACATTAGTGAATCCATATTACTTGTGTACCAATGTCAGAGGAATACGCTTTGCAGTTGATGTTGGTTCACGTTGTTGTGTCAAGAGGGTTTGCTGTAAAAAGTTCTCGTGAGGAATGTCTTATGGCTGTAAGCATTTGGATTGGGACACATTACATACAGGATACTACCAGGCCCCATTACTCGCATATCTACCAATGGCACCAAATTATTTCATCGTACTCAATGTTGGATTTCCGTACACTTGCTTTTAACGACCTTTGATGTGGCCATGACCTTTTTTAAAACTCTTGATTCGACTACCTGATTATTTCCATCACCCAAATGGCGAACCCAAATTACTACACGTTCATTTGTGAAGCAGAAGATTTCATCTTTACTTTTGCTGTGCAAATGTTTTGTTTCTCTCTAATGCTTCATTTATGAGAAGGCTCTGGCTCATTTGGAATAAGCGATACATATGTGTGTGTATTTGGATAGAGGGTATGGAAGGCTGTCAACTCTGTGTACACTAGATCCTCGCCCAAACGATCGCACATAACCCTTGAAGGTTTCTGCATCGATTTGTATGGTCTTTGTTAAGGACTTTTTGGCATGTCTGCCCGTATCTCTGTCACCTCTACACTAAAGACTGCACTTGTCGATTCGTTAGATCTGCATGCAGGGTCGCGTATGGCGTATGTCCGAAATAAACGCTGTGTTTGCCCAAAATGGGTTAATGAAAAAACGTACCCCTACAGGGCCAACTCGCACGTCCGCATCGTTCTTCTTTCTCCCACGCTCGTTCGTAATTTCCCATTTGCAATCTTTTCGTTGAATCTACACGGATCTTGACGCACTGACTTGCCGATCGTTTGCCCTCTTCGTCCCCTGACCCTACAGCATCTCATCTGGAACGATTTTCTTTTGTCGTGGTCATACCGAATTCGTTCATTGTGTGTGTGCCCTTCCGTGGTTTTTTTTTTTGATCACCTGCCAACCCGGTCGGTCGTCTACAAAAAAAAACCCGCTTCCCCTATAGTCGCCGCACATTTTACTCTGTATCCTCATTGTACTTTTGTTGGTTTTTGGACGGGGTGATATTTTGTCAAGATGATGGTGTCAAATGAAAACCCGCGGTCGAGTACCTCGAGAGCGTCGACTGCGCCTGATGTGTTACGGAGTCGGAATCGGAAGAGGGATGATGCTATTCGTAAAAAGGTGAGGTTGAGAGAAAGAGTCGGTCGGTGAACGGGATGGGCGTGGTTTCGTGAAAGTTTGGACATTGTGGCTCGGATCGGTTGGCAGGAGAAGTTGTCGACAAAGCCAACAACGGGCCGATCCTAACCGTCTTTTTATGCTTGCTAGGTGGAGCAAGAACTCTCCCGCAAGACGGGTCGCAAAAGCCATACGAGTACGACATCCCGGCGCATCAAATCCGGTACCGTCTCCTCCCTCCGCCCAGCTCCAGCAATCATTATCCTCGAAACAGCTCGAATCGTCCAGGCAGCACAATTAATGGCTGCCAAGCGTGCTGATGCCGTACTGGCTGTCAACGAGGAAGGAGCGCTTGTAGGCATCTTGACAGATAAAGATATTGCCTATCGTGTTGTTGCAGAGGGACTGGATGTGCGTGCTACCCTCGTGTCGGCCGTCATGACGAGAAATCCAATCTCTGTTTACGACAAAGGGAACCGTAACGAGGCATTGAATATCATGGTGTCGCGTCGGTTCCGCCACTTGCCTGTCATTAGTGACGGCCTTGGTGGGCCAGATGACGATCTGGACGATGATACCCTGTCCGAAATGGGAGCGGGAACCAGTGTAGTTGGCCTCCTTGATATCACAAAGTGTGTCTTTGAACGTCTGGATGATTTGGAGCGAAAAGTTAGCGAAGACCAAAATATTATTAATGCCATGGAAACCCTTGAGCGTCGTGGTTCTGTCGCGTCAGAACATGTTGGGCTGGTCCGACAGCAACATGGGTGCCCGGACGTGGGTACCGTTCTGTCTCAAATGAATGTAGAGCACGTGGATGACATTGTTCCTGAGATTGGCATCAAGGCAACGGTTCGTGATGCCGCGAGGGTCATGAAAGCCAATCACCAGACCGCCGTGCTGGTTAGCGCTGGGGAACAGGATGAACGCATTGGAGGTATATTTACGACAAAAGATATTGTGCTGCGGGTTTTGGCTGCCAGTTTGGATCCTACGACCACGTCTGTTGTCCGCGTCATGGTAGGTTGGTCGGTTTTGAGTGCAGTGTGTGGTGTGCAAACCTGACGAATTTGTTTGTAGACACCTCACCCTGATTCGGTCACGACGGATACATCGATTCTAGATGCTTTGAAAAGACTTCACGGTAAGAAAATGATCTGATCCTTGCTTGGAGTACCGAGTATTGATTTTCTTGTCGTTTTCGGGTAGCTGGCCATTACTTGCATCTCCCTGTTGTAGATGCGGGAACCCCAGTTGGGCTCGTGGACGTGATGACATTGACGATTTCCATGCTGACGTATTTGGTAAGTTGTATTCATGACAAGTTAATCAGTGTGCTCTGTACTGACTTTTATACTAGATTTCAAAAGATGGTGGTGCGGATGTCTCTGCTGAGTCTGGGCCGATGTGGAACCGGTATGTTATGATCAGTACGCTTGCTATACACTAAACCCTGACACTGACATATCTTGTAGGTTCTGGAACTCGACGTTTGCTGCTTCGACCGTCGAGACCGAATCCGACCGGCACTCTGCCGCATCTGATTCCATCGCCTCTTCTGCCGTCTCCCACAATTACCTTCCTCCAACTCCCAGCGAACGCAACTATCGGATGCACCCGACCTCCCCTCACCCCTTTGACCACACACCGCACCGACCCGTGGATGACTTGATGTCCGCGGTGGGCGCATCGACCATGTACGCCCGCTCCGTCATCGACGATACCCACTTTGCGTTCAAACTCCGCGACACAAAGACCTCCAAAGTGTACCGCTTCACATCCCGCACAGACTCTTTTTCGGACCTCCTCGCCAAAGTCCGCTCTAAAATCCCTTCCGACGCACTTGATGAGCAATTAAACTATATTGACGATGAAGGCGATGTCGTTGCCTTGACTTCCGACAAGGATCTCGAGGAAGGCATTGAGATGGCGCGCTCAGCGGGCTGGAAACGCCTCGTCATCTTTTTTGGCACTCCCCCACAAAGTTTACCTTCCTTCCGCATGGATGATGATTCAAACAGTTCAGTCTGTTCCTCCCCCATCTTGCGTCGTCGACTTCGCGGGGATGAAGGTGCGCTTGTACGTTCTCCAGTCGAACAAAATGGTGTGATGCAGTTTTTGCGAGATGCGCCTTTACCTGTCAATGTAGCCATTTCGGCGGGGATTGTTGTGGTGGCTGGGTTGGTTTTTGTGAGGTTGGCCAAGTAGTAGGTATATTATTTTTATTTTTAATTGGGATGACAGGTATGTGAGGGAGGATGACGGGGTTTTTGGTGCAGGGATATGTAAATATATAATAGGATGCAGGATGCTTAAACGGGTGTGATCATTTTACGTATTGCAGCATTTTGTGTGTTAATGCAGACATGTCAACCGTTTCCACTATGAAAATGCCAGTCCCCCGCATACGCTGTTGATGTGCCAAAAGAATTAACGACCTAAACGAAGATTGCAGACTCTGTCGTTTTTGGTTTATCATACGCTTAAAAAAAAACAGTTCCCTATATCTGTTCAACACATTCTCCCAATAGCAAAATCCTTTAAATCACTTTCTTGTCCACATATCTAGATTTGAACAATTGGCACGGGCTGTGTGGTATCTGTGGCGCGTGTAGCAAGCCAGGGTTGCAACTCTCCTCTGCATTCACGCGATCTTTCAACTCTCTCCGCTCGACAAATGACTTGGCAACTTGGCAAAAATAACCTTTTCCCCCCACAAAGGGAGGGTGAAAGCCACAACAACAAACCTTACACGACTGACATTCCCTCCTATTCTTGAAAAGGATATATAAAGACCATGTCCCACTTGGTTCCCATCTACAAACCATTTATCGCGACCCACATTCCAAATGCCACTCAATACCTCCCCACCAACATGCTTCTACACCCACCCCCCAACCCGGCCCTGGCGCCGCATCCACGAATCCATTGAATCCATGTCATGGGGCATAGTCTGCATCGTCCATGCCTGGCTCCTAGCATCCGGCACACGCAGCTCGGCCTTTACTACACTCATCAAGGGGACCGGCATCGCTTTCACTGTCATTGGCGGTCTCCTCATGTTACTTTCCTTGCTATGGCTTGTGATGCGTGTGACGGGTATGATTGGATATCGGGAGGTGAAGGCTCTGGGGGATGGAATTGTTGGTGTTGGGGTGGAATGTGACAAGGGGTTAACGAGGGCTGTGAGATTGGCTTTTGGGTATGTTTTCATGGGGAGTGGGGCGTTGGTTGGGGCCATTGACAAGTAAGTTTTTGTTTTGTATACTGGACATTTGTAAACTACTGGTTGGCTTCATTTTTTTTTCTGCGTGAAGCTACGCTGCAGCATCAATGGCCACCGTGCTTCTTCTATGCGGAATCGCATGTCTGTTCTCGTGCAAGGATGAAGACCGGCCTGTCATTGTCCTCGACTGTGACCGAGGTTCACATCCGAAGCAATTCATCAGTGCAAAGACAGGCGAAATAGAATCATCAGCCAAATTGCGAAAACCTGTTAAATACGCGGTTGTTCCCTCATCTTACTTTGTTGTACAAGAGGAGTTTACGTGTCCTTGCAAGGTGGCCAAACAGCAGCAATGTCGCTTCACTGGAAAATACACCCAAGCAGAGCTTGTTTGTATTGCCTGTTACGAAGCTCAACGGATGAACATTACGCATGTTTGGATGGCAGATTTATGCGTTGGGACCGTCATCGATGGGAGTCATGAATGCTGCGGATTATCAAACAAGGACCAAGCACGGCTGATTGACGGTCGTCCTGCACGCATTTTCCAGAATGCTAGAGCGGTCATATTTCCCGTTCTGGCCTGCCCATGCGCAGCGCACAACATTCTTTTTCCAAAACCGTGGAAACAACGCATCTTTGACGCTCTACGTGGTAAACTCAAAGTATCCCTACACGCAACTCACTCGACACCATCTGGCAACGTGACGACAACCTGTGTGCATCATCTCACAACATCCCTGGATACACGCCTTTCACACCCTTCTGCCCTTCAAGAGCTTTTATACGCCCGGAAAATCAGTATCGTTGCAGCGGGACGCCATCACACTAGTGCAAATCCTGACATACCCAACGACCCCTCCACAATCTCAACCCGAACAACACACTTTCAAACTTGGTTTACAAACGTTTCCAAAACACTGGTATCGTGGCGAAAGGCTAGTGCACTCTCCTTGTACCTAGAACTCGATCGACGATATACCCACCTCCAATCACCAAAAAGTTTCGATTCTACCGTACTTGAAACCCAAGAATACACCATCCTAAAGCACCTACGCGACATTTTACACTCAAAGCCGGCTGGATCTGTCTCCCCCCAACCTCCCTCTCGGCGCGTACCATCCTCGCCAAAGCCTTTACATGTACCGGCGATCCATCCCTATTAACCCTCCTACATGACCCAACAATCTCCATCCCACCCACACCCTTCTCACACCCCGTAACAATCACATCATCCGTCTCTGCTCATTTACACCAACCGACATCCATGATTCCTATCCTAACAACCGGCCCATTACATCCCGATCCAACACCCGATCTTGAATTAGCTGATAAACAATTATGGTATCCCGGTATCGGACGCGGAACAATCCATACATGGTGGACCACACCCGCCGCAACACAATGTAAATGGCTGTTAAGCACAGCTCGACTTGAAGAAGAATGTCGTACGGCCGACGAGAAGATGAAGGGGTACATTGCGTACAGGGTTACGAATGATAAAGTCGTTGGGATGGGGTTCTTTGAGTGTGAAAAGAGGGTGGGGTTTACTAGGACTCTTGTGCTATTAGTTGATGTGGATTGCTAGAATGGGGATTTTGTATACAGTACATTTTATTTTTTTTTTTTGGTTTCTATGTATACCCGTTACTTGAATCATATCAAGGACGATTGAATATAGAGATTTGTATTTTTTTGAATGGATGTAAAAGTATTTTTTTGGGTGTTTTTTTTTTTTTTTGAGAAAAGGCAACCTTTTGTTTTTTTTACAGCATGTCCCTCGAATGACATACGTAAATGATGCAACATTCTGCTTCGTCCAAAGACTACAGTTTTGTCGACTTTTGGGAAATTAGCCAGGCTGGGCGTATCAATTTGTTAAAAGCAGTTGGGATCGAAATCACAAATAGTAAAAACATTCGAGGGAAACTAGGAAGAAGAGGTTCATCAGTAGCCCGTCAGTATCCACAAGTTGCATGCATCAGAGTCGGTAGCAACTGCCAAATTTCGGATGGGGTGTTGAAACCATAATCCAATTCCGCAACAGGTCTGCTGGTTCGTTCCTTTCTCGTCTCCGCCAAAGAATATGTAACGTGTACGCTTCCATGGGATAAGCCCACTAGAACCACAATAGTGCACGAGAACAAAAAAAAACACACAGTTTGCTAGCGGTATGCTATCAAGCTCTATTAAATGATAGGGGACAAACGAAATTTGACTACAGGGAATAAGTAACCGGAAGCACCCCAACCCCACCAGTTCTGGATATATAACCTCCATACGATCCAGTCCATTGTTCAGTGACCTAGAACATTTACGGCTTATTTGCCACCAGTGGTACCAAGACCCATGACGGTCTTGAAGGTGTCGTAGATCCACCATTGAAGACCTAAACAAAAACTCGGTATAAGTAATCACGATCTTACATGTGCAAGCATATGAGAACGTACCAGTGAGGGTACCGATCATGAGGACACGGGTACCGAGACCCTTGGTTGCAAGGTTGAGGTATCCAAACTCGGAGGCAATCTGTCCAAAGCCCTTGCCCTTGTTGGCGGGCTTGGACATTAGCGAGACAACAGTGTCGGCAGGGTGGGACACAATGGCGCAAATAACACCAGCAGAGTAACCAGATGCAAAGGTAACACCGAGCTGGGTGGTTTTGGAGTAAGACTCCTTGGGCTTTGTGAAGACGTAGGTGTAAAAGAACTCGACGGCCTTCTCAAAGAAGAAGAACTTGGCAACAGTGTAAGGAATCTGGCGAGACCACAGAGGAACCAAGGAACCAAAGGGGAAGCGAGTGATCGCGCTGTCGGCACGCATCTGAGCAACAGCGGGACCCAACGCGGTGGGGAAGGTACCAGGAACAGAGGTCTGAACCTTGACCTTGACCATCTCCATGGGGCAAAGAGCAATGTCGGCAAAGAACTCTGCGGAAGCAGAGGCACCACACCAGATCAATCCCTTGTACTTTTTGGCGTTCTCCTCACCGAGCAAGTTGGAGTACGTGTCCTTGAACATTTCGTAGAGACCGTACTTGAAGGCACCTTGCATGGAGTAACCAATAAAGGTGGGAGCGTATCCCTTCCACACAGCACGGGCTCCCTCTTCGGCAACAATGGTACGAAGACCACTGATGAGACCCTTGTACTTTGCAGGGTTGACCTACACGAGATTGCATCCAAGATGAGTTTTATTTCTTTCCCATCGCGTCAAAACAGTCCAAAAAACAAAGGAAACCAGGACATTTCCCGTACCTGCATGTTACATTTTGTCACATCAAGAGGAGTGATGGCCGTGTGGGTCAAACCGCAAGCAAGAACACCACCCAACATGCACTTCAAGTAGTAGTTGGTATCGTGAGGGACGGGACCGGCCGTACGAGCATCCCACTGTTTGGCAATCGTAGTCATGTCTGCTGTGTGTGTTGGATGAGGACCGGTGGAGGGAAGGGGGATCGTTTGCAAACGATGAGGAAAACGGGATGAGATGCCCTCAAGTTGAGAAAAAACAAAAAAAAAACCCCGAAGCGCGCGGTATTAAAATCAATAAAAAAAAAAAGTTCCCGAATCCTTTTCAAGGCGAATTTCAACTTTCCGCTTTTTGCCGATTTTGCAGTTATTTATGGACATGGCACAGTGACATTATTACATGACTTTGGTCTTGTAGACATGTGACTGTGCCACATGAGCTAATTGCCAACAAGGCAACTGCCGTGTCAGCTGCAGTTTACGACACATGGCCGACACGGCATTTGACGAGAGTCTGGCGCTCCTGCTCCAACAGGAAGAGGATGAATTGGCAGCTGCATTTGCCTCGCAGGGAGGATCGAATGCCCATGCAGCGTCTACACGAACGAGTGATGTCGCCGATCCCAACCCAGATTTGCACGCGCTGTTTCTGGCGTTTGACCAACAGGTGGAGCAAAAACCCATTGCAAGACATGAACACCTTGGCCCAAAGACACTAAACTGTTGGAACTAGTACTTTGACGGTAGACTTGCTAGTGTTGAAGTCCGATGGAGCGATCGCATGACGTGGGTAGGCTAGTCAGTCCAACCAGCGCAGACTCGCACATTACCCATTCATGTTATCTTGCATAAAGACTCTGCGCTGGAATGTGCTACTGTAAGCAGCCTCAACCCCGTCCTTTCCATCGCCACATACTCTGATACGCAGTTCAGACTACAAGGGCGGGTATTGCTCCATCCGCCTTAGCGAGCCGTTACTTAAATTCCGGCCACGAAGTGACTACATTAATACTCTCCTCCATGAAATGATCCATGCGTACTTGTTTGTGACGCAGAATAATCGGGACCGGGAGGGGCATGGGCCAGAGTTTTTGAAATTGGCAGAGAGGATCAACAAGGTTCGTGTGTGCTTATCCATAACTTTCAAATGGTTGCATGATTTGTTTATTCTTGATGCTGTTGTTTACTTTTCTGGGGGATCTCTGGTAGCAAGCGGGAACAAACATTACAGGTAAGCCATGTTCTGTGTATAGCGTTCAGACCGGATGCTCATTTATTTATTTTCCAAAGTATATCACAAGTAAGCCCATCGATACTGTTTCTCTCTTTCCTTCCAAGTCGTCTCACATCTAGTCAGCTTTCACGACGAGGTCAACCACTACCGCGTTCACGTCTGGAAATGCGACGTAAGTCCGGATTCATCTTCCTTCTTTCACACTTTTAATCACGATACCAACAGGGCCCATGCCAACACCGACCGCCATTTTTCGGCATCGTCCGTCGATCCATGAACCGTCCCCCTCAACCCGCCGACAGATGGTGGTCAGATCACCAAGCAAGCTGCGGCGGAACGTACCATAAAATAGCCGGCCCAGAGCCCAAACCGAAACGAAAACGCAAAGAAGAAAAGAGTGAGGACAGAGTTGATAAGGGCAAAACTGCGGGCATCGATGATTATTTCGTTCAGCTGGATAAAAAGATAAAATCAGAGGACGACACACGACAGAATGACAAAGTGCGAGCACCGTCACCTCATCATAGCGAACTTGTCATGGACCTCACGGGCCCGCCTCTCAAACCTTCCAAAGAACCAATACCATCCGCAGTCGCCTCCCCTCCTGAAAGTGTCTCTTGCCCCGTATGCGGTAAGACAGGCTTCACTTCCACGGAAATCAATGAGCACCTGGATCTGTGTCTGTGGGAACAGGGTGGGGGATCGTAGCGCACGGTGGAAGGAGGTACCATAAGGTACATCTCATGCAAATGTAATCTTGGGCAAACACAACTGGCGCTCTCTTGCTTTTATGCGTAAAAGTCCATCTATGATGCACGTTCATAACATCGATGGGACAGTGTGGGAAGGTGCTATACGTGTGATTTTTTATCCCTGCATGCATGGATGCATTCCTAAATGATCCATTATACTGTATATTTGCATACCGAGATATAGCTCCAAAAAGAATATATGCATCTGCAAAGATATTGATATAGTACAGGGTCCACACAGCAAGCATCAGCGTACACATAAACCCTTTCCGTCTTTCCAATCCCATTACTCTTCTGCCTTTGAATTCCTAGTTCTTGTTCTTTTTGTTGGGGCAGAAGCGGGTTCTGCCTTCTTTTTGGCGGGCGCCGCTTCAGCCTTTTTGTTCGGTTTGCGCGTCTTGGTCTCAGCAGCAACGCCGGTATCCGCAGCATCGGCTTTGGTGCGCTTTGTAGCCCGCTTTTTGGGAGGCGGGGCCTCTTCTTGTTCATCGGGTTCCGTCTCACTATCGTTTGTCTTCTTGGGTTTTGCAACCCGCTTTTTGGGTGGTGAAGCCTCTTCATGTTCATCCGGTTCCGTCTCACTATCGTCTGCTTTCTTGGGTTTGCGTTTTTTAGAGGCTGCTGAGGACTCTTCTTTTCCTTCTTTCTCTTCCGTTTCTTCTACCTCTTTCTTGCCACGCTTTGCACCAGCTTTTGGCTCCCCATCCTTTTTCTTTGCACCTGCCTTCGATTTTGGTTTTGCAGATCCCTCTTCCTTCTCTTCTTCTTTTGCTGGCTACTGAACAGGTCAACCCTACCATAAAGGATCTTATCGATCGGATATGAAAGACTTACCAAACCCTCCTCAAAGACCTTTTTCACCATTTCCTGATCCTCCTCCCTCAACCCGTCAAACCCAGTCAAATCTTCTGGAGACGAGATCTTTGATTGAATGTTAGAGAGGACTTTGGAAGATAGGCACGTCCTTAAGTCGTTGTTAGTTTACGAGTGGTAAGAACTGTGTGTCGGAAAAGTAGATGGAACATACCAGTGTCGCCAGGTGGACATGGGCGCACCAGTTGCGGTTTCAAAGGATGTTCCCAAGCGGAGGTCTCCTTTCTGGGATTTGTGAGTAGATGGGAAAAACATGCGGAAAAAAAATAGGCTCGTAATAAACCTTAATAGTGGGATCTGGACAGACTTTGCCAGCTTTGCATTTTGCTCGACCCGAAGGCGCATACTGTTGAGTAAATAGGTGAGATGCTGTTGCTAAATCTGGGTGTCATACCATACCAATTACCTCGATAATGTAGTTTGTTTCGCTCATTGGGAACAACAAGATTGCCAAGATCGTGGGGCTGTTTGAATGGGCCTTTTTGAATACCCAAGCGCGATCACGAAATCATCACACGTGTCATCGGACAAGGTGGCGTTGGCATCGTTCGGACGACACGCGGCTGAGAGGCTTTTTGGATTTTATTCCAAGGTTGCTTCTGTTTTTTTACACTTTCTGATGAGGGTTCCAAACATCCTGCGGTTGGTCCTTCGTTTCTAGCAGAGTATCCGGCAAGAATATGATTTGGGCTTTAGACTTAACGTTTGCTTGAACTTTTGGTACACTTGCCCCTTTCTTGATCTTTGTGCGGGCTCATCAAAGTACATTGGCCCACTTTGTAGAAAGAATTCTGAGTGTACGGTTAATGAATACGGATGAAGATTGCCATGTCCTCATTCTCGTTTGGCATAAAATATCCGTACTTGGTAATTGTACATGTAGCGGGCTTTTGGCATCCCAATCGACTTTCCTGATAGTTTTGTATCTACGATGAATTACACTGTTCGCAAGTATATTATATTACAGTACAGCGCTTTCTGGCGCTTTTTTCCAATGCAATCTGCACTCGCTTTAAGCAGTACGGAAAAGAGGACAAACAGTGATCCTCTAGTTAAAATACTTATACGTGTTGTTCCTCCTCCAAGAGTTCTCGCCACGCCTAGAAATTTAAATAATCAACCATTATGTGCAAATAGTAAATAATGGTACTGTACACACCTGCACATCCGTCGCACTCCCAACACCAATTCTCTCCCGATACTCAATAGCATATTCCGCTCCCTCTCTTGCGCTCTTGACTTGAACTCCACCCACACTCTTCCGCCTACGCGACGGTGTTCGAGCCAATTCCTCCTGCTTACGTCTCCGGCGGTCCATGGCAGCAGCAATGACACTTTGGACATTTTCCATGTCGTCGGGTGAGGGCGCGATGAGGGAGTGGATGGAGAGATTTTGGGAGCGGTTGCGGAGGGTTTCGGAGAGAGTTCGGGTATTACGGAGGGTTGCGAGGAGAGTTGTGTAAGTTTCGGAGAGGGGTGCTAGTAGAGATGAATTAGAGAGGATGGCGAGGTGGTCGGTAACGGACAAATGTACCTTTATCATCGTTTAGCGCTGCCAAATGGTCAACGTCTCGCTTCATACGCTCCAGAGCCAATCGCCGCGATTCTGTGGACTCCAGCTCCACCTTGAGCCGTTGTTCAAGATACCTTGCCTGTCAACAAAAAAATAACATATTAACATTTTGATACTCGCACAGGCCGGGCAGCGCTAAACACAAGACATACAGCGACGATCCTCTTCCGCACCTCCTCCAACTCCATATCCGCATTAGCTTCATCAGCAGCAGAAACTCCAAACTCAACCTCCTCATAATGCGGTAGTTTAATCGGCAAATTGGTAGGAACAACAAAAATGGACTGAAGAACGAATAACTCGAATTTATCAAATTGTTTATCAATGTTATTTTCAAAAAGGGTTTCTGTTGCTGCTAGACCCTGTAGACACAGATTAAAATCACTGTTGGTGAGCTGTATGCCAAAAACAAACCTTTTCGGCTTCTTCCTCGTCCAGCCCATACTCTTCCAACCAAGTTTCAAAAGACGATATCCCCTTATATGCCAAATCATTCATGGAATTGATGATGTCGTCTACATATGATACGGGGGCCCAGCCCAACTGTTCCGTCACCAACTCGAGGGATGCATCCCGTGCTGCCTGCGATGCTGGAAGGATGGGTTGAGGCGGTGGTGGTGGTGCGGTTTCTGTGGGTGGGACGCGGAGGATGGGGGGACGGACCGTTGATCGTCGACGGGCGGAGGGTGGGTTGGTGTGGGAGAGCATGTAGGTTGTAGAGACGGGAATGGGAGGTGTATACGGTTGGTCCTTTGCTGGTGCGGTTGGTCCTTCAATGCCCTTGCGAATAGGAAACGGATCTATGGTGATGAAATTGAAATCCTTGTAGGCATGTCACGCTTTGATTTCAACAGGCAGCAACGACAGGAAGACAACTCGCCCAACCGCGTCGTTCAGCTCCCCAAATGGCTTTTCGTCCGAAGCGATTGGACATCACGTGATGCAACAGTTCGTCGACAAACACCAGAGACCGTCTATTGCAATGTAGGATATTGCACAGTGTAAGTTTGTTTAAATGCGTTGTCGTCTCTCACACAAATGGCTTTGTGATAGACAGTGGCAGGCAGAAGTCTTTTCCGTTGCGGTTCCTTTGAGCATCGTCCCGACATGAACCCGGTGCTCACGCTAACGCTAAGCTACTGCGAGAGTGGGTCCCCACACCGACCCTTTGAAATGGCCGTCTCCTTGGAATCTGGACGTTGTGGTACCCACAAGTATCGTATTTGTGTTGAACAATGGCTGCAATTCTACACATGGTCAAAAAGTCACTTTAGTCATATCTGGATGGTGAGCCAATGCTGACGTACGCGTTTTGATTTTTTTTTAGAATTAGTTTCCTCGTTTTCCTTTTCTCGCCTTTTGTTCTTTACGCTCTCTCTCCTCCCCCATCAGCACAGTAAAGCAAGAAACTAAAACTTTTTGCAAAACATGTGCGAATCAAAGGTCAAGAAGGAGAAGGTTGATGTGGTAGAGGACGCTATGGACGTCTCGTCCTCGCCCGAGAAAACGAAAAAGGACAAGAAGGACAAGAAGGACAAGAAGGACAAGAAGGACAAGAAGGAAAAGAAGAGCAAAAAGATCAAGCAGGAAGAGGACGTTGAATCGCCAAAAAAGGAGAAGAAAGACAAGAAGCGCAAGCGTACCGTAGATGAAGATGCTATAAAAGAGGAGACTGCCAACAATGATGACAGTGTCGAGCACACCGGCAAAAAGTACCGCGCAACAGATGGATCCGCGATTCCCGTACCGACGCCTACACCTACCCCCGAGCCCGAAGAAATCCCCTCTGAACTCCGTCTAACCAGTCACAACTTGTCCGCCTCAACTCTCAAATCGCTCCAGGCGCGAGGCGTAACGCAGCTCTTCCCCATCCAAGCTGCATCGCTGAAGCCCATCATGGAAGGAAACGACCTCTTGGGTCGTGCCAGAACAGGCACAGGCAAAACGCTTGCATTTTCACTCCCCATGGTTGAAGTGCTGAAACGAGAGCGTGAGACCGATTCGAAGGCGTTTACAGCTCGTGGACGTGCGCCAAAGGTGCTGATCATGGCTCCTACGAGAGAGTTGGCTATGCAAGTTCATCGAGAGTTTGATAGTATTGCATCCGGGGAGTTGAAGATAGTTTGCGTGTATGGTGGAACACCTTATGATCAGCAATGTGAGTATGAATTTTGCTGAACTGGCGCAATCATGGTGCTGATTTTCCCTTTTTGTAGATTACGCGATGAGGGATGGTGTAGATGTTGTCGTCGGAACCCCTGGACGACTCATTGACCACATTGAGCGTGGAAACCTCAAGCTTGGCAATCTTCGATTTGTGTGTTTGGACGAGGCGGATCAAATGGTATGTCATGATTGACTTCGCTGCCTTGTTGATATACTTGAGCGCTCAGCATATATTTCCACTGTAGCTCGACATTGGATTTGCAGATGCAATGGAAAAGGTCCTCCAGTCCGTTGCCGAGCACAAGTCTGCAAAACCGTCTTCGCCCAAACACCAAACCCTACTTTTCAGCGCGACGCTCCCAGAATGGATCGCGAAAGCTGTGGCAAAGTACATGCGCGCCGACAAAGTCACCGTCGACATGATTGGAAAGGACAAGCAAAAGACGTCCGCCCTTGTCAAGCATCTTGCTGTTCCATCCCGCTGGCAGAATCGGACATCGGTTTTGGGAGATATTATTGCCGTTTACGGTCGGGGCGGAAATGGCCGGACCATCGTCTTTGTCGAAACCAAAGGCGAATGCAACGATCTTGGCTTGAATGAGAAAATCGCTGCTTTCGGTACCCAAGTCATCCACGGGGACGTTCAACAAAAACAACGCGAGGTTGCCATGCAAGGATTCCGTGATGGTAAATTCAAATGCCTCATCACGACCAATGTATGCGCACGTGGTGTCGATATCCCTGAGGTGGACCTTGTTATCAACTGTGAGCCACCTTCGGATGTTGAATCCTATATTCATCGGTCGGGGCGAACGGGCCGTGCTGGCAAATCTGGCGTCTGTGTCACATTTTATAAGCCACAACAAGAGTACCTTTTGCAGAATATTTCGCGACGGGCAGGAGTGGAGTTCACCAAAGTGGGTGCACCGCAAGCGACGGATATCGTTAAGGCTCGTGCACAGGACACATTATCGACTGTTGCGGGTGTTTCCGAAGAAGTTATTCCCTACTTTATTGATACCGCAGAAGCGATTTTGACACGGTTTTCGGATCCGGTGAAAGCTCTCTCAGCGGCTCTTGCCGTTATTTGCAACACTACTCAACCGTTACCCCCTCGTTCCCTCCTTTCCGCCAACGAAGGATTCTACACGCTCTTGTTTAGTGTCGACCAAACGATTCGGAACGCAGGGTACGTTCGCGCAATTGTTCAACGTACCTTTCCTGGATTATCCTATGAGGATACCTGTAACTGGCGTATGACGAAAGATGAGATGGGCGTTGTGGTGGACGTTGTTGCGAGTAAAGTCAAGGTTCTTCCGGAGGGGTTGGAGATTGCGGGTGTGCCTTGGATAGATGGACGGGGCGTTACGCTTGAAATTGCTAAAGAGTTACCTGAGCTGCAGGAAATGAAATTTGCGGGGGCTCCTCAGGGGGGTGGATACGGTAATGGTAGAAGTGGGTATGGAGCTGGTTCCTCGGCGAGAGGACGGAGTTTTGGTGGTTCTAGTAGGGGGCGTGGAAGCGGTGGACGTGGAAGTGGACGTGGAAGTGGTCGTGGATCCTTTAGAGGTCGTAGATAGATGATTATGTCTAGGCGGGAGGAATATGGTACATATTTGGGGATTTTCGTAGGTGGAGTTATCTAGTTTATGTGAGTGTTCTTTACAATATATTTAAGTTTGCAAAAGATACATATTACCATTGATGAGAAAGCATTCAGAATGAAATTCAGCAAATGAGGGACATGGCTCCTACATATGGTGCACGGACGTTGAGTATCAACATGTACATCGAGTGAAGCGATAGGCGAATTCATGTATGCCCAAAGCAGCCCATGTTTGCAATAAAACGGAAAATGAATTGCCTATACTGCTCTGCTTTTTCCTTGGTCATTTGCTTTCAAGCTCAGGTATTTCGATTTGCCTCCATTATTCCACCACTCAGTTATCTATTCATCGTATCCCGTCCATCAGCTGTATCTTCACGTTTGATGGGGTCTTTGGATTACGATGGTGCTCCCAATGTCAATCTATATGGTCTTTTCATACCTTGGTTTGCCCATTTTGCTGTGGACATTCCCACTCGTCCACACAAAGGTTTACTTGGCATTTCGAAAGGCGGTCTTGCGATTATCATGACAACCTTACTCTGGTTTTACCAACTAGCAACCCTACTCTATGGATGCTGCACTTTGACGATCTCGCTTGTATATCATCCCCGCCTCGAGGGTTAGGGTATGCAGGAAAGTTTGGCGAGTTCCACTAAAAACCTTCTCGGAATCATGATTTCGCATCTCATTGCTCCGAAATTACAAGTGCATTTCCAACTCGTCGCAATAAACCTTTTTTGCATTTTCTGTGCAGATTCCCATTTGTTCACTCTCGCTTTCCTCTTTAAAAACATTCATTCTTTTTAGCACAGGTATGGACTATCAGGATCAATGTTGAGACATTGGATCCCATTATCAGACAAGGCGCCAATTGGCCAAGTAGCGGATGATGGGGAACTGTTATTTCGATGGGCAAGCATACCTGGTCGGAAGTGAATCGGTGGGAGGATAATGCTCTCCAAATGTGGGTATTTCGATAAATGCCTCCTCCTAAATGTACGGCCAGATTCTACTCGTATAAGCACAGCGAGAGAAGTACCAATTTACCCTGTCTTGCATTTGGACATGTCCCGACTGCCGTGCTTCTGTTGTTGTTGTCGGAATAGACGAGTTAGGGTTTAGGCCCACATCATCCATGTATGCACACTTGGTGCACACAACTAAAAAACCCCACTACGACTGCACTACAACCATCATTCAGATCATTCCAAATCCAAAATACGACGAAAATACAGAAATTTGGATTGTACAATAGCTCGTGATACATATCATCATCTACACACCCTAACAAATACATGTATACAATTCAGGAACTCTATTCAATGCCGTGCCCTACATACAGCAATCATCGAGGGAGCTCAACCATCCCGGCTGCCGCCTCCTTTTAAAGTGCGGCACCGACCGCCACTACCGCAAACGAACCCCAACAGCTTCCAACTCGCTCAAAGCCCCCAAACAACAGCCCACAACATTTCTCGCACACACCAGAACCTGTCCACCCGCATCCCGATCCTTCTCATCCCGTTCCTTCATGCGCGTCAAAACCATCATCTGACCCGCTAGTGCATCAACTTGATCCAAACTCCCCAATAAGCGCGCAGAGAGAATCGGGTCGGCGCATGCCTGTGCGGGGGTACGCCATGAGCGAGAAATGGAGCGTGCGGTGGAGATGATGGATTTAGCGGATTCGATGTACAGGGGTTTGGCGCTTGGGGTTGGTGAGCGGGTTAGTGTAGTGTGTTGGGATTCGAGGGTGGCTAGGGTGGTGGAAATATGGTTTGTGAGGGCTGTGAGATCTGACATGTCGACTTTGGGACGGGGAGGTCTGAGGTTGATGAGTGGAGGTGTTGGGGAGGGGGGAGTGGAATGCGGAGGTGTTGGGGTCGATGGGGGCGTATGGGGTAAGGCAGAGGAAGAAGGCGCAGTCCCCTTGGTACCACTATCGGTGGTGGGAGTGCGGTCATTGTGGTTCTCGTCGATTGGTTGGTAAGCAGCGTCACATAGGTCCTTTCCTTGAACGGCATCTGTGCTTTGCATTGAGTTCTCTGGAACTTGATTCACGGGAGTCTGATCCCCATTTGTTATGGCATCGACAGACTGAAACGCAGCTTTGAGCGCCTCAATGTCGTCTGCCTTGCTATCGAGCTGAGGCGGGTCTGGGTGAGGAGTCTCCGGTTCTGATGCCTCAGGGGGAGGCGTTGCAGGCTCTTCGGTTTTGGTCTGTTGTTCTGCAGGTACCTCGAAAATTGATGCAGGCTCGATATCCCCCGGTCCTTCACTTGCCACCGATAAGGTGGCAGGTGCATTATTCACAATATGGATTTCCGTATTGGCTGTTACAACTTGGAATAGTTCCTCATCTGAAGTGGGTGCTGGAGCGGGCGATTGAGGAGCTGCTGATGCCTCCTCACGAGAGCGCCCACGGAGTATTCTGGGTTCATTGACACTTGCGCGAGGAAGAGGAGAGCGGACGACGGGGCTTGACGGTCGCTGACCCACCGCTGTCTGCATAGACGAGGTCCTCCTTGCTGCAAATCGGGACGACCCCGAACTAGGGGATCTCAAACTCGGCGTTCGCGATCTGGAAGGTTCCGGGCTGCGCGACCTCGTCGTAGACGGTTCGAGAAAAAGTCGGTTCACTGGACGAGGTGCAGGCCTCGATCGTTCCGTGGCAAAGGAGGAATCCCATGGCGGGCGATCGACCAAATTAGACGACCTCGTCCCGGACGACACAGTCGGTGTTTCAGCTCTAAGCAGCATGGACCTCCGCCGTGAACGGTCACGCAAACCCGTATCAATACGGGGGGCAATGGAATCAAACCGGGACGAGAATGACGCAGTGGAAGTAACGGATGGACAAGGTGACGCAGATCGCACTGGTTCCGAAAAAGTACTACTGCCTCCACCAACCGGCCTCCACGGCGGCAAGGAAGAGGATCTTCCATTCTGCTGTTCTCTCTGCTCTCTCTGACGTCGGGCCTTGAGGTCTTCTACGCGCGCCTTCGCCTCTGCGATTCTCTCTGCCCTCAGCTTGCAAGCGTCACATCCTGAGCGATGCGTCTTGTGAGAGAAGGGAATAAAGTCCGATGCAGAAGTAGAAGAGGTAGTGGAAAACGCAGGTGAGAGGGGATAGTACTGAAGCGAGTGACGAGAGGACGACGAGGGAGAGGGAGACGACGCCGAGTGGGAGTGAGAGTGCGGAGAGCGGTAAGAGGACGAGGCGGAAGTCTGTATTCCCAACATCTTGTCCCCGTCCAAGTTTGATACCTCTCAAACGAGTGGAAATGCCCGCGAGAAGCAAGTGTCCAATGCCGCACCTCCAATGCAAAAAGTGTGATGTCCAGCAAAGAAGAAAAGAAGGAAAGCGGTGAAAAGGAGAGACGAGACTGTTACCTAATGCATTTGATCCACATTTGTATGATATACACAGCCACTCACATGACTCTCACGTGCTTCTGCAATGGGGCACTTTGTTTATAAGCCGTTTGGGCCGTTTGGGTTTTCCAATCAGCAAATGGGCGATACTTGGGTGGTAGGGAGCATCTGGTGCATGAGCAATCGTCTATATTCACTACAATGCTATATATACATGCATAACACTTTTTGTTATCGACGTCATCTATTCAATTTGCATTGAAAATAAAAAGTCCAATACATCTCCCAACGTAATCACATTAGTTGGTTTACCCCCCTCATTCACAAAAAATAAGTGATGAAATGTGTTCACGACCATGACGCGGAGGAGGTCGCGAAGACTCATGGTCCATGTTCCTGTTATATATGTTGCCTGTGGAGATGGGAGATGAGGATATTGGGCGAGACGAAAACTGTTGATATAATATGAAGAACTTACAGAGTTTTTCTTGAGGAGCTCTCGTACAGTGAGAAAGAGGTCTTGAACATTGTTCGAGTTTAAAGTCTGAAAGAAGGTGTTTGTAAGTGTGGGGTACGGATGTCCAGCAGGGAGTGATAGCCAATCTTGTCGGGTCAACCCAGTTTCTTTCACTCCGCACTCCTTCAGCATCGAGCAGTTGTGCGCAAATCCTGGCAAGACATTTTTCGGAACTCTTGAGAGCTTTTCTCTTTGCACAAATCAGACGCCAGCATGCTACTTCTTGCTTCCTTATACTCCCTCTGCCGCCCTGGTATTACTCACCTTGATATGCCGTACAGTCATCATACCGGACATGACCATCCCTGAATTCACAACCGGGACCGCTGTAACCCCCCGCTCCCTCATTTCCTTCAAAACTTCCAAAACAACTTTGTTTTCTCCACACGCAAATACCGGAGTTGTCCCTACAAATCCCAAGTCTAGCAACGAGGCATCAGGCCTCAGATGCAATCTATCGAGGTTGAGCAGTGCGAACTCAACGAGTGAGCTTTGTGTTACAATGTGGTGGATGGTTTGGTTTGATAGCAGGATCAGGCGGGTTGCGCGATGCTGTTGAAGGGTTTTGAGGACGGTATGAACGGTTGAGGTTGCGGGGAGAGTGATTGTTGGGTTTCGTGATGAAAAGTCTGGGATGCGATTTAGGATTCATGGTTTGAGATCACTTGCAAGTCCCGCGTGGCATACCAATTCACGACAACCCACCAGCCAAATCCTCACACGGCACGCTGATAATATCCTTTAAATGCTCCTCAAACGTACTTCGACCTAGTTGCGCATACGCATTCGATAAAAATGTTGCCTGCCGTGCCAGCGCCCATTAGTGTATGCTGACTCGTTTTGCAAAGCTCCACCAAACGTACAATATCCACTACATCCGTCAGGACGAAATCTGAATTGAAGCGAGGATAATTTAGCATTCCGGTTACCCATTCGCATGGTCTCCAAAGAAGAATGCGTACCGGTATTAGACCTCACAACAGGCGCACATGAAATATTCTTTATCCTAAAGGTCTGCACAATATTACTCACTCTCCCAAGATCCTCTTTGCATTACGCACAAGACATACCTTGATGGTCTCCAGTAGTGTTGTCGTGGGTTCAAGTGTCACCAACGGACCTAATCAGCAAACTTCAGCATGGCAGTTCATGCGAAATAAAACCAAAGTCAGGAAACGCACGGTTGAACAGGACGACATGTTCAATAGATTCCTCCAGGAGCGCCCGCGTTGACTCTGGAGTGTAGAATGAGCTTTGTTGGTGACCCATTTAATTGTCATGCTCCAACAGTTGTCATGCGTTCCATTGTCGACAAGGTGTGAGGCTCCAAAAGGAACGATCTGCGACAAGGTTTGCAGTGGACAGGTGGAGTACTAAGCACGTCATGATAAACTTTAATTTTCAACGCTTTTGGATTTCTTAGTGTGGAGGTGATTGAAAATGGCACTAGGACCCATTATTATCCGGATTAATCCGGTTAGTCATATCGCATAATCAGAGCCCCCTCTATCGCTCAGATTGGTGTGGCATGCATGTAATGTTTTTTTTTTTTTTTTTAAAACTGCGGTGAGGTGCATGCCGAAGGTCTATAAAAGGGGGACCTTCTGTCTCTTTCCCCTTTCCTCTTTACCCATCCTCAACTCTCGAAGCATCTGCGCAACGCTCACGCAGCACTCTCAAGTCCATCATGAGAATGCCGCTCTGGTGTCGAGGACCTCGCCCTCCCGACAAAAACAACTTAACCCCTTGCAAACGCTGCTACTACTATACTGCTACGATCGCAGGTATTTCTTGCTGATTTTCCCACGCGTATTCCGAGTCTAATTCTGATCTACCTTAGTATCTGAAAATCCTCCGACCAAAGAATCTCGGAATCAAGGGCTTAGTAGGATTTCTCTCGTGGTGGTGGGCTTAGTTACCCGGTTAGAACCAACCGTAATGTATTGCATGTGTCATTGGGCCTAGTAGTAGTTAGCTTTTCACGTACCCCAGTTCAACCCAGGCTGGAACCTGTAGCGAGTTAGGATAGGGGTGGGACTCGCTTGCAGGATAGGTTATGAAGGGTTGGACAGGCTGGCTAATTGCAAATTAGAACCGGCTGTAGTGGGTTGGAGGGAGAATTTGTTCCTAGTGACATTTTCTACCACCTGCACACTAAGGCTAGGAATGCAAAACACATTTTCAAAGCTTTGCATTTCAAGATACAGGTTCAAGGAAGAGTGTGAAAGATCAAATCATTCGTATTATACATATTTCATATCTAAGCCGTCGTTTCCATATATACCAACTCGTGCATATCCATCCAGCACTTTATGATATCCCATACCACGCCGTAGATCTCAACGGATATATCAGTCCTCACGTATTCACATCCATAATGTACCAAGGTATATGATAAGGCATTACAACACAACGCAAAACCACCATCTCGATTTCGCAACGTCTTGCTCCACAATCGAGTGTTGTTCTGATACCTTATCTACATTCTCTTCATTCTCACTATCCGCATCCCATTGCTCGTCGTCATCAGGTATGTTGGAGTGCTCACCATCATTCGCAGTGGTGTGTTCAGCGGCTTTCGCAGCATGTGATGTTGCAGAGACTGGGGCTACGGGGACACTGGCGGATGCAACATCTTGAATCTCTCTTGCATCGTCTTGGACAGCTTTGGTGGAAGTGAGAAGGGAAACAGGGTGCAATATTTCTGGGTCGATAGGTGCTGTTGTTGATGGAGGTTCCCTTGCGGGGTTGACTGTTGTTGTGTCCGTCGGTGTCGTGTCTGTCGGTGTCGTGTCCAGATGTTCAGATGATACAGTTTCTTCTTTGATGGGTATGGCAGATTCGTCGGTGACAGTGGATGCCGCTTCTTGAATGGCTTTGGCGTCTTCTTGGGCGGATTTTGCAGCGTCAAGGAGTGAAACCGATTGAAGGATGTGTGTGTCTGGATGCGTTGGGATTTCTCCGTCTTTTCGTTCCAATGGCTTATCTCTACTTGCTTCAACTCTGACAACATTATTTATATTACCCTCCGCATCTCTCAAAGTCCCCACCTCCTCGTTAACTCTCCACACCCCATCCACAATAAACTTGAACACAACTTCACCCTCCTCAACCTCTTTCTCTGCACTAAAAGTTCCATCGGGTTGCTTTTCAAGCGGGAGGGAGTGCGACCAAGAGTCAAACGTCCCGGTAACGTGAACTGTTTGGGCCGGGTGAGGCCAGGTGAAAGCTAAGAGAGGCATAACTGTTGGCGGAAATGGGGGGAAGAAAAGATGGGCGAAAATGTAAACAGATCTTGGAGGGCGTGACGCAATGATGTCACGTGCGTATATCGATTGCCCGATTATCTAATGCGCGATATGGTCGCTTACCTGTTGATGGACGATGAATTGCTTTCTTTTATGGTTTGGTTCCTACGAGTGTTTGTAAATGGACACTAGTGTTGGTGTGGTTTAGAACACGCCTCGTTGACTGGAGATGTCTGCGTCTCTAACATGTCAGTAGCTACGGATGGTTAATGCTAGAAAAAGGGAAATATGCCGTATCGTGGGTCTGCAAAACCCAAATCCTATTATAAGTAATAATTCACAGTGCTACATCGTGCATATCGATGTGAGATTGGGAATGACTTGCTGATATTTATTGTTCGTTGATGATCGGGCGCAGGAGCATATTGCATGTAATTTTGGTTGTGGTAACCGTCAAATCGAACGACCTGAACAGCGCCCATACAGCGTCCGTTGCCCTCCAGCTCTTCTCTCTTTACTGTCATTCCCTTTCCTTTCTCCCTCTCTCGAGGTGGGCCACACGGTCGTTGTGTGTCCGACCTGAGTGAATGGCTTATGGAGATTTCTGGCAGTATATGCAGCGGTGAATGAAGCCTGTCTGGGTATACCAACGCTGACGGCTTGGGTGATAAAATGATGGTGGACAGGAACTCTCAATAAAGGGACAGTTTGCTTTTGGAAGCAGAGGTTCGAGCCTGCCAGTATTAGGGACAGTTGCAAACATCGATTACAGGTGTTTGATACTATGGGCAATGCTGCTATCTGAGCGGTCCATCTTGTGGCACATTCCCCAAAGGAAAGAGCTTTGGAGAATTTTCTTACATCATCTAAATCCATTCGGTCGACTGTCTTATGACACTATGCAAAACCTCCTTCAGCTTAAATAAAAATCTCTTGGCTTCTAGGTCGTCGCCGAGCACTCTTTCTCTATACACAACCGTGACTCTCATCTTTCCCCGCACTGTAGCAAGGACAATTGTGTAAGGACCCCAAAACGGATGCGCCGTTTGCGCACCACCAGCGCTCTCTACCTCCCATTGGGTCGCTGCTGATTCAGACGAGCTGCCCAGCTGAATCTTGTCGCCGTGGGCACGTTCAAAGTGGATGCGGCCCAGGTTGGAGATTGTCACGGAAGCCTGTAACGTATTCTCACTTGTGTGAAACGCATTGTAGTCGGGCACTAGGTCCATTGTTGCAATGATTCTCAGCGCCCACCAAGCCCAGCCAATGCGCAACTTTCGAACGCTGGTTCTAGCCATCTCCCAGAAATGCTTCACGGGAACTTGCTCGGTGGGATCTTGGAGAACGAGGTCGGTATGACAGCCGCTTGCGAAATTACCCATTATCGTATTTGGAACGGGTGGATTACAGCTTGGGCGCAGGCATATAGTGTGGTTCGTGCGGATGGTGATGGGTGGTTTCCCGTAACATGACGTTGGTGAGGAGACGCGGGCGCACGCCAGAGTGCATGCTGCTGTAATGGTCGCATGTAAGCTTGTCTTGCGACGTTTACACATGTCGCTATTAGGCGACAAGAAAAGAAATTTCGTTAATGTTGACTGATTGAACGTAAACATAACAGAGTCTCGTCCCAAACCTCAACGACTGCATGTCCATCTCATTTAGCTCAAATTCCAGTACTCGACACTTTCCAGCATCGTGAATGTTATATTTCACATTATTCCCTCTCCAATAGCCCAATCCAAAAACACATCTTCCGATGACTGATATCCGTTTGGCCAGCTCGAGTAGGCTCACATACAGCAAGAATACAATCGAGAGGCCAGTTGCCGGCGCAAGTTTACGCAAAGAAGGGATTAGTTCGGGACCTCCGAGACGCGCAGGTAGCGCTATTGTTGCGTCCTCAGAACTGCCATGGTGTAGATTGGTGACCAAAGTCTTGCAAAATTCGACAAGAGACTTGCCGTCGCCGATGACGTGGTGCATGGAAACAACAAGATCCACGGAGGGCGGTGAAGAAGGTAAGGCACCCATTTCACTTTCGTGGGGTAAGATGACGGTTACCCGGAACAAAGGTGTCTTTGATACCTGCGCTAGTGGAAATGGTCAAGCGATTAAAAACGATCGTGTCCATCAAGGGGTGTTGGATTGCGATGAGAGAATAAAAACATACCATATCGAATGGAGTATTGACTTCAAGCTCCACCCAGCTTCTGACCGCTTCATCCTCGCCTACATCATTCTCTCTTTGGACAACCTTTATGACACCTTTCAAAGACAACTCGCCATTGTCCAATAATGCATATTTTGGCGTTGCTGAGGTAGCATCAAGCACCACAGTCCACAGACAGGCATGCATCGCCAAACAAGCACAGAGCGCTCGATGCACGGCTGTTCCCCATACTTGCGGGTGGTATGAGGAGACTGTTGGCGATTGGGCAGCCGGAGGACGGAGACGGATGCTTGCTGTTATGCAGTTGTGATACTCCAGGACAGAGGCGGCGACCAGGTAACGAACAACACCGTCGACAGGACGAACTAGTGTGGGCATGTTGGTGCCGTCCCGAACGAGCAACGCTTACGAGGAAGATCTGCAGAAAAACAATGCTGGAGGAAGGTTGCTGAGTAGTAATTTAGTTGATCGGGATGGGTTACTTAATGATATCACGTGTTTTGCTGTGAATCCCCCGGCGATCTTCCTTCTGTCGAGGGTGAGTGCCTTTCCCACCCAAAATTACATTGAGGTCGTCATTAGATCCTTACTGCAAACGCACAGGTCTCTCCAAAACTTCCACAACGTACAGATGCCGTCAGACTGCTCGTCGGACCTCTCGCAAATTACGCCGAATCTCTTTTTGAGTGGGTGAGTGGGCGCCCATGTGTTTGTCGCGCCAATAGCAAACGTTGTGGGACTCGCCCCAGCATCCAAGCTTATGCACACTTGGCTCTTTAGCGTGGGGCCAGCGCAGAATCTGACATTGCTGAAGGAAAACTCTATTACACACATTCTTGGTATTGGCCTCCGACTTCAACCAAAATTCCCCAACGTAAGCTGTTGAACCCCGTTGGACCATGAAACATGCTGAGGCTGATTACGGGTTTTAGGAGGTTACATACAAGCATGTAAGCTTGGAGGATGACCCACAGGTGAATATTATGCGATATTTCCCGGACACCTATCGGTAGGATTTGCGCTACCGAGATTTTCCTTTGCGATGAACCGTAAGTCGGACTAAATTCCATCTGTTTAGGTTTATAGATGAGGCTGTAAAGGCCAATGGGCGTGTTCTAGTGCATTGGTATGAAACTTTTTTTGTCGGACAGCACTCTAAGCGTATTACTCACAAGACCATATAGCGTTGCGGGGATTTCACGTTCGGCGACGATAGTGATCGCATACTTTATGAAAAGCGAAGGCATCGGTTTATATGAAGCCCAAATGAAAGTGAAGAGTAAGCGACGAATTATTCAGTAAGGCGTTCCTCCGTGGTTCTTTCTTTGAGTATTCGATCCGTCAGATCTAGACTGACCGTAACGGTTGGGCTTTTAGTCCGAATTCGGGTTTCGTCAAGCAACTAAAACTGTTCGAGGCAATGCGGTGCGAACTCGACATGTCCCATCAACCATACCGACAGTTTCTAACGACCAAAACTGCACAAGAGAAAACGGGGAAATTCCTCATGGATGACTCCGAGCACGCGAGCATATCAACTCTCGAAACGTCAACCAATTCGACCACAAGCTCACACCCCGATCCATCTGACGATCGGAAGCCTACAAGCGCACGCCGTCTGAGATGCAAGAAGTGTCGTGCCGACCTTTTGTCTGATAAGCAGCTAGTTGAGCACGAATCCGGCGCCGGACAGGCTGCATTCGGATATCGCAAGCGTGCTATGACATTGACACCAACAGTCTCTCAGTGCGCATCGTACCATATCGAACCAGTGGAATGGATAAAGGGTGTAAACGATGGAGAACTGGAAGGCAAAATTGTCTGTCCTAACCCAAAGTGTGAGGCGAAACTCGGAGCTTGGAGTTGGGCTGGTGGGTTATGGACTTGTGACATCGCCCTGCTTCGTTTCTTGTGTCTCAATTATCATCACCTTTGTAGGAGCTCCTTGTTCGTGCGGAGCATGGGTAGCGCCATCGTTCAGCATACATCGGAACAAAGTGGATGAATCATTCTCTGTGCCAGCAGAATGAGAAACTTTGCGAGACATTTGTTTCCGCGGTGGTTTTCGAAACGACCGCAAACGGCACCCATGATGCACCGTGTCACGCAATTCGCTTTGACAGACGGGTGGTTGAGAGGAAGACAATCCGCAGCCCACAGGATTTGCTGGCTTTTGACTGCAACAACCGGCAGGAAGCAGTAAACCAGGAATTGATCACTGAAGGGCTTCCATGTAGGAATGGTATTGTTTGTACAAAATCCTGGACACCTGCTACGCTATAGTATAGATTTTATGGAGACCGAGACGCTGTCACACACCATTGTATAATAGGTCACAAAACATGCATGGGGCAGGACAATAATCAAAATATATATTAGAAACATAGTGCGTTCATGCACGACATTATCAGCAAAGTCCATGATGCTCCGAGATGCTCTCACACACAAGTACAAGTACCTCAAGGAATCTAACCACAGCCATGGCTTTGCTCAATTGCTCCTACTCCCCTCCTTGGCCCCTGTCATAAACAACGACTTGAACCACCGCAAAGGCGGTGACAACTCATCCGTCTGTAAGGGTTCCATTCCCAACTTTGAGCTAGGCACGACCCCATCCACCAATTGGACCGACCGCCCTGGCTTTGCAGAATTCTCAGCCTCGGCCACTGTTCGAACAACCCCATGTATTTTCAACAATTTCTGCACTAACAGACTCTTTTCGACTAACACCTGATCTGTCTGCATACGAGCCCTCGTCTCCGAGTCTGGCATTTTCAGCGGGTCTTTGGCATCTGCATATCCCTTCGCCCTCAAGTACTCCTCCAAATCTTTGTACGCTCGGTTCAGTTCAGGTATAGAAGCCACAACGGAAAGGAATGCGGCTCTGTAGTCGGGGTTGGTGCGGAGCAGGTGGGTTACGGCTTTGGGGTCTGTGTACCGAATTTCAATTTTTTGACCAGGACTTTTATGAGCGGGTTTTGAAGTGGTTGTGCGGTGTAAAGGGCGGAACGGGGTTAGGAGGGGTAGGCGACGTATGGTAACGGAGTTACGAGGGAGGTGGTAAGTAGCTCGCCATGCAGGTGGTCTGGAAGCCATAATAATGTGTGCTGCCGAAATCTTGACGAGGTTACCTGGTCTCAAACTTGTAAGTGAAAGCCGACCTTGTCCACGTGCCAGTTTCTCGTAATCATGTTATAAGCAATCTGGCATCCTGTTTAACATATCGTTCGTTGAAGCACTCCAAGGCCAACGGCTATCAGATGTTGAACGATGGTATACATTAACCATCCGCCCACACCGACTACTGAACGACCCCGCACATCACGGGCACGTTCCGCAAACCAGCGACCCCCGCGCCCCCGCATCACCTCCGCACCACCCACTAGATCGACTCCGGTGACCATCACCCATGCGATCCAATCTAGCCGCGCGACGTCAGGAAAATCTGTTCGAACAAGGCGCGATAGTGTGTTTAGTTCATGGACTTCTCGAGCGGGGAGTGCGCGGAGTGCGGGCGGGTGGTGGGAGGGTGAGGAGTGGGAAGACGGTCCGCTGGCTTGGGAGCCAAAAGTGAGAGATTTACGGCCCAGTATTGGACAAAGTAGCAAAGAAGACGCTGACTTGGATACTTGTTAATTTAGTGCACATTTTTGGATGTCAGTGAAGCAAGGCGGGGTGCGTCCCTGCCCGATCTGGTGGGAGAACAAGATGCGTACATGTCCACAAAGCTTCGCGACCAAGACGAGCAAGGTGAATGATTGTTAAATCATGCACCGGTTGAACCTCCAAATAACACAGACAACACAGACGAAACAACTACTCAAGTCCAAACCCTCCTAAATACTCGGCCGATCTCATCCAAACACGTCGTGAGTCATCTCAGCTCTTGCACATTCTGCAAGATATATCCTAATGGATAAGATCAGCGTATAGCACAGGACATTCGTCACTCTATACCCTCCACGCCCAATCCACCCGTCTCACGACCACCTTCAAGTCGACCCCGAACGGGAAGAACGGCACCCCGCCATGAGAGTGTCAACCACCTCCTTCGAAAATCGATACATCCAGAGACGAACGTTGATGAGCAGTCCGTTCAACGTGAGGTAAATTGGCATATCGAAACAATGCTTTGGTGGTATTTCAACGAGAATGGGAAATACAAACAGGGCCTCTACTCCCTCCTACATATGGGCCGAATCCCACCGGACGCTAATGTCTCCAAATCGCTTATAAACAAAGCTCAAGAGAAACTGGATGGAACAGCGCATTTAGATATTCCCTTGTCATACGAGTCCTGTGTGAAGGTCGCACAACCGATGCCGGTTAAGGAGGTCATTGGCAAGGTGATTAGGAGGCTTTTTCTTTGGCATTTGTTTATCCTGACTCATTGTAGGATGTGCAGCCCCCAACAACGACACCAGACGATCGAGAAACAAAAAAGGAAGCTTATCCTACTACTGAGCCTCGACCTTCTAAAGTGTCTCTGGTACCTGGTACGCAATCATCAAGCATACATCTCCACTCTCCCTTGTCTAATTGTGAAACAGCAACTCTTCCCTTGCCGGACCCATTAAACGAGATCCACTTTGTTATCCACAAGGGACGGACAATGCAGCGTACACCAGCCTACGAAAGATTCATACGAATTCTTACGTTGGATATCCGAACAGTTGAGATGGTTATTGAAAAGCTAGAGAGCCTCTGCCAAGAGTTTCATGGTATTTATCTTTTGCATTTAGGTGAGGATCAAACAGATGTTTGGGTAACAAGCAGGCTTCTCTAGTTCTTTGGGCAGAAGTCGGAGCAAAAAATCTGTGTGATTTGGCTGGGAGACCCGTCATCTGGCCCATAAAGAAAGAGGATTTGCTCAAAAGCTTTGTTAACCGGCAAGAGGTAAGGGCAGGGTACATACTATACGTGCCATATGAATATCCTACATGAGGAACTAACTGACTCTGTCCGAAAGGTAGAGTCGCTTCTCCGAAAGCCCGGCCAACGATACCGCGGGAGAAATGGGGAAGCTGCTGCCATTACTAAACTTCAATCATGGTGGAGAAGCATTCTATGCCGGTAAAACTGAAAAATACAAGTATTAATCGGCACAACGCATGCTGATCCTTCCTACAGGCGAGACTACATTGACCGTCTAGCCCATCTCAAAGCTGCCGCAACTTTGTGGTTTTATTGGAAGATGAAAATGAAGCGTCGAATGTTATTTCTGGACGGCCAGGTGCGTACAATCCATCTTCCATGCTCGAACGCAAATCTCATACCTTGATAGAGGAAACTCCAATTACATTACGAACAGTGCGCCCAAAGGACCCAAATTCTGCACAAGAACTGGGCAACGCAATTCAAACACCAAAGACGGTATGCATATAGTGACTTCTTCATCTATCGCATCCCCACCCCGCAATGTCTAATATACTCCCCTCTCATAGACTCGTCATCCATATTCCATCAACTTATTCGTCACCATCTGGTCTTCATAATGCGGAAGTCGGGAGGTAAACGTCCAAAACGATATGCCATATGCACGATTTTTCACGATGAATTAGGATAGACTCCTTGATATGCATGATGCGACTCTCGAAGTGGTGTACATTGCGCAGACGGATGATGCCAATGTTCTAGACGAGCTGTATAAATTGCTCCGTAAGTGTTTCCTCTTAGACGGCAACCGATGCATTGAGGAGTCTACTAAGACAGCCGCTAGATTTATCCTTCTCCCCGTCCTCGAATGTGTTCTCTAGATTGCACATCATCGCACCGGAAGCTTCACATTTGTTTCAGCCGGGAAGTTCGGTGGCAGCCATGTTGGATGCGAGTCCAAAGGCATTGAAGCAACTGCGTACGGTGATGGAGGGAAAAAAGTGTTTTTTTGTTACGGGGCGAGTAGGGGATGCCGAGGTTAGGTTATCTGCGGTATGTGTACGAGTTCCTTTTGTTTTGGAGATCTCGTTTGATGGTTTCGCTTGCGGTAGGTCTTGAACGCACCAATTCTTTCCACAATCCCAGAACCCCATAAAGATCCCTTGCCCATCTCATCCCAATGGTCGTTTCTGAAATCCATCAACGTCCCTGTACCAGAAGGCCAAGGTTTGTGTCCCATTGAGAAGCACATTGTCAAAACACCATCTCACCCACTTGTATCCAGTGCTCGAGCCGAATAATCTCGGACAGTGGTATGAGGCATTTCGAGAGCTCTTGGTGGAGAATCTTAGTGTGAAGCGGTGGCTCGTCATGTGTAATGGGCGGGAGGGAGTCGGAGTCATCGATACACTCACAATAGCGACACATATGGGCCTCCCGACAACGTTCAGCGAGGCATTGGAATCTATTGTCCAAGTACCCCGGCCCAAAGACTTTATCATCAACTTGTTATCGCATGGTGGAGTCGTCCATGCTGATGTTGGGAGGGGAAGGAGGACGGTCGTGCATTGTTTCGTAGAGCCAGATGGAGAAAGCAGGGTGCTAGGAATGGGAGACGAGGTATGTGATGCATTTAACAAAATGCCGTCTTCATGAAATAACTCGGACTACCCAGATTTTTGACGAATCCACCACGCACTTACTTACACTCTTCCCACCCCTGTCGCCACCGCCCGAAACAGCCGTATCCCATATCCTCCAAAACTGCCACGATGCTTCTCTCAACGGTTACATAACATTAACATTCAACACAAACGGTTCAACATGTCAATGTGTCTCAGTCACACCCTATTATACACGCGCCGCCGCGGTCTGCCAGACATGGCTCCTGAGTACCGGGACGAGGTTTGATGGGCGTGGAAAGTATCTGTTTAATGTTTCCATAGGGCGGAGTTTGCAGTTGGAATTTTTGAGAAAGGTGGTCTGGGTTGATGTGGTGCGTTTCGGCTGTCGTGCTTGCCTGCTTCGTACCAGTGCTAAAGTGACGGATATCCGCAGGAAGGTGTTGAACGCAAAGCGGGCGTAATAACCAAAGAACAAGATGAGAGGATGGGAATATGGACTGTATTGGAACATAATCTGTTGGCTAACATGTCTCGACCGGCGTTGATGGCATCATTGAGAGAGGGAGGCATTGCGTATGATTTCAAGGTATGATTCCATCTATTCTTGTATATTCTATCAGGTCTATGACTGATGCCTACCAGTGGAGACAAGGAACCCTTTTCCCCACTGTCGATACAACCCCCAGACTCGATTCTCTTCCCATGCTGTACGTGTGATAGTTTCTGCTGTGGCGGCCCGTAAACAGAGAATCTTACATTCGAATAGGTGCTCGGGACGATCCATGAGCGATTGCCTTGAGCTGGTGTTACGCAATCTAGTGGTTGTAGGGAGACGGGTATCATCACAGAGATTGGCGGGGAGGGGGAATTTAATGGTACGTTGCCGATGTGTGAGACATGGGGTGAGTGTTTGCTTATGGTCACTTTTGCCTTTAGGACATTGCAGAGAAAGTAGGAAAAGAACTTGAAGTCGTTCGACAAGATACACACCTACGTGGTCGCATCTCTCCTCCCCCTTCAACCGACCCGCTCTCTAACGCACCTCCCTTGTACGCAGCACATACCACTCCACCCCCCGCACCTCAAAGCCCTCTCGAACGCTATATATCCCATCTCGTTCCACTTCCCCCCATCCCACGCCCTCCAACACCGCCAATTCCGACCCCTCCCTCCCCCGAGCTCCTATCAAAATCAATCCCCTCACACGCCCTGCAACAAGAACACTCTGACTGGAACGCCGTCAGACCTGCCTCACCCGTCATGCCTGAGCGCCTAACCGACCCAACACGCATCCCACCAGGCATGTTATCCCCTCAAATGTATTTATCCGCCCTTGAAGACCAAATGCGGAAACGGGATCAAGCGAAGCGTGACGAAGAGGAGCGGGAGGCGCTCAAAAAGCTGCGAGAGAACTTACCTGAAAAAGTAGTTACGCCCGTCAAGACCCGGTTACGTGTGACGGATTTCATGGGCATGCGAAAAACGCAGGAACGCAAAGTGGTTTCCATGGTGGATAAACGACATGTAGCTCAAGAGTTACCAGATTTTGATACACCCATTGATTTCGCATCCCGTCGGACATCTGTTTCCGCACCCATAGATCGAAGATTGTCCATATCACAGCGACGAAGTTCTTTCCAATCCTCTTCGTTAGTCAAAGAAGAGTCACTGGTCATGCAAGTGTTGGCTGGGCTATTCAGTGAAACGGAATAATGTTATAGTAAATATGCATAGTAAATGTCCATTTGATGATACCCCGAATGTATACCCCTTTGATCCCTAAAAATGGAGTGCATACCCTTAACTAGCGATGGAGCACTCTTCTCAATCGTGTGTACGGCGATGATGGCCGATCGCAAACGGCGTACCGTAGATGGATGCATAGCAATACAGGTAAGGAGCACATCTCAAGCTCCTAACACTGACAACACAGAATACTAATATATTCCAAGATAATTATTATTACAGTCGTGCTTGGATGGATACTGTTCATACTGTCGCAGGTACGCGGATTCTCCGCTCTCGCCGTGCTTTACGTTTATAACACCGGTATCGCCTAGCTGTATCTCTCCTCTCGATGACATAAACGTAGTGACGTCGCCTTGTATGCATTCTGAGTTGGGGTAAGAAATCTGTAGACCACTTTGATGGAACGTTAAAGGTAACAGCTGTGAGTTGAACTAGGTGAGGATAGACGCGGCTCCGAGATGGTGCAGTTACCCAGGAAGAGGATATGCAATCGGTGCTATATATTGTCGAAAAATAAGAGTGGAACAGGTCGATGCAATACAGTCTGGATCCTTACGAATACAGACGCCCTGCTCTCGTCCGTAGGAACGGAATTCCAAATAAGCGACTATATTCTTCCTAAGCATGGAATACAAATCTACAAACTGGGTCGAATACAATAGAAAAGATGGACAGCAAATACGAAAATATAAATGTATATACCAGAAATAAAAATAAGCAGAGATACAATGTCGCGGTGTGTCTCTGTACAAAATGCAAAACTCTCGAGTATGCCCAACGTTAGATTGCACCATTAATCCAAGACCTCAGATCCACCCACAACCCTTTCCCATCAATAAATGCCCATCCAATCTTCCACCACAAATAGGATTCTATATGCGTGAAATCTACACCTCCGATTTGGTCTTCCACAACCCATCATTCAAAAAATGCATCAAATCGACACCAACGCCTTTATTCACCCGTTTTCTAAAATACTAAAGTCAGTAATAACCAATCAAACACGGGATATTAGGGACAACTCACATATCGCTCGTCGACATCACCATTTTCCCGACCGCAAGCGCATGTTCCTTGCCTTCCGCCAAGATTGCTACCGGAGAATCAACGGGGAGGTCCACATCCATTCGGGCGCCGGCGGAAGTGAGACCTGGGCACATTATATTTGCCCCGCTGAGGACGAACTTGATCGCTCCGCGGTCCACCTGGACTGTTGGCATGATGTCTGGGTCTATGGACAGTGTGAGACAGGTGGAACATATGAGGTGGATGATGACAATAACGTACATGTATGAAGGATATCTAAAAGGGGATAGTAAGGTCCGTCATGGTGGTTAAAAAACAATAGTCTCTCCCCAACCATAACGATATTTATTCTATCATGACTAAGAAAAAACACACACACATTAGCATACTTTTACACCAAAGCCATAGTGAAGTGTCGCTCACCATTTAACGAGTATGAGCGGCTCCTTTTTGGGCATGAGTTCCTCAATGTACGGGTTCAGCGATGGGTACTGCTCCAATATCGCTGCACGGATTCCGCGTTGAACAGACGATTTGACTTTGGATTTGCCAGAGACATCTTCTTTGGGTGTGAATCTGGTAATAGCAAACGTTAGTAGGGGTGAAGTAAGGGACGAATTCGGGTTGCTTACTTTTTAAACATGATGCCGGCAATGTTGCTTGTGGGGAATCCTTTCTGCAAGTCGGTCTTGAAAACGCTGGAGGACTGTGCCACTCACTGACTGTGCCATCCAAAGTGTTCCAAAAAGCTTTTGAAAATAACGACGGACATGAATGCAGAATCCAATACAGGGCTACAGTAGCATTACAACGATATATTGTACTTGAAGGGGTACGGACGCTTAGAATGTAGTCAAAAGACGCTACCGATATGTATTCACACAATACTTTGCTCCGTCGCCATGCGAGGACTGCTTGCTATATGGGGCCGGTTGTCACCTGGCGGTTGGGCACTCCAATGAGGGACGTTGCTTTATCGTCGGGGTGAGGCCCGGCGTGGCCCATGCTTCTTTGAGACCAAGCAATGCTTCCTTCCCAAGACGCATCCTCACAATACTTTACTCCCTCGCATGTTGTGCAGAGTCCATCTAATTTGGTGCTAGGCCGACGTACTGAGGGCTACCAGTCGCAGCGTCACTGCACAATCAGCTGAATGAATTGAGATGTAGATCCTATGACACCATTCTTTTAGTGTTTTCTTGACATGCTCTCAAAAGATGCGCACCCGTTGCAAAGACCACTTTTTACGTTTCATTATCTCGCTTTTTGCACATGACGTGTGCTTTGCGCTGGCAAGTGCGCCGCGTTTTGTCCATGACGTGTTGTCGATTCTTGTGGAGGGCCCATCTGATGTAACCCGAGTATAAAAGGCGAACGGGGACAAAATAACTCCCCCATCTACCCAACACCATTGATAGTTTTTGATTTTTTATCGTTTGGTGATTGGGTATAAAAATAATGTCCAGCACTGGGCAAGTGCAGATGTGTGATGAACAGACGTGTAAAGAGCGAGAGAGGGGTTATCTGCCCATCGGTAGTGTTTCTCCGCGACAAAGAAATATATCTCGGCGCCCTCTCACTCTCACTCTGCGCTGTAGAAAATTATGGCATGATTGGAAACATGCGGACCATCGCCATGTGCGGAACAGGTTGGTCACAGAGTCCAAGAAATAAGGCATGAGGATAATTGTCAACATTTGTGCTCTTTTAGACGGCTCCATCGATTTCTTCTGCTACCCTAAATTTGACAGTCCCAGCATGTAGGTTATTGCATTCATTTGGAGATTGGATGTCAACGTTTGTCGACAACCGGTTTTCATCGATCTCATCACCTTTTAGATTTTTGCGTATTTTGGACCAGCATAAGGTGATGGGATAGCGATGCATATACCACCGCAAGCGTCGCCCGCCAACTTGCTTGGATTATATTCAGGGTGGTCATTTTCATATTTCGCCATTAGGTGAAACTCGTCACAAGCAGCAGTATCTACCCAACAGCAACATCCTGCAAACACGATTTCTGTCTGATCAAGGTAAAAGACAAGACTTTTTATCTCTAGCTCCTCGGTGTTCACTTTTATTTGATGACGGATTAGGTGTCCTGCATGTAACGGATTACATGCATGTTCCCGCTCGCGAACCGCATCGTAAGCCGCTTTTGCATTGGCTGATTCGTCAAGTTGAATGTATGCGTGGCAGCTACCCGACAAGAATCGAGGTGTACCCGGCGTTCGATTATGCGCGAGCAAAGCACACCACGGAAATGGTGGCAGGTTAGCTACTAGTGCCATTATTGAACGCCAGTTCTTTCTGAACCATGCCATCCATTAGAGGGTGGAGACGCTGGAACACTGCAACACCATACCGATGGTTCTGGTTCCGTGACTGGTGCCCAGCGTGTGGTCTTCACTTCTGAGAATGGTCTACAAATGGATTTGCGGCATGTTGTTCATTGTAGCGAATATGCACTTGGAATCGACCTGGCAGTGGCCGACGTGAGTCCGGAGGACGAGGTCCGGCCGGGGGAAACACGCAATGTACCTTCGATTCGCTGGAACATTGATCAGAAGAAAGAGATGCTGGGACCCGGTGTGTGGGCTGAAGTGGACCTTCGAGAGGGCGAGCGGATCACATTTGCTTTTCGAGAGGTGCCTAAACAAACAGAGAAGGACATGCTAGTAGATCCACCGATGAGCAATGCATTGATGGAGAGCTTGTTGAAACAAACTTTTAACTATTGGACGAGATGGATTGCGCAAAGCAAATTCTCTGGTCGATGGCGGGAGGTAGTCCATCGCAGGTGCGTGGATGTTTAAGGGTCGGTCTCATAGAATGCTCCACGACCCACGCCAATCATGAAATTATCTTCTCAGTGCTTTGGCACTAAAATTGCTCATATATGAGCCGGTAAGCTACAACGAGATCCACAACTAGGTGAAGCGGCTCAATGACAGTTACCTCCAGACAGGCGCTGTTGTCGCAGCACCTACCTTTGGTCTTCCAGAAGAGCTTGGAGGTGAAAGAAATTGGGATTACCGGTATGTTGCTCACGTACTGGGCCAATTTGACATGGTCGCTTTCCTAACCAAGAACTGTTACATGACTCAGCCTTTACGATATACGCACTGATTCGCATCGGTGCGTGATGCTCATTACCGTGCAATTCTGTCTCACGAAAGGAAAGCCAAAGCTAAAATATTTAAGCAGGGCTCACCGAGGAAGCAGAAGGGTTCATGAACTATATTGAAGCACGATGTCAAGAGTTGGTGAGTGCCCAGATCTCAGAATGTGATAGGGGTGGAGAATCGGCAAGAGCTAAACTATTTATTAGACGCCAGAGGGGGCACTTCAAGTGATGTACACGATTGGTAAATTGGGACTTGTTGCTTGAAGTGAGTAGGCGTCACTGATGACCATCTTCCACCATAGACGGGAATCATGAGCTACCAGAAGTTACTCTTGATCACCTCGGTAAAGCTTCATCAGTTCCGCTATTTGTATATGTTGGTAGACTCTAACTTTAAATTTGTCGTTTGAATACAGAGGGTTATCGGCAGTCACGCCCAGTTCGAATCGGCAATGGCGCATACGATCACCTCCAACTTGACATCTACGGTGAACTGCTCGACTCAGTCTATCTGTACAATAAATATCGAACTCCTGTTTCCTACGACACCTGGTGCCAAGTTAGACGTCTTGTCAATTACGTGTGCAAGAACTGGATGAAGGAGGACATGAGTATATGGGAAGTGCGAGGAATGAAGAGAAACTTTCTATACAGGTTCGCTCAATCGGTGACCCTTGGCGAGCACGAATTTGTTATATTGATAAGCCAATTCGCCCTCTTGAACCATGTAGCAAGATTATGTGCTGGGTGGCGGTTGATAGAGGTAACTTGACCTTGTCATCTTCACATGCCCATGCATGTCCTTATTTTGTCCATTGGCAACAGGCCTACGACTTGCCGAGAAGCGTAGTCTCCCTTGTCCTGACAGGCTACAGTGGCTGGTGACTCGCGACCAGATCTATGGTGCGTTCATATGGCGGTCGCCCCTGAGATCATGCTGCTAATAGATTAACTGTAGAGGCCATTATGACGAATGGGTGGTCAGAGAAGCGGAAATGCTTCATTCAATCATTCGAAGCTCAAGAAGATGCTACATTGGATGCTGCTGTTCTGATAATGCCATTGTGCTTCTTTATTAGGTAAAACTCATGTCTGTGTAAAAGTCGGATATGATATAGTTGCATTTTGTCTGACCATTGATTCTCGTACCATAGCCCCAGTGATCCGCGAATGTTGAGCACAATTCGGCAAATTATGCTGCCACCTGAAAAAGGTACAGTAGTCAAGGCGTCATTGATGCCTCTTATATGGGCTTACAGGATCTCTACGTAGGTGGACTGTTGGCTAACAACCTGGTATACCGATATGACCACCACATGTTTGATGACGGACTCTCTGGAGGGGATGAAGGAAGTTTCAGCATGTGTAAGTGGGCACATCAGCAAATGGCTGCAGGCGCTTGTAAGTTTGTTTCGACAGCGCAGTGCAAAAATGATGCTTTTGCGTTCCTCTAATCAAGAGTTTTGCGTAACTCTATCTTCCCTTCATTTTTAGGTACGTTTTGGCTGGTTGAGGCTCTCACACGTGCTGGCCAGCATCATCCCGAGCTGTTGCAAAGAGCTATCGTAATGTTTGAACAGGTAGGTTCATGTCGCCATGTTGGGCCCCTTCCAAACATCAAGGGTCATACTTTCTACGTAGATGATTGCATACGGGAATCACCTCACACTTTTTAGCGAAGAAATCGCAAGGAGTGGTGAAATGCTTGGAAACTTTCCGCAGGCTTTCACTCACATTGCGCTCATGAGCGCTGCATTCAATTTGGACAGGGTATTGTCTGGATATAAGTTCTAGTACAGCTTAGGGTTACTATTGCGCGTTTTCAATTTCTGGGAAACCTACAGAGAGCTATACTAGTGTATTGGCAATAACAAATGTCACAACACAATACACCAGGGAATAAACCAGCGACAACCAGCCCGGAAAAGCCAAGTAAGTCCCTCCTTACAACCAACTACTGCTACTAGGCTCAATTACACATGCAATACATTACGGTTGTTCTAACCGGGTAACTAAGCCCACCACCACGAGAGAAATCTTACTAAGCCCTTGATTCCGAGATTCTTTGGTCGGAGGATGTTCAGATACTAAGGTAGATCAGAATAATTAGACTGGATAATCCGCGTGGGAAAATACAAAGATAATGCATACCTGCGATCGTTGCAGCATAGTAGTAGCAGCGTTTGCAAGGGGTTCTGATTGCTGTTGCTGTCGGGCGGACGAGGTCCTCGGCACCAGAGCGGCATTCTCATGATGGACTTGAGAGTGTTGCTTGAATGTTGCGCAGATGCTTGCAAGTCGAGGGTAAAGAAACAAGAGGGAAGAGGGAGCAGGTCCCCTTTTATAGACCTTCAGCATGCACCTCACCGCAGTTTTAAAAAAAAGTTACATTATATTAGCATGCCACACCGATATGAGTGATAGATGGGGGGTGCTGATTATGCGATATGATTAACTGGATTAATCCGGATAATAATGGGTCCTAGTGCCATATTCAATCACCTCCACAGTATGTACTGATTGTATACTGTGTAAACTGTGCATTTGTAAATATTCGCCTTTTACTATCTTCTATCTGACTACCTAACTTAATAGTCCTCAAAACCCTTTGAATAGATCTGCGTACTCATCCACTACTTCAAGTCCAGCTTCCTTTTTTCTCTCCATATCATCACTATTCCCTGCTCGCAGCGCCAAAAGTCTGTTTTCAATACATGCTGCAACCTCCCAATCCACATCTGGAACCCAAGGTGGTTCCAAATTACGTTGTACCACCCCCCTCCAAGTCTTTATGGACCGAAACCATCCGTGACATTTAACATCTTCACTTCCATGCCATGACCCCAAGCGCTCCCGCGGGACAGGATGTAAGAGGCGTTTGACCAGATCACGTCCTGGTTGAGAGAGCGTATCTGGAAGGGTTAGCGCTGTAGTCGCTATGAGAGTTACAGTAAGATAGGGATCTGGGTCGCGCCCATACGGCACGTCACCAACAAGCATCTCGTAAAGTACTATTCCCAGTGACCACCAGTCCGTTGCTGTAGAATAATGCGATTTGGTGAGGATTTCGGGGGCCATGTCTAGTGAAGATGTATGCGTTAGAAACGAGGGGTTGCGACTACCTCGCACAGAAGCGTCCAAGTAAGGACTGTGAACATACAGCCAGGTGTTCCGCAAAAGGTGCTGGTCGACCCTTCGGCTGGTATCGATTTTGCTAACCCAAAATCACAGAGCTTAACGTGCCCATCGTCATCTACAAGGATGCTTTCTGGTTTCAGATCTCGGAAAAGTATATTCTACATGTTGAAAGTTAGATATGCCATGTCATCGAGCCGCACTCTCTAGTATCTTTTACCTTTTCGTGAAGGAATTCGAGAGCAACAGTAACTTCTGCGATATAGAATCGAGCACTCTCTTCGTCAAATCTCTATAGTGTGATGTGTTTAGTTCAGAAAATATCGTACTCCAGGTGGAGTACAAAGTTATTCAAACACTCGCATACTTTACATACCCTGCGCACGCGTAGTACTTCCCGTAGATCAATAGGACCCCAGTCCAAGGCCATGAAAACATGTTCAGAATTCTGCCACGTTCCCAAGAGCGTCACTACAAATCCTCCTTGCAAGTCTTGTCGAGCCTTCACGAGAACATCACGCTCCCGCTGCAGTCGCTGCAGGGCCTTGCGCTGTACGACATTTGTTTTTCGAAACATTTTAATAGCACAGGTCCTTGGTATGGGAGCTGGGGACGTATACCACGAGCACGCAGACTCAATATCAGACTTTAAAACGGAGAGAACAGTTGTGCAAAGCCCATCTCGAGCAACGGTGCGGAGAACATGAAAGTCTTCTGATGAGTGGTGCGCTCCCACATCCGTGACATAGTTTGATTTTTGAGGGGGTTGGGTTATGGAAGTTTGCTTGGTTATTGCAGGTCGACCTGCATACAATCTGTTTGTACTTGTTGCTTGGCGGAGACGGGCTGTCGATTTACTTGGCGATGTGAGCGTACTGGAAGATGCTACCGCGGAAGAATCGCTGTCGGCATCACTTTGTCGCCGTCGGCTTGACAGAGATGGACCTGTTCCACTTCCACTTATGGACACAGCTCTTGTTAAGGGTTTTCCCCGATTTCCAGCAACATCCCCAGAGACTGATACAGCAGTGAATGACGAAGAAGAAGCAGGACGGTGATAACCCGTTCTGTTCCCAAGCTCCCCACTTCCGGCGCTAATCCTCTGCGATTTGTAACGCTCTGATACACTGGAGATCGACACACCTTTTTGGAGTGCTGGTCGGACTGTTCGTGCTCCTTGGGTTCGAACCGACAAGGATTTGGTGTCTTCAAGCGGTGTCAGCGAAGGCAATGAGAGACCTCTCGCCGGTGCACCCGTGCGCATATTTGTGTCCAGTTGTTGCCGTGTCCTGCAGTTGATGCAACGTGTGCACTTTTACCTATAAAGCGCTGCGTAAGTCAATACTTGTGGACACTGGTCGATAAGCTTATTGGGGAACAAGTGCTCCGCAGGCTTCGAGAAGCGGAGCGAACGCAAGATAGATTACGTTAGCAAGAAATGAAATCCACGCGCGTCCAACACGCGGATTCAATTTCGTGTTGTTTTCGAGCACAAATTGGACATTAAGTTGTTCTGCATTTAAGACCAAGCTAACAATAGGGGAGCCACGCTGTTGAGGAACGAGCTGGAAATTCTAGCCATGTGAGCTCATGCGGGGAAGTGTGCGGGGTGGGCAGGAGTTTGCATGTTGGTTATCCAAATGGTCAACACAAGAACAATCGCCAGTCATCAATGGCTATGCTGTACCCGGCGTGTGGGCGGTAGCATTTGCCAAAGGCGGAGAGGTCCCGGCAATATAACCAACATTGGTTACTCTTAGCTACCAAGATTGATGTACCAATCACGGGATAGTTTGGGGAAGTTCAACTCCTAAAAACTTGAGGTTTTGATCTGTAAGATGTAAATGGAAGCGCTGGCTGACAACACCAGGGGTATATACATCTACAGCAGGAGCTGACGCATGGCCACCTAACAAACGTCACTATTGTTTCCATGTCGTTAGGGTCCTTTCCTTGCTACCCACTGATCGGCTTCAGAAAGGCAAAATTCGGTCTAATGCCTGCCTTGGAGTAGACCTTAGGTACGCATTACAGCTTTCATTGTAAGGTTCTATTGCCAGAGCAACTGGCTCAAGCTCGATTACTGCCCATTTGTTCTTGTTCACCATCGCTACAAGTAATTCTGTTGTGTTATGCTTGGGCATAATGAGGGTAGCTTACATGCTAGCAAAAGTGTCCTCACATTTCATCAAGCTTTGCCTCCTAGCCCTCCGCGCTGCCCCTTTCCCTTTCAATTGACATCCACAACGATCCAACATTTGCGAGCTGTGAATGTTGGTCAAGTGTATACTCAAAAGTTACCGTGAACTTTACAATCCAGTAAAGCAGGGAGTCCATGCTTTGTTTTTCTTTCGCTAAATCGCTGGCGTACAAATAGGTTATGGTCTGCGTAAACATCGCTGCTTTGTATTTTTGCTGCCATGCGGGTTTTGCAGTTACTGATGGATGGGTATTTGTGCACTGGTCGGCAAAGAAGTCGGGATTCCGACACCGCATTCACTTTCGCCGCAAGTGTCCGGCATATAAAAAAAGGACTTGGTTGAGCATGACTGTAGGCAATCAGACAACGCTTCGCAAGTTTACATACCTCATATAAATCCTGAGCAATTCCTCATTATGGCCCCGCTCCACAACATCCTAACGACTCTCTTGTTGGGTTCCATCTCGTTGGCCGCGGCGCTTCCAGCGAACATTACTACATCCGCCGTGAATCTTGAAGGTTCCTTTGTTAATGATATCGCAAAATGCCCAAGGCTAACGAAGAGAACCAGTGTACCTACCAACGTAGCAGGTCAGTTACATTTGGTCTTTAACATTGAAAATGGATTTACAAATGCTCACATGTGATCCAGATGTTCGTCCGGATGATTTGAAAGTTGTCCTGGCTCTCGGTGATAGTATCACTGCCGCCTTCGCCGCAAAAGTAGGTTCATGATAGCATCTGTAGCGTACCAGAGCCTTGCATTAATCATGTGCAATGTTCCCTCAGGGCCACCAAATCACCAAGCCGTTTGAGCTTCTCGATGAGCACCGTGGCCTCTCCTTCGCAATGGGTGGGGACAAAGGAGCTGTTAGTTTGGCAAACTTCTTCAAGGCCTACGCTCCGGAAGTCAAGGGCCCCTCGACCGGCCAACATCTAGTGACGGTCTGCTACGGAGGTCTCTGTAATGGACTCAAATACTATCCTGAAGACGGCTTCAACGTCGCCCAAAGCGGAGCCATGGTGGAGAACCTGGACGCGGAACTGGATCTTCTGATCACTCAGGTCAAAGCAAACAAGAACGTTGACATCCAAAATGACTGGAAGGTTCGTACATTACATAGCATTGGAAAGTGCGCCATTAGTCATCTAATTGTTCCATCAAATGCAGTTCTTGAACATCTTGATCGGAGCCAATGACATGTGCCAAGCATGTCCCGGGAGTCTCACCGGCGACAAATACGAGCAATCTATGCGAGCGATCATTGAGAAGCTTCGTGCCAACTTCCCACGTTTGGTAAGGCCCAGAAAAAGATTCCACTGCCTCTTTCCGTGCTTCTCAACAGTATTTTCAATTAGATTGTTCACATTCAAACCATCTTCAAAGTGTCCCAGGTGTGGGACATCACAAAGGACATTCCTTACTGCAAAACTATCCGTGCTTTCGGTCTCAGCATGGTATGCCCTTGCGGCTTCCTTGGTGGCGACACATTTATTGGCGTTGGAGGTCGCCAGATGATGGACAATGCTGCCGATACGTGGAATGCGCGCTTGATGAAAATTGCAGCTGACTACAAGGGCAAGTACAATGACTTTGCTGTGGTTGTCGACCCTGCGACTGGAGGAACCCCGGTGGTAAGTCAAATCTGAATGAATAAAGATACTTAAAGCGTACTAATGCCAGATGGCCTTTCCATTGCAGAAAAGTTTCGGTCAAGACTTTATTTCCAACATTGACTGTTTCCATCCTTCTGTCAATGCCCATCAATTCATCGCCAAGTCGGTTTGGAACAACCTGTTTCTCCCCTCAAACAAGAAAGCCACCACCTATGACACCAAGCGCGAAACCAGCATCTACTGCCCGACAGAAGCAGACAGGATTCAAGTCTTGTAATGAGAGAATACTCCAAAATCTATGATTAGTGGCTGTCTCGAAATAGCTTTGTTTACCGTGCTTGTAGGACTTTAATATGTAGAAGCGCCGGTCGCTTAATAATGAACCGCTGTGAATTTTCCGCACGTTGAGCTTTTACTTGCTGTGAATGGGCGTGATTATCGAGTCAGTAATGGTAGCTCCAGAGCAAACAACTTTACGTCGACTTTTGCCATTGCAGATTTTGCATCCCTTCCCATCGGAAAAATATCTGGATATGTCAGAGGAAAGAGCAAAAAAGGACTACTCATATCTTGACGTATTCTGTGTCAACGGGAGTGATGTTGAATCCAGGTGATTTGGTTTTGGAGCAAGCGTCGGATAAAGTTCCGATCGGGTGACTAAGCGACTGGTACGTGGGCTGGCTGACGGACTTGACAAGCCCTGTACCATCCAAATCCCTGGCCAGCACCGCCTTTCCATGTTATTGCCTCGACAGTCTTTTGCAAATAGTAGAGTTATGACCATACGTTATTAGTAGCATGAAATCATGGTGGCATTGTGTGATGTGAATGGAGTTATTATAGATGAATCTAGTGAAAGTGCCTAGAACCAGAGATGCCTGACGATGCCAGTAAACCTGTGTGGAGAATAGGATGACGCTTCACCTAGCAGACTCATCATTCTCCACAATTCCCCTCCAAGTCTTACTGAGGCTGCCCTTGGCGCTCTCCCTCTTACATACAAGGGAAACCCTTGATGCCTGCAGGCCAATCCGGGGCCCGATTCAGGATGGTTCTCAGTAGTACTAACTCAGCTCATTAAGAGGAGAACGCTTTTACCTTTTTCTCCGGAATAACGTAAACTAAAAAGAGAGAAAATACTCATATTTGACGTACGATGTGTCAGGGGTGACTTTCCATGGCATTGAAATAGTCAGGTGTGAGCTCATCCAGTGCGAGCTCATCCATACCGCAGCGCGGCAGTAGGAATGGCAGGGATGAGTTCACGCACACTGGCAGTGTGAGTATGGGAACGCAAGGGTTATGTTTCGGCGAGATCTGTCAGAGAGAAAGTTCTTTTTTCCTCCATCCATGGTGTTCACGATCTGTTAACTCGCACGAGACAGAGCAGGAAGACCATGGACTAGGGTTGGATGCTCGCCTGCGCCTGGCAAAGCAAGAAGGTTGTTGGGCTTGAAAGCACCGCCTCCACCACTATACTGAGACATCAGCAAGAGAATCAAACCTTCATCATCTCCTCTCCTCCTTGGTTTCACTGACAATTCAAGCTCACAGCCCTTTATAAAGAGTGCGCTGGACATTCAGCCCTCATAATCGGTCTCAGATATCACGTCCGCAGTGCTCGCCCAACTTCCAGCCCATCGCCATCCAACAGGCTTTGCCGCATTTTTCAAACATGGGCAATTCATTTCCATTGGCAAAGATGCGCTGCCTGCCCATTCTTCTTGGAGCTTTTTGCATACTCTTTGCTCCTGTATACGGTCAGAACTCTTCAATTGCGGGACCTGGAAGGAACGCTACGGTCGCTGGTCCTGGGGACACCCTTCCTGACTTCTTCCCTGACGCGGACCACCTACAAAAACATTTGTATATTGACTATGTTGACGCTGCTGAAGACCCCTGCTTGATAAATGAAGGATGCTTGACGGGAAATGGTAAGTGTTACTTTTCTTTTATCATATGTATTGAAGCGCTCCTCATGTTTGCCTCATGCTCTGCCAGGAACACGGATGTTACTTCGATTTCCAAGTATGGTTCACAACAATGGCACTGCAGACGCCTTTCTTGGAAAACCACCTGCCGACAGAGACGATCCGAACAATCCCCCATATTGGTAAGACGGATCTCGTCGCATCCGTACGTTTAAGATTCTCACTACTGTCCATCGCCATTTGGCAATAGGCACTGGGATACATGTCATGAGTGAGCTGCCGTTCGCAATTGAGAATCCAAGAATGATGACTGATCTATACTACCGTTACTATTTCTCTGTACAGACATTGGCATTTCACCGCGTACGCAAATTATCGCCTCCTCAGCGCAGATCGTTCCACCGTGATTCTGAACGGACACAAAAACGGATTTTGTCTCGAAGATGTTGGCTGCGATGAAGACGGTCTTGAACCGTTTTACAATTGCACAAATCAGGGAGTTACTATGGGATGCCATGATCTTTACGACGAGACGCTACCCTGCCAATGGATCGATAGTAAGTAATCAACATCCTTGAGCGTTATCTTGCCTGAAATCAATTATTCTAATTGCATAATTGCACGGTCTATCTGTGAAGTTACTGATCTGCACCTTCAAGCTAACTATACTCCCGAGACGGAATATACTCTTGAGATTGTGATCAACGAGGAGGGATTCTTTCCCGAAATGTCCACAGCAAATAACGCCGCCTACTCTAGCGTCGTGATTGGGAATGTGCCACCATACACTGGTCCATCGCTCGCGGAAGTTCAAGCACCCAACGGACCCGGTTCTCGTGGGAATAGAAGACCGAACAATAACGAATCCGAAGCTGGTAGCGGTGATGCTGCTGGCACAGAAGACGGTAGAGGCAATTCTAACGGGATGCGAGGGGCGGGAAGTGGAGCTTCAGCCAGTAGGAACGCTGAATCGGTTACCGCTGCTGCAAGCGCCTCTACCAGTGCGAGTGCCGCAAGTGCTACCAGTACCATGTCTCCAAGCCGAGTCCGTCATCGCCGCTGGTTGACAAAGTGGTGGTAAGAAGGGACAGCTCTCTTTTATAGTGTTCACATCGTTCCAAAGAACCGTGCATGCAGCCTTCATGCATGTTTGGCAATACTATCGCTAGCAATCTCGTTTTCTGCGTCTTCACTTTGTTTGTAAATTCGAAAGTTGTCAATAAATTGTACATGTTTTTGGTGTAAGATGCGAGCATCCCTTCGCGTCTGTCAGATATGATCGAGGATCATTAAGGGTCCGGGCATTTGTCCATTCAGATTGCAGGAAATGTCGCCTAAACGACAAGCGTCCAGCCTCGTCGCTATTTTTTCTTTTCTACATAAACGTTAGCCTTTTCCGCTTATTCTGGCCAAAACCTTCTTTGTGATTCGAGCATCATGTCAACAACCCAGGCACCTCCAGCAAATGCATCTGCAACGAATGCAGTCTTCCGCGATGCCATTCATGCAGAGACGGTGCGAAAAGAGATGAAACGGTACAAAGTATACGAGAACTACATGCTCACGCCCAGTGTTGAGAAAGGTGAGATAGTAATACTGGAGTTCAAGGGTGCGAAGTCATTAACTCAACCTCTACGGTCAAGGCCTCGTTGTGACAGAGAAACCAAACCGGGTGTCAATACAAAATATGGAGAAGAGCCTGGACTTGGATTCTGGAAAGAAACGTACGTAGATCGTGGACATTATGATTTGAAGGAAACGAAATTTACCATCGTTTGGTTTGACTCTTTGTCCTTATGCGGGGGCGTTTGAACTGTCTACAGCTGGAATAACTATTGACCACGGCCAGACACTACCAAGAACTACCAACGAAACCTACGGCTGGGATACTGTTCCGCTGATGCGTAATACGGATAGACGATTCTATCACCCCAAAATCGAGACGGAGATTACAAAAATGTATGGAACCATTATCTCAAGCGGAGGATCGAAAGGAAAGGTGAAGGAGGCCCAGTGAGACATTTCAGTAAAGACAAAGATTCTGTTGTAGGGAACAGTTTTAGAGATGCAGATATAGGTAGAGAGCTCGCAGTTTTTTAGGGTAATTATTAAGAACTAGCGTGTTTTGAGACGACGACTTGTAGAAACGAACAAGTCCACCAGTTGATGATAAATTCGATATTTTTGTTATAGAATCACCGGCATGTCTTTTCCAGGATATTTAAAAGTTGATGAGCCTTAACGCACATCGGGGAATTTTGGCCATCGTTATTTCCCGTAAAACGTGTCAAGAAAGATATTCTTAGATCTGGGGGGAGATTGAGGGTCTTTACCTGCTGCTATTAACGATCAGCATACATATCTTTGGCCTTCAGAAGTTATGATATTCCGGCCGATATGGGATGTGGCGCTTCATCTGAGAAGGGCCGTTCAAATACGGTTGTTCCAGCAACTGCCCCTAAGCTTGAAGACAAAGCATTCTCCGGCAATATTGGCCATGCGGATCATTCTCGAGAAGTCCTTGCGAAAAATGAAGATGTAAAGCCTACCACTGTGGACCTGAAGCGAGATGTAACTTCCAGCGCACAAATTGATAATGCACAGTCTGCCATCACGCCGGACGAAGCACCAGATGCGACCAAGGATACTGCGAGAGCTTCTTGTAATCAACTGCGACATAGCGATCAGTCTGTGAATACACCAGCACACGAGGGAGCCGTTTTCCCTTCGATTAGATTGTTTTTGACATCTGGCCCAGACTTGTATGTACGTATGTCCAGCACCTTTGTTGGCTGGTAGGCCTCCCAAAGACGTTTAATTCATATACTGACGTACGTAGGCTGAACGCGATGTCTTGGCAAGGGAGGTGTTTCCTGGTCTGGAGCGGGAGGTGCGCAAGAAAGGCCTGGATGCGTTCACCTTCATCGACTTTCGGTAAGCCTTGATGCGGTAATTCTGTTACCTGGGATTCAATGCTCATGGTGCTGGTTTGTAAAGGCAAGATCTGCCTCGGTATACCCCAACCGACTCCACAACGCTGCTTCACGCTTTGATGCACATAGAACACTGTCGGCCATATTATATTGGGATAATAGGCCATTCCTACGGTTGGATACCAGATATGAATGATCCAACCCACATTTCCTCGGCCACATTAGTCAAGTACCCCTGGCTAAGAAAATACGAAGGGGCTTCGACAATGGAATTAGAGATGACATACGGCGCTTTGGATCGAGACTTGGTCGGAGATGACTTACAAGCACTTTTTTACATCAAGGCAGGAGAATCTGAGCAACATCCGATGAGTGACAATGGCTCGGTTGTGTCGTTGCAAAATGCACAGGAGCAAACCCTAGAGAATGATCGCTTGGAACGATTGAAAGCGCGAATAAAAGCGGATGCGATAGCAAAAGTGCGAACGTTTGATTCCGCGGAACACCTCGTCGAGCTAATGAGAAAGGATTTGTTAGAATTAACCAGTTCAGCTACATATCTGGATCCTCGACTGGCTCTTCAGCATTCATACGCCCTGGCAATGACAGGTTGTCTACCGTATCTACAGATATACTCCCAGCTGGACGAGTTAGTGGAAAGCGGTATGGGCGAGAACTCGAGCAAATGCCTGATGCTGACAGGACCACCTGGGAGAGGTGTTTCAAGTGTCCTTGCAAATTGGATTATACACCAGAAACAATTGTCGCAATCGACATCCCACCCGAGGAGGATCGTAATGCATTTTGCTGAATGCAACACAGAGTCCTCTGATCCAGTCAGCATGCTGATGAATATCATGCATGACATATACCCTGTCGGCAGGGAACCGGCGTCCCTCCCAGCAACACCCCAGGGAATCTTTTCGGCGTTCCGCTCCATGCTCCAAACTGTTTCAGAACATCTCATTGTTGTTATATCCTCCCTTCACCTTTTGGAAAATATTTCCAATGCCCATCATTTGTCGTGGATCCCTGACAGCTTGCCACCGAACGTTACCCTCGTTTTATCTTCCGCCGCCGATAGTGCACCCGCTGTCGCTGCTCGAGCAAGAGGATGGAAGGAAATTTCTGTGAAGTCCCTGACGTGTGCAGAAAAGCAAGACTTGATCAGCAGTCTGGAGGACAGTAGTGGCGATGCCACCAAAACTCGTCTTTTAGAGGCGATAGCAAGAAATAAGCTAATTGACGATCCCCTGCTCATAATCCTCCTCTGCTCACATTTCAACAACCTCCCGGGTGGCCTCTCGGCATCGCTCATACGCACATTTACGATGACCAATATTCACACCATATTGACAACAGTCTTGGTATCCCTCGAAAAGACTTTCGCCCATCATATCGATACTCTCCTAAACCCACCTACACGAATCCCGAATAATCATGCTTTCAAAGTCAACCTGCCAACTCAGACGACGCCTCACCCTCTGGCAGCGACTCTTGCCCTCATCTACGCGACGCACACTGGGATTTACGAGGAAGAAATCCGCGGCATGCTTTGCATATCCCATCGAAGTTGGGCGGCTATCTTTAATGCCATTGGTCCACTTGTTGTCTCCTCTTCAGGGAGGGTGGTATTCATACATCCCGCAGTTCGAGCCGCCGTTGAAACACGATATGTGCCGACCAACAGATTGCGGAAAGGAGTATATACCTCTCTTGCAAGGTTTTTCTTTAAAAGAGGAGAATGGGATGTACGAGCAGTCAAGGAAGTTGCATGGGCGCTCGTACGTGGTGGAGAAGGTCAACATGTGAATTTATGTGGATGGCTCGTTAGGCCAGAAGTTGTCCGACTCTTATTGAGTAAAGGCGAGTCTGCAACAATGTTTCGGTTGTGGAATGCTGCTGGTGGAATCGGACTGGCTAAAAGACTGTACAGCCGCCTCATGGAGACAAAAGACATGGATAAGGATGAAGTCGTTCGGATTTTGATGGATGGCAAGGAGCCTGATTTGTCGCTTTCCGACCATTCCTTCATCTCCACCGAGCTGTTTACAAGTGCAGATCAGCAACTAATCACACGGTATTTGACCGCATGTGAATCAGGTTGATTCAATGCTGGCTTGTTTTATGGAGACATGGTGTACAACTGGGTAGAATATGAAAACACCCTTTTTGAACTGCTCTGCTACAGTTTTTATTGATGGCATGAATAATAGCATGATAAAATGTGCAAAGCACGATAGAGTGACTACAGAATGCAGTTGGTCGCTCCCAGTGCGATATCCACTTACAGTCATAGTTGGCCCTTTATGATGCAGCAGAAGGATGGGCACTGACAATGGAAATATTTTCTTATAAAACGAAGGAATAATGATCATGTCTCATTCATCATGTGCGAACAAAGCAGTAATCATGCGCTGCAATACTCTTGATGACCAGAGATGCAGCCACCAGCTGAGATTGTCAATAAAATGTATAAATACTGTCTGTTTCAAAGTCTATTCCATGCATTAAATCATTGAAAGCATCAGCCCCTTCTCTAACAGCATAGTGTATACCCATCACAGCGTAAAATATCGAGCTACCCAGTGCATATACAAATAAACAACCCCCAGTCCCTCCATTATCTACAAGCCCTTGCCGCAAACGTTAAAAAATCACGCTTACTTCTTCCCACCCCCATAGCCCTTAGCAGCAACTCTTGCCAAGGCACTAGCCAGCTTCCGCGGTGCCCTCCGAGATACTAAAGCGTACGGGTTAGCAACTTGACTCGGGTCTAGTTCGATAACCTCATGTAGCTCATTCCCCTCGTCAGGACCCCCCGTGGAAAAGGATCGCACTGTTGGAATGCGGTGTTCAAGATCTGTGTGCTCGGTTAAGAAAATGTTGAGTTCCTGTGCGAGAGAGAAACTGAGTACAATGCTTATGAAAAATAATCCAAAAGTACTCGTTTGCTTACCTGCCATCCACCACCTATCCGCACCATAACACTATTTCTGACTAAGCGACAGAAACATTGCCTCCGCAGCGTCTCCCCAAACCAGTATCGCCCAGGTTCATCTGCTCTCTCAACACGTATGGCAGACGGATGATGGTTGATGACATTTGCAAGAGCAACATCCAAAGGATTTCGAGGATCAGGCACGTAGTTGTTGGGGCTCGGCAAGTATATTCGCACTGGGCCACTAGCCGTTCTCACAGGAGGCGCCGGAGAGATCGGAGACGAACGTCCACCAGAAAGGGTTGTAGGAGTTGGAGACGGTGATTTAGTTCCATGGGGTGAGAGTCGTAAACCTCCCGTCGGCGTAGCAGAACCGGAACGAATCGACCAACTTGGTGAGCGTGAGCGATTGGGCACAGGAATCGAGCTCTTCTTCGGAGTGCGCTTTGCCAGAATTGGCCTCAACAAATCTTCTTTGACCTCGTTCTTCCAGGCACGAACCCCTTCCCATCGTGCCACTAACTCGATATGCTTTGGCATTTCATTAACTGCTCGCGCTGCCGACTCGAGTCGTTCAAGAAGCAGGCGAACTCTTCCGTCAAAGGAACCAAAATGGGTTTCTAGATTGATAGCCATAGTTTCGCATTCAGCGTCGGTAGGTGCAACGATCTCCCCAGCTGGCAGTTTCACGCCTTCTGCCAATGCTAAAGCGGCGGCAGCCGCGGCCGCCGCTTTCTGCACAAACCCAGAGAACTCTGCATTTAGCATCTCAATCTCTTCAATAAGCCGTGCCACACGTCTTTCAAGCAACACAGGATCGGCAGAATTGTTTTGTGATTCAACATGCTCAAGTAAAACCCGAATCTGATCCTCCAAAGCTCGTTGTTTGGTCAAGAACCGCTTTCTTTCCTTTGCGTCTCGTGCTGCGCTGTCAGCGGTATCCCGAAGTTCGATGGCTCTGGGGAGTGCCTTGCCGTCCAGAACATCTTCCACGTCGCACAGTACTTCAGGCGTCAATGGTCCGAATTCCCCACTGAGGGTGGCCTTTGTCTCTTCCACCATCTGCCACACTTCCTCCACAGCCTCATTGAATTCAATCTCGCGCCGCCGATCAACAGATGAACCACGCAGGTTGGCAACCGTCAGGATAAGGGCGTCCCACTCGGCCCTCACTCTTCCAATCCTTCGTTCAATCTCCTTCCGGGAGCCCTCCACCATATCACTGCCTCCATAGGCAACCGGGACAGCCCCAAACTCATCCTTGGCCGTCTTTGCAACGTTCATAAATCCATTGACCGTACTCTCAAACACTTTCAATCGATCTTCCAGTTCCGTTACCTCCTCAAAAGTGGCAGCCAAACGTTGCTCCTCGTCACTCAGCTCGGTGGCGCCGTCGGATCCTCCTTCCGCCAGACTGCGTTGGGTTTGAGCAATATCGTCAGCTGCCACCTTTGCCGCAGCTATCCACGTCCTGACATTGGTCATAGCCTTATCCAGAGCAAGTAATCTCTTTGTATCTTCTATACGAGCCTTTTCCGCTTTAACCAAGGTTTCCACGGTGACCAGACGGTCTCGCATCAATCTCAATTCATTTTCCGTCGCCTGTCCCACAAGTTGTTCCACCGCCAAGCGATGCTGTCCCAATTCAACATCGATACCAGCGCTTAATTTGACCGCATCCAGCAGAATCTTTTGAACGTTAACAGTCTCATTCGGTTTGTCATCCGCAGAGTGACTTCCGATCAATGCACGAGGTGGTAAAACTCCGCTCCGGTCACCCAGACGAGCACAGACTCTTTCACACCAACTCAGCACCTTATCCATCTCTTCTTTGACTGTTTTCTTCTGTTTTTGGTCCGACATTTCTTGGGAATATTCAGTAACCGCGGCGGTCAATTTTACAATGGTCCCAGAAATCCCATCAGTGCGCTCTTTGAGATGTGATGCATTGATTTCCTCGGCAAATCCGACAACCTGAAGACTAACAAGCGATCGATGACGCCTCATAGAGCGATCCTTTGGCGATTCGGCAGCAACCGTTGAAGGAGGACGCGTATCCTTGTCCTGCTCAGTCATTTTGAAAAACATTGACATGGTCAGTTCCAAGGCACCCAACTTTGTTCGCATGTCCTCCAACTCGGCTTCATATTCGAGATTGCCCTGTCCTGGAACAAGGTTCGCTAGACGTTCAGCAACTGATGATGCTTCAAATTCCAGTCTTGCCAACATCGCATGCCAATGCTGATACTTTTTGGCACGCTCAATTCCGACTTTCTCCTCTGCAACAAGCCGGGTAGCCTCTCGCCACCGCTCTTGCAGTTGGTCTGTCCGCTGCTTAATGTCTTCTTTGATCCCAACCGCAATCTGGCCTCCTACTTCCTCACAGCTGCTCACAACTTGGGCACCCACTATCTGCAGTTCCTTGATGCGTTGAGTACCCTCATTCGCAAGTTGTGCTTCCAACCGCTCCTGGTTTTTGATCCAGTCATTCAAGTTATCCTTATCCGTCTCGTCGTCCCCTGTTATGACTAAATGACGCGAGAGTAACGGATTTGTTCCCAAGTCATCCGTAGACAGTAGAAGAGATTGTCGGCTGCCTGCCAGCGACCGGCTACCGGTATTCGATCGTCCACGGTATAGTCGTTCCCGCAAGCCGCGCACCGCATCTTCCAGCAAAGGCTCACACTCAGTCAAGGATGCCAAAAATGCTTGTACGCCGGCATTCCATTTTGAAAGGGTAGCCTCCCGTTGCTGCACACCCGCTTGAAGTTTGGCTGAGCTCGCTTCCACGCGACCTCGCATGTGTATTGTCAGGTTTTCCAAGAGCTGCTGATCCCGCGCATCCATCGGGCTCTTGTCTCCGGTTTCGTTATAGGCAAACGTCTCCCAGTCAAGTTCGCTCACAAAGTTCAAAACGGCTTCTGCTTGTTGTTTCCAGGACAGAGAGTCACTTTGGTACGCTCTGATGACTTCTTCTACAAAACCTCCCAAGTTGTCCAGTCCAACTTCCGGACCGTCGACACCTCCAACAGAACCCATTCCAATCCCCACTTTGTCTTCAGTGATTTTCTTGGTGGTTTCCTCAATTCCCCGGAGAACCTCCTTTCCGCACCGCCGCGCCCAGGTGAACACTTTCCGTTGCCACTCAAGTCTTCTTCTCACCTGCCGTAACTTATCTCTCAACGCTGTCCAAGCAAGATCAACATCTTCCTGCTTCCTACGAACCGTCTCGGCCGCCCCAGTGTCATTCACACATCCTTCAATAACTGTGCGTGAATACCCCTGCAAATGCTCGTAGGCCCTGGCATATCGCTCCAAAGCAGCCTCTGCAGAGGCTATCCCAGTTTGCCTATCCACTGCACGAGCCGCGGCATGTTCAATGCAGTCATCGAGTGTATCACCACTTATGGCCGCGGTGACCTGAACAGCCTCGGCGGTTGCATCCCTCTCAACGGCTTCCAAATTCTCCACTCGGGCGCGAACCCATGAATACACTTCCTCAGCCTGGCGTAGGTAGGCCTCAACGGCGTCCCGAGTCCGCTTCGAACCAACCAGTAATCCGCGAACCCGCTGCACATCGTCCAACAGTCCTTCGAATCGTCGTGTGCAGGCTTGCACCACCACAGCATGGTCCTTGGCAATACTCGACGCACCGGGGTGCGCATTTAATTCATCAAGTAACACAGCCAGGTCAGTATTCAAGGACGTTCGTTCCAGGTCCGAGAGTCGCCGCTCCAAGTCTTGACTCAACTTCCCCCCAGAGTCATCCACTGCCCCGGTGGTGAGCGCCGGTAGCTGCTGAGTCTCAAAATCCTTGATCAGTGCAGCACAGGTTGTAGCTTGCTCTGCAAATCGGGTAGCAATACGCACGAAAGATGAACCCTCACGGACAGCTCGTGGCAAAGCATCGGCTTTCGATCTAATTTCAATGTACCGTGCTTGTAAACTTTCCGGCCGGGGTATAGACGAAACTCCCAATAGTGGCATTGATGATCGACGATCAGCTTCCGGCCCTCCTCTCCTCCCTTCCCACTCCCTGAGACCACGAATCACAATCTCAGTGGCAGTTTCAAAATCCGTCAGTTTGGGAGTTAGATGCTGTAGGTCGGTGACAAGGTTCGAATACTTTGCTTCAACCGCTTCAATGACCTTGCTGGCATGCCCCGCAAGGTCGATGCCGTCAACCTCAACCTCTGGCGTACTCCTGATACGTGAATCCAAGTCCTTGTTCAACGTGACAATCTCCGCAGCAACATCATTCTCCCAGTTTTCCACAATGGCGCGTATCGTTTCCCGACCTGCCTCTTCAGTCTGCTCCCTGACTGCCTTGGCCTGCCCTCGAAGCTCTTCAACAAACGCTTTGACCTTTAAATCGCTCGTCTCGTCTACAGACTTGTCCATCTCCTCCAGGGTTGGAACGAGACTCCCAGCACGTTCAGCAAGGACCCGAATGTTTGCTATAATATCCAAAGCAGCCTCATCTTGTGCCGCGGCGACCGCAACTTCACTTACTGCTGCATGAATTTCCTTACATGCATCATTGACCTTTTTTCCGGGAATGCGAACCTGCTTCAGTATCTTTATCCCTGCTTCAATTTGCTCAGTGCTAATCTGAGTTGCATCAGCAATTGACGCCAAGACGCGCTCAACTTCATCCATCTTTTTCTGTACTGCGATCGGTACAAAGTGACACTCTGGGTCACCGCGAACCAGTTCCACACACTGATTGCCCACTTGTCGCAAGCTGCCAACCAGCCGCTTTGTCTCGTCTTCCTCCTTTGCTATATCCCGGAGTAGGCTTGCATAATGGTCCTGACTGACTTCAGGGTCTAACCCATGGGGCACTTGCCGATCTTTTTCAATCTTGAGGTGCCGCTCAAGCAAAGATAGCAATGTCGCAGCTTCCCTCGTAAACTTCCCAATGGTGCGCTCAAGGGAAAGACGAGCCTTGAGGACAGGGGCACGTTCCAATAATGCAGAATGCTTTGTTTGAAGTCGCTCGATGACATTCTTAACAAAATCATTCCGGCCCGTGAACAACTCATCCCTTGCCCAGGCTAACTCTTTCGGTGGAGTTCGAGTCCACTCGGACGAAAAGGGTGTTTCAGCAACGGTGGAAACCAAAGGCGTCAATTCCTCGACCAAGTGCTGCTCAATCGATGTTGCCGTTGTCTCATGCAACGTTAATGCCTCCTCCTGTCCCATGACTTGACCGTAGCCCGTATTATAAATTACCGTCCGCATAGCAGCCATCACGCGATTTTGATCAAACTCTATAGAATCGATACTGGATTCCGCTTCGGAAGCATTACCAAGCCACGTCCTCTCTGCCGTCAGGAACTGTTGCAGCCAGGTGTAAGCTTCCAGCATGATTTTTTCACGAGTTTGAAGCTCCGGCATGGTAGATGACCGCCGAACTAATGCTTGCTCAAAGGACTGCCGCAACTGTGCAAACCGAGTCTGGATTCGAGAATGAAAATTCGGCTCACTTGCTAAAGCCTGCAGTAAAGATTCCGTACGCGCCACAAAAGGAGACCAGCGCGTCTCTTCAAAGACGGCCGCGTCTGCTTCAATAGCCCGTACTCGGCCTACAATGTCCTTTACAAATTTGCCGACCTCCTCCTTAGATTTGTGGATGGCGGCACTGCTGGTATCAGCTATGCCCAATATCACATCCCATCGACTCGCTTCCTTCATTCCAGTGATCATGTTCCGCCGAGTCATTAGACAGTTTTCCAAACTCGATTTGATTGCAGCATCGACAAAATCAATAGAATTGGACTCGCCCCCTAATGCTTTCACGACTCTCTCCACCTCATCGGCAACTTGTCCCCATTGAGTAACGAGAGCCTCGCGTTTCTCAGCAACGGCACCACGAGCGCGTTCCAGGATTTCCGTCTTGAACAGAGACATGGCTTCTAAAAGCGCTTTAGCAGAACTCCGCAAATGCTGATGCGGAATGGCGACAAACGGAGCCGAGACATTTAGCAACCCCGTTGATGCGGATGCTACAACTGTCTCCCAGATATTATCCAATGCAGCCAAGGACATCCCCACATTAGCACCGCCCTCCACACATTCTCGGACAGTGGCCATACGCTCCTCCCACCATTTTTCCGCAGTAGCAATCCAATTGTCATCCTGATGAGCATTCGCCATTCGGTCATTCCCTTCATTGGTCCACTGAGCTAATTCCTCCCTCCACCGCTTAATGGCTTCGTCTACCCGCCGAACCTGTACACAATATGCCTTTGTAACCGAAACAGCGGAAGTTCGCAATTGAGCCTCCCGTCCTTCCTCCTCATTACGCCGTAGACAGGCACTCTCCACTTGTTCGGCTACTTGCGCACGACGGGTGGAAAGCAAGGGTGCCATTTCTTGTGCGATGAAAACAAGGATATCATTGTTCCCCGTGTCCACAAGTTTTTGAATTTTCGCAGAGAGAAAAGATGGTACCGAAGTAAATTTAATTGAAGTCTTGAGAGAAGCTGACGTAGCTGGCGATGACGAATTCATAATGTCCTTTTCCAGCACCAAAATGAGTTCTGTGGTCCTGGTTCTCAACAGTTGCATACGAAGCGCAAAAGTCGATTCAACCTTCTCAAGTAATTCCTGCAAGACCTGCATCGACTGCTCGTATTCTTGCACATAATCCCGACTCGGTGGCTCCCACTGTACAAGGCCACCTCCCAGTCGCTCAAACACCACATCTTTCATCGCCTTGACTCGCTGCGCGGCCCTCCTCGCATCCTCGAAATCAATCAATTTATCCTCATTCTTTTGAGCCGCATGCAAATCTTTCCCCATGGCTTTGATATCCCTAACAAAACGCTGGGCCTCCTCGCGCAGCCCACCTCGCCAATCCAACCCGACCAGCTCTGCTTCAATTTGTTGCACCTTTGCGCTGCGCTCCGCAAGCAATTCCAAATAGGATTTCATCGAAGATACAAAGGTCGGAAATGTCTCTTTGGCAAACACTTGAAGCCGGCTCTTCAAGTATCGGTGCCGCTCCTCTACTTTCCTTGTGTCGGGTGCCGCTCCTTCGTTTCCTGATATTAAATCTTGTTCAGCGCGCTTGACATCGTCGTAAAGTCGGAGGAGATGGGGCATCAGAGCAGCTCCATATATTTCATCAAGATGCACAGAATCCTGTTCGGCTACACTGGTAAAGGCGTTTGCCAACTCTCGCTCAATTAGAGAGACTTGCGTTTCAATAGTGCGTTTCAAATTGTCGACATTGGTACCCGGATCTGCCCATGCGTTTAAAATGGGACGTATCCAGCTTTCTTCTGAGACCGCTACATTTGAAATATCCGCACCGCTCGCGAGTACTTCGCTCAATCGAAGAAGATCTTGTGTTTGCTTGGCGAGCCATGATCCGAGACGGTTAGCATGGTTCACGTACATTGCAATGAGCCTTTCGCATCTTGCTGTAGGTGACGCATCGTTGCGTTCCCCCTCCGAAACCATGACCCGGAACGCGGTGGGGGCCGGAAATGGCCGATCACGCAATACCCAATAGATTTCCGATACCTTTTAAACCTCATCAGTTAGCAATTCCAATATGTTATATACTGCATTGAACGATCTCTCACATAGGTCATGATCACCATCTCATCGGGCCGATCTACATTCGCAATATCCTCCACATCCAATAATTGCGGGATACCCATACGTTCTTCCGCAAGAGCAAAAGCTTTCGACAAAGAGACGCGCCAATCAGCTGGGTTCGTGCTATACAAATAACTTGTCATAGACAGCCTGGCGCGCATGACAGGACTCGAAGGAGGTGATGCCAGTCCAGAACTGGTGGAATTGCGTGGAGATAGAGTAAATGGAGGATCGCGGGGACCTGAAGGTTTTGGTGATGAAGGGCCGAACGGGTCCAAAGAACCAAGTGAAAACTCGCTACTCAGAGAATAGCGGAGGCTAGATTTTCCAGGTATATCAGGGGAGGAAGGTGCAGACGATCCTACGCTAGATCGAGATATGACGCTACTGCGAGCGGCTCGGCCGGCAAGGGCTTTGGATTCCCCGTAACGCCGACATATTTCTGTCAGCTCGGGCAACAGTTCGTGGTTATAGGTATGTACGAGGCACAAAAAGGCCATGCCACTCTGCCATGCTTCTGAAAAGTTGGTAATACGGGGAATTACGCCAACATCGACATACGGTGCCAAAATCTGTTGACACCAATTCAAGAGGGCGGCTTTTCCACCTGCGGCAGACAATGCGGCCGGTCGATTTGACGTCAGTGATGGCGTATCTTGTGAAATGGGTGAATTTGGATCTAGGTTTGGTGACTATATAAAAGCAAGTTACTCTACGGGTTCTCGGCAAACAACAAATACTATGACCAAAAAATGATACCTCGAGTCTCATTCCCGGGTCCGACACTGATGCCACCGACTGAACCGACACTCGCTTGTCCTTCATGGCAATGGCCTCAATCCGAAATCTCAAAATCAAAACCCATACTAATCCCATTGTCAATTTCAAATTCCCATCGACAATATCCTCACTCCCAATATTCGATAAGGGTTCTCGAAGTTTTGTTTGCAGAAATTTCAAGCATTTGTCTACATTGACGATACTGTAGATTCGCGTCAGAGCTCCAGCGTTGCCTGACGATGCCACGCGGCTGACAGCACGTTCCGGTTTTGGTAGTTTCTCGTCGCTGAGTGTTTCAATGAGGTGTGCGAGGCGGATACCGTCGCGAAGGTCCTGTCCAAGATCGCGAATGACGAATTCGTCGCCCAAAGTATCTACATTTTTGTTTCGAGCTTTTGCAAGCTGGACATTGCACCTGAAAGAAACAACATTCATATTTAAGCATAAACCTTTTTATCAACACACCTTGTTTCAACAACATTTGCATAGCTCACCACTTTGTAAACGTCTTTTTTTGAACCAACAAATAGTCCGTCCTCAAACTATCTACCTTGGTATCAGCCTCCTCAACCGCAGCAACAGATCCCCTCCGTGAACCACCCAAACTCTCCTTTGACCCCCTTCGCGATAAACTCCCGAAATCGCTGTTCCCGTCGCTACCCGAAATGGACTTGTTGTTGTCGTCCCGAGAGGAACGACGAGAAGCTATACGTTTTATCCACGACATGGAGTGACAGGGAAACTAGAATGTCTTGCTGTAGGATGAGATTAGCATATGCGATATGGAATCAACAAAGTTTACTGTGATGCGCATTTGTGTCCTACCGTAATAACTCAAAACATGATGTCCATGATTGTCATCATTTTTAAGAAAAAAGTGGTCGCTACGAAACCTCTTGATGTCTATGACGTTATCCACCGAATAAACAATATAAAAAAAACTTGAACGTCACGATCTACAAATAAAAATCCTGGATTGGATGATGAGGCAGGAATTCGGAAAGTGCAATTAACCTCTTGGTTGTGTAAAGCCACGCTTTCCAATACACAGGATTTGATAACGTAAGCGCGATCCTGCTCCGTATTGAAAACACTAAAGTATAGGCAGGAATGAACGGAATTTTATCACATGCAATATTGAGGGATGCGTAAGGATTGAGGGTCGACTAAATGCAAAGGTTCCGTGGTATTCAGTGGACAATGTTCGGGATCCTTAGAGGGATATTGCGAAGACATCAGTGGTAATATAAACGATCAAATAACATTTGCAAGATGGTGCACTTGTTGTTAAAAGCACATTCATGTACTCTAAAGCCTAGAGGACATCAACTCCAAAGGTCTAGTATACACAATATCTGAACATACGGCACACATCTCGCATTGTTTTGTAAATCTCACATAGATTAACAATTGCTTTGAAATCATTAAACAATAAAAGTTCCCATTTCTGAGACATTATTCCAAAAGCCATAAACTGTTTGTCCCAGATTTTATAACTCGCCTCTAGAGGGAAGGAAACGCGCATCCCATCAAACCCCAATTTCCAACACGATCCAAGGCGTCCAGCTAGTCAATCACTACCAGAACCCAACCAAAACACTCAAACCAATAGAGAAAAAACGTAAGGACATGACACACACAACTGCGAGTTTGGTATTGGTATATTTTCTATTAGTCTTGTCAAATCGTTTAAATCTCGTGATGGATTTTCTTTTTTTTTTTTTCTTTCGGTTTGTGCTAAGACTAAAAATACTATCCAATCTTGACACTAAAATCGCTAATACTGTATAACGGTCAACCGACCATTTTGGTACAAGAAAACGTTTCCAGGCGGTGAGGAAAGGACACCAGGAATATACAGCCTCTCTTCGCATCCCCCACTTCTGAATTCAACACACATGCAAAAAGTCCTTACCCATTTCGCTATCGTATCTACACATGCCCCCGCTCAGATTTGCAATCAATAAATAGAAAAGACCGAGTTCTCGTGTCTTTCTGTTCTTTAAAGTCTATCTACGGTTGAGTTTTTGCGCCTTTTTCGTGTGTTTTGCGTGGAATATGCTATCGCTCCCTCTCTCTTTGGATTGCCTGGTCGCCAGCGAGGCCCTCTATGACACGAACCAGATATCCTCCCATATACCATCTCTCTCCAAAAACTGACATCCACCAAATATGGATATCCAGTTCTGCGCGAAGTTCAGCAGTGTCCTCGCGGTTGTACTCGTCCGACAACGCCAAGGCAAGCGCCACGGCAGAATAAAATGTAAAGTAACATATAATAAGAGTAATGTATTTAGCACTTGGGTCGAGGTTTTTGACTTTGTGGATGAGCTGGGATATTCGGCGTGTATGGTGACGAGTCGTTGCGTTGACGTGTGCTAGGGAAGGGTGGGTAGAACGCACTCCATTTCGACGGGCTTTGAGAAGGGTGGGGAGGTGGAGAGCAACGTAGCAGGCATGATACATGATATGCAGTGATAATAGTTGCCATGGCGGCGGGTGGCGGCTGATGGTAGATGGGACGAATGTGGTATGGTGGTCGATGGATCGGGCCCACGGTGGAAGGTAGGTAAGCCACGTATGCAGCTCTTGTTCGATTTGGTCGATGAGCTCTTGATGTTCAGGGGATAACAGAGGCTGTGCAGTTTGTGCATGGGATTGGCTCGTCCCTGGGGTCGTATCCATGAGCTCCCTGCGCCCTGGAGTTCTCGGATTACTGGAGACATTTTGTACAATCTCGGACACTCCGATACCCAGTATTTGAATCCTAGCATACAACCTCGTCAACCTTCCTGATGCATCCCCACAATGCAGGTCTTGTACGGGGTCAAAGGCGCCAATAGCCGGTAATCCTTCTTCTGTGTGGACCGACTCCCACATGTGATCCGGCGCGGGAACCCGTACTCGACGCGTATAATCATGAATAAAGGGCGTCCGATCTAAAATTGGTTGATCCCTCTCGGCAATGATTCTCGCTCGATCTTCTGGGCTGCAATCCGTCACGTCCAGCGCGCATAATGTGAACCACATGCGTCGGCGCGCTTCCTTGACAAGCCACGGAAGCGGACCGTGCACTTCTTCTACATCCGGATCGATATACATGTTCAGCACGACGGCCATTCGTATGGACATTGCATAGAAAGCGGATGCACTTGCTGCCAACAGAAAACAGAAAAGCGCATCATTAGATGAGAATTCATGTACGAACATCGTACCGTTGCACTCTGCCATGGACCGCCAAAAGAAGTGCAAACGATAACTTACGTTCTCCCATTCCTGGTGAATAGACAGAGCACGTCACAATGGAAGCGAGGAAACATACAATCAGTTGATGAACAAAGAAAAAAAAAAACAGCAATAAAGGAAAAAAAGGGACATGATGCATACTTGTGGCAGCTATTTCGAAAAAAAGTTGATGTGCGTAAGAATAGAGAAAAAACAACATTCATACATGACCCAATAAACTACATACCAATTCCAATCAGAGACAGTCCCCAAACGGTCTCAAAAGTGGGGTTTTCGAGCAGCTCAGCAATCAATCCTCTTGCTCGATAATAATACGGTTCGCCTGCTCTATACAGTGGCAATTGTCTCTCCCTGATATATTCCTTGACGGCCGGATGCTCAGAGTACGGTGCCGATTGCGCCGCGATGGAATAGATGAGAAACGGGGAATGTTCCGAGAGAGGTTTGGCCATAAAAGTACGACGATGTGCGGGTGGATGAAACCATCGGACAGCAACGTAATCAAAGTAGATGCGAAGCATATCCTCTAGTACATCTTGCGCAAAAACAGCAGCAGACGGTGGTGGAGGACGTGCACTGGGCGATTGAGAAGGATGGTGGCGTGTGCCCGGTGATACCCGCGAAGGGTCGTTATGAGCAGGTGTAGGTGTAGTGCGTCCATCGGAGGGGGATCTGTAATTGTGGGACCCAACTGGTGTGGACCGGTCCGAGTCGCTACTGCCAACTGAAGGTCTACGGCCGGTCGCAATGAGTTGTTCCACTTCTCGCAGTCGCTCTTCCAACATGCGTACATCTGCAAAGAAAAGAAAAAAAAAAAAAGAGTTGAACAAGAGAGCAACAAATGACATGTATGCAGCAACACCAAATATCCCTTACATGCGTCTACCGTCGTTGATCGTCGCCCGCGACGCGCGGCACCGAGCCCTCGTTCTCTAGCGGTATATGAGCAGGTGAAGCGGCCCCGAATGCATGTTGCGCACGCCGGTCGACCAGAATCGCACTTGCTCTTTAGTCTGTAACCTGTTGTTAATGGGAAAGAATATGGGGAAAAGCAAAAAAATAAAATCGTATGGAAAAACAGCCCCAGATCAGAATCTTTATGATGATTTTACAACGCGTCCCCCAGTCCGCAGTTTGGACAAACTTACATCTATCACAGGCCCAAACCGTCCTTGTCTGTCCTTGGGAACGAACTCTTCGTGCGGTTTCAAACTGCCTTGAAATTCCCCGCGGTACAGAAGAGTATGTGACTGCGTCGGATGGATACGAACCCGACGGGGTTGACGGAGAACCTAAACCCGAAGGTTTTGACGGCGATGCAGTCTGGGAAGAATCCGACGGCGAACTCTCACGAGAAGTCATATCGTGAGTGGAGAATATCGCACAACGAATCGAAACGACGTTGCCCTGATATCTCCCGTTGTGCTGTTTTTGACTCTTGCTCTGATGTCACAATTTTTTTTTTAAAAATTGGATCTAGGTAAACAGCTGTTTTTGTCCCTGGGGAGCGGATGACTGTCTCAGCACATTGCGGTGCTGGCCACCAAGCCGTACGCCAACGAGATACGATGTTTATAGCGTTTGGATCGCCAGATCTGTCCTCTTGTGTGTGTTTTTGTATCGGATCTAGTGTGTGGGTTGGGGGGGGATCGCAGGGGAGAGGCAGAGCCTGTGGCGTTTTGACTCGTATCGACCAGAGCGGATGATTTCCAACAAATGCACGATGGCGAGGATATAAATTAATGCCTTGTGAGCCTTCGTTTACCAATGGTGATGTGTGTTTGTGTCGCGGGGAGTAGGTGCTAGCGTATACTTTCTAATGTTGTCGTATTTTCACAGTGTGTTCTTTATATACATGCGACTGCAGTTGAGACACGTTCGCGTTGGGGTTTCGCGTCCGCTTTTTGGGCTTTCTTGGAATTCAACCCTTTTTATTCTCTTTTGCAGTTCTGCAGTTTTTCTTGGGAGGAAGGCCGAGGGAGACAAAAGGAAGCGGGTTCCGAGTAGACAACCAAAGAAAAGAAGAAAATCCAATGGACACAGCGAACGGTCCACAGGAGGTAGAAAAATGGCTTTCGAGTAGGAGCGGCCGGGGGAAGGAAGGGAGGAGGAGGGGGGAATGAAAGATGGGGGAAATGTTTAAATGGGTTGTGTAATAAGGACAAGGTAAGCCGGCCGGCCAGCCGACGATCGAAAAAGAAATCAAATTCAAAAAATTAAAAAAAAAGGGGACACACCACACCCAAACAAAAAAAAAAAAACGACGACAATCGGAATCTGCCAGATTGTTCAATAACCCTTTTGTTCCTTGTCTTGGTTTCCCTCGGATGAGTTTTGTTTTTTGTTTTAGAAAAAGGGCCGTGATGTCAAAACTACCACGGATGCAAGTGGTCTGTTTTTGAGGATAGAAAACTAACGAAAGCAAACAGGTCTAGTTTGGGATGCGATTCAAAGCAAGTGTTCCTTGTCGACACTCCCTAATGTGTTTGGGGAAATCCTCCCCCCCCCCCCCCCCCCCCCTTCTGCGGTCCTTTTTTGTGCTTGTTGCAAGCCCGCCGTCTCCCGTCATCTGTTTTCCTTCCGCCAGTGTGTGCCCAAAAGTCCACCAAAAAAAGGACTGCAAAACAAAACAAAACAAGAGAAAAACCGCGGATTCCATAATAAATAATGGCCAATCTGCATGTGGGCAAGTCTTGAACAATGCCCATTATGTCCCAATCGTGGATTCCTTTTGTTGGATGTTGACTCCAACTGCAAGAGGCTTAGTATGCATTGAAAACTCTTTTAAAGAATGCTTACCGTGATTTCATGTATGTATTGGATATGCAATGTGTTTTGGTATGTGTGTGTGTATGTGTGCATTTTGTTCATGTAATGTTGCATGATAAGTGCTGTATGGCTTCCCATGCAAATTCATGCAACACTGTCCTGCTCATTCTGCAACCTCGCTTGCTTCTACTGTATTTTGCTCCCCTTTGCAAGCAGCAGGATGGTAGAGAGTGTGTGGTGCTAGTAGCAAAACAATTATCCCTTTGTAATGTCACACGTCGGCACACATTTAAACCCTTTGTTAACAAGACCTATTTTTTTTTTCTTCTTTTGCCATGTCACGCTTATATCCCTTAACAAACTTTAACCAGCCATATTCGATTGGAGGGGGGGATCGGGGCGAAATCGAGTATTGCCTCCCCAATCGTAAAAGTTCGTGTCCGATTCTGTGGTGTTTTTCACGGTGTAAGTTGACAAGACACTTGTAAACGGGACATGTTGATCCGGACGCAAAGGGCATATAAAAGTCATTTTCTATTCAACCGGAACCTAAAGCGTACACAGGGCATGTGTGGTATTTGTCCTTTGGGTTGGCTGGGGTGTCCCGAGAAACTGGTTAGGAAAAAGAAAACCCAGCAGTCAGAGAGAGATAAAAAATAAAACATGGTAAAAATGCGATATTCTCGTGGCGCTCAGCAAAACCCCCCAGCAGTAAGAGTAGTTTATAAACCCACCACACATACACACAGAGACAAGTGCCAGCTGTGATGACTTTTACGTGCTTGATATATATAATGGGGCAAGCGATACTTTAACTCCTACTTGAAGCAATTTCCCACAAGAATTGCATTGTTTTTCCTGCCTCGCTTGCCTTTTTGGGTGTGAGTCTCCACTCCCAAATGCTAGTAAAAGTGAATTTCGATCCATACGGGCGGGATATTTCCCTTTTATTTTTTAGCTTGTCCAGCTGGCCATGGCTCCCACCGCGGCGGATATGCAGGGGGATATAGACGACATTTGCCAAGTGCTTATCAACGGCGGTGCAAGCTGCCACTTTTCCAAGCGGGATCTCTGAAGAAAAAACTTTCCCGCGTCCTCTTTTTCCCCTCTGCCAGATGGCTCATTCCCCAATTGGCATAACCATTGTTTATGAACCAAAATAAATATCTGTTGGCATAAAAAAATAAACTTTAGGAAATTAATCCTTGCAAACCTCTCGCCAGATAACAAAAAGTTACAAAGCAATATGCACCAGGGAGTGACATCCAAAAACTAAAAAAGGAAATATCTTCCACATATCGACCATCATAAAAAATAGAGAGTGACTACAAAAGTTTCAAGATCTTTCTCAACAATTCTCTCCCTGTGTGTGTCTGTGGGAAAAAAAATAACAGCGAGATCTGCACAGCCAAAATGGAGAAAGAAAAGGAGGTTCCGGTCTCTCGGCCATTGAGATTTCATTTATCCGCAATTGGTGTCTATGACGTCATCACATGGCAAGTTTCACAGCGAGTTGGATCCCTCTTAACCTTCTTCCCACAGACCACAACCAGCGGCGGGTGGCGGCGGCGGCGGCGGGGGGTTTTTTTTTTACGACGATCGACGGCGACAGCGACAAAAGTGACGACCATGGCGCAGGAAACATCCACCGTATGACTAGATGTGTTTATCATTTTATTTAATTTCTTGTTTCCAATTGACATCATTGGTACTGGGGTTGTGTCGGTTATTGTACACATGCTTGTTCGTTGTATTTGCATGTGTATGTCAAACAGGTCTTTTAGTGTGTGAACAAAGATGCAACAAGTACTTGTTGGGTGACAACGACAACATCAGCTGTCGTGTGAATTGCAAAAAAGGATCTCTTCCATTGAAAACGGGCGCGCCATGTCCATCCAGTCGGACGTGGATCGCATCACTACCAGTACGCATCTATTGTTCTGTAGATCGATGGGATTCTATATGCAGTTATTACATTCACTGCACACACCAAAAATACCGACAAAGCAAACTAAAACTTACTTTGGGGTCTATCCCCAATATTTACCCCCGATCGACTTTCTGAGCCCGGAGGGTCATGAGCCAATAATCACGTCAGGGTGGAGATTGAACAAGTTCTAGCTGCGGGCTGCCGGTTGCTTGCTATTTTGGATTTCCGTTGACCTTCTGATGGTGCAAAAAAAGTTCTTTTTGTTTTTATCCAGTTTTCCAGTCGTTTTTCGGGCTTGTTTTAACGGGCCAGATTATTCCATCATTCCATGTCTCCCATTCTACCTGATCCAATTGCACGCCTTCTTACAGCTCACAGCAGAGTGTTAACCAGTGTCGTCCGGCCGTCTGTCGATGAACCTTGTGCCCTTTTCGTCAAAGAGGCCATAGCCATTTGTAATGCGCTCAGTGGTTACGTGAGTGTTTCGATTGGGACAAAATGGGAGCCCAAAAGTGTCGTGTCCAGAGATGACATGCCTGTCAATATCTTCTGGGAAGGAAGTGAACATGAGGAGGCATTGGAGGACATGTGGATAAAGGGCAAGGTATGATATCGTTCATTGTTCAAGATTTACATTGTGACGAGCAATGGATGATGGCATGGAGCAAAGCCATGAAATCGTTAGGTATCTTTCCTGTCATTTGGCTGTTGTGAATAATGTTGTGCATTCTACGACTTGCAGCCTAGTGTTTCTCACCCTGACACAACCAGTCGATCTCGCACATCCTTACACGACTTTTTGAGACATCAAGTACGTTTGTGCGCCACAGATCTGTCCAGCTGGCCTTTTGTTTTTTTTTTTTATCCATCTCGTTCATGGTCGTGTGGTGACTGTCTTCTGACGCAGTCGAGTACAGGACCATGTAAAAAGCGACTGGATTATCCTCAGCATTCCTCTCCAATCTGATGACTCGCCAAAGCCATCCGAACCACGGGCGATTCTCCACTTGAATATCTACCCACATGCACTTCCATCCTTGCTCACTCTAACGAACCTCTGCTCGCTCGGAGCGACGCTTTTTGCCCTCCAGTCGTGCATCGATGCTTTGACAGCTCAAGTGCGACGGAATAATGTTGTACAAAAACTGGTCTTGGATAACGTCGAAGAAGCAGTTGCCATTCAGTTATATCCAGACAATCTGAATGCGGTAAAACAACCAGATTCGGCAATACCATTGCAACTCAACTCTGCTGGCAATGTTTTCTTTAACGGCAATCGAGATTTATACCTTGTTTCTCCGCATGAAGAGGCAACACATGGTCCCGAAAGCCCCTTTGCTCGCGCCGCCTCGCTCCCACCAGATAACAACATTCAAAAAGGCCTGCACATCTCCGTTAGCCCGCGCCCTGAACCAAATCAAGCTCGTCTCCGACTCTCCCAACAGCAATTCACGGCAATCGCAACTGTGATTGCCCTCTTTGACGATGATGGGACTCGGTTTGGCGGTATTGTGATTACCCAGGATGATCGCGAGCGAAAGAGAGAGGCAGAGCGACTGGAAGAAAGTGGGAGGCAGTTGAGAACCATCTGTGAAGCCATGCCGCAGGTTCGTGTTTTGTTTTTAAAAATGTTTTGAATCTTAAGCTTTGTAATTTCGTCTCCCATACATTTGTTTGTTTTCAATGGAACAGTTGGTGTGGACGACAGCGCCGGATGGGTCTCACGAGTACTTTAACACAATGTACGTAATTTGAAATATTTGGGTTTGACTCTAAAAAAGCATAATCACTCGTCATCTTTTGACCAGGTGGGTGGAATACACTGGGTACTCTATTGAAGAAAGTTGCGGAGAAGGATGGAAGCACGTTCTTCATCCAGACGATTATGAACGAGTAGGCCTGACATGGGCGGGGTGCTTGGCAACAGGAAATCCGTACCAAGTAGAGTATCGCTTCAAAAGAGCGAGCGATGGAATGTACAGATGGTTTCTAGGAAGAGGTAACAGTCACGGCGGACAAAATTGCCTTCCCAAGTAATGTGTCGACCAACCTTTTAACACTTGATGTTGGTCTAAACCCAGCACTACCTCTGCGTGACGACAATGGCGAGATCACAAAATGGTAATGAACCCTATAAACATACAGTTCATCCATATTTCGCATCCGTAAACACATTCCAAAATTTCCATCATTTTGGGAAATTCCAGGTTGGGAACATCAACAGATATCCACGACCATCGAGAAGCCTTGCTCGAAATCCAACAAGCCCGAAGCAAACTTCACCGAATCATGACACACACATCCCTCTACCTCTGGTGCGTAGACGAAATCGGCATCATCACACTCGCCCAAGGAAAGTTCCCCCGAACCCCACGGGAAGTAGTCGGTAAATCCGTTTTTGAAGTATTCAAAGATGTACCCACCATGTGTGAGAGCGTATCAAAAATCTTGGAGGGACGCGAGACCCATGTGCTGGATGAATGCTATGTGGAAGGTGCGTGGTATCGAACGCAGTATACGCAGGTTATGGAGGAAGGGCCGGCAAAAAAGAAGGGAATTGCGTGTGTGTCGTTTGATGTGACTGCGAGGAAAATGGCGGAAATGGCATTGCTTGAAAGTGAAATACGAGCAAAACACTTGTTCCAGGTTAGGAAGCCTTTAATGAAAACGTTGGGTGTGTCCAAAAATGATATCTACAAACAACGACCGCTAACACTGTTTGATCTAGTCCAACATCATTGGCGCCATTATTTTCTCAACAGACTCCACGTTCCCCTCAACACACATTGAATGCAATGATGCCTGGCTCCACCTATTAGGGCTAGATCGGGAAGCATACGAAAGCGCCCTGGCTGAAGAACGACAATTTCATGGCGCAAGCGAGAATCATGAGACACTCATCAAAGCTGCAAGGGCTTGTTTGAGAAACTGTGAACGAGAACTGATCAAGCCGGATGGGACACGAGTCCCCGTATTACTCGGTGGTGCTAGTGTGGGTTCAAAGAAGCTAAAGATAAACCAAACTTGAAACGGGCGCTAAGCGTCCATTTTCATTAATAGATACCCCACCAAGAAAACCTGTACGTAGCATTCGCCATCGATCTAACAGACCAAAAACGCATCCAAAACAAAGCCCACGAAACCTCCCAGCAACTACGTCGCGTCGTCTGTTCCCTCCCAGCTTCTGCGCTGATTTACGCCGTCTCGCTAGATACACATCAAATCACCGTCGCAGAAGGCCAGCCCCTTTCCCCCCTTTTTTGCCAACCGGACCAGATGGTGTCAACACGCTATGAACAAGCCATCAAAGACCCAGAAGTCATTGCATGCATCCAGTTGGCGCTCTCTGGCGGGTCCACGAGGCAAGTGATCAAACGAGGCGACATGTGGATTGAAACTGCTTATGGTCCTCTACGAGATGCGAATGGGAGTGTGACGGGAATGGTCGCGCTTGCCACTGATGTGACGGAACGGAGGAGGATGTATGAAGAATTGCAGAAAAGTATTGTGGAAAAGGGGGAATTGATGGCTGCTGAGGCTGCCGCAAAGGAAGCTAGCCGGCTAAAGAGCGAGGTGTGTGTATGCGCTTTGTTTATGGCCGAATACCGGCTGTCTATCGAATCTTGACTGACTTTTTACCAAAAAAGTTCCTGGCAAATATGAGTCACGAGGTATTGTTCACATATCGCCCATTTTCGGATAAAACGGTATCGATAAACTTTGGGTACTCTTGCAGATTCGCACCCCTATCAACGGAATCGTCGGCATGACGGACTTGCTCTTAGACACACGGTTGACAGAAGAGCAAAGAGACTGTGCGGCAAACATTCAAAGAAGTGCCGATGCATTGGTGAGCATGTTCTCTTAGTTTTCTTTGCTATACATCAAATATTCACTTATTGCTCTCGTATTCGATAGCTGGTTGTTATACAAGACATTCTGGATTGTACGTTTTTTTGAATCCCATCCAATAAAAACCTAAAATGTACTCACAATATTCCAACCTCCAGTCTCCAAAGTCGAAGCTGGTAAACTCGAACTAGAAGACACACCCTTCTCCCTCCCTCAACTCCTATCAGACACTGCACAAATGGTTGCGTACAATGCCCAACGAAAAGGCGTCACGTTCACCCGCGAACCTATCGTCGTTGTATGCAATGACGGGAAAAGGCTGCAAGGCTGTGACGATGCTATTCCCATTGTTCGTGGAGCGCCAGGGCGGATCCGGCAGGTGTTGGCTAATCTCTTGAGCAATGCCGTCAAATTTACGAGTGCCGGAACGGTTACCATGCGTGTCGAGATTAGAGAAGTGGAGGAAGGGCGGGGGGAGAGTAATGAGCAAATGGCGGCGGGGGATGAAGAAACAAAGTGTCCAAATGCTCGACCCTCCACCATGGGCACCTGTTCCCCTCCAACTCCCTTGTACCTCTCAGTACCTTCCATTACATCAAATGGAACAGCATGCACAGCCCATGTCCCACCATTAACACATGCAACATCTGCCATCCACTACCCTCACATTCACCTTTCCGTACAAGTCCTCGACACTGGCGTCGGCATCAGCGACGCCACCCGCTCACGTCTCTTTGTCCCATTCCAGCAAGGCGACTCCTCCACTGCCCGTCGTTTCGGTGGAACAGGCCTAGGCCTCGTCATTAGCAAAAAACTCGTAGAACTCATGGGCGGGGAGATTGGGATTGAGGGACGAAAAGATGGGCAAAATGGGAGTTGTGCGTGGTTTTCTCTTCCTTTACGTATATGGGATGGAGATACCGGTGATGCCATCGTATCGTCGGTACCGGTCGATACCAGAGACTCTAGACATGGTTCCGAAAGCCGGGCTTCGCAAATCGATCTGACACTTGACAGGACGCTATCCAATACCACGTTACAATCAACTGGATTGGATGTACCATATGATACGACAGTATCATCTACATCTTCGCTTACGTCGCCCAATGCGACTGTACCCAGTACTCCAAAAGTAAGGCGACCCATGCGGATCTTGGTGGCAGAAGATAACGTAAGTGGCATTTTTTGTATTTTTTCCCACCATTTGCCAAGCCCATTGTGTGCATTTTCTTGTTTCCATTTCTTTCAAATCACTCACAAACACAAATTTTAGGATCTCAATTGCCGCATCGTTCTCCGCATGCTAACCAAACTCGGCCACAAAACCGACGCAGTCGCTAACGGCGCTCAAGCCGTCACCGCCATCATGGACGCCTTCCACCCACCACCACCAGACCCAACACAAGAATCAAAAAACGAGACCCCTGAAACAGAAACACAGTACGATTTAATCTTGATGGATTGTCAGATGCCTGAAGTGGATGGGTATGAGGCTTCTAAACGGGTTAGAAAGTTGCAACCTCCTGCGAGGGATGTTCCCATTGTGGCCTTGACTGCCAATGCGTGAGTAACAGTGTTCATATAGTTTTTTGTCAAGATTCTACGTTATCGTTTACGCTTTTGAATGTTTTTCAATGTAGTATTAAAGGCGATAGAGAAAAGTACGTTTTTACATATACGGTTCCCAACCTTGTTTGGAATAACCATTATTTGGCCTATAGATGCCTGCAAGCAGGAATGGACGATTACCTTACAAAGCCCTTCAAACAAGCCGACTTGGAACGAGTCGTCCAAAAATGGGTCGGCAAGAAAAGTGTGTTGGGCGGGTTTGCGAATGGCTGAAAAAAGGTTTGAAAGAAACACACATACAACCCATGAGAATCGATTTCGGTCGTTGAGTTTTCAATGGAGAATTGGGTCCCGGCGACACAACTTCAATACTCCAGACTTTATCTAAACAATCTTGTAATATAATGTACTTGTTTGGGAATCTGCGATATATATCGTAGATGTACCGTGTAAATATCCACATCTGCACGCCCCCTCAGCATTTTCTCAATCTCATCAATCTTTGCACATGATTTATTTTTGGTAATATGCGATAAAAAACAAGTATTCCATAGTTAAAATGCCGACACATAAAGTCGGTTGGATACGGCTTCGTTATTGGCCAATAGACACCACAAGGAATACCCATCTTCTAAAATGCCGACATGATTCCGTTTTGTGCGGCTTGGTTATTGGCTGATACTCCCGTTACCGAGTAATCATGGAGGACTTGGCGTTCGGGCTTGATTGTTCATGGTTCAGAAAAAAAAGATAGTCGGAATTCTTCCATGGAATTTAAAGAATAAATTAACTTTGCAAAATGATCATGGTTTTCAAAATGTTGCAAGATATTGGGGATATGTCGCAATCCATGTTTTATCATCCCATGAATCAAACATGCCCCTTTGTCATTGTGCAATCTGAGAATCCGTTACCCTCAATACTTTTCCATCAAAACTTTGACTGCTTCTTCCCGACTAGAACACGCCTCCCTCCACGCAATCTCCTCCCTCTTGACAGCAATAAACGCTTGAATGGCATCATCACGAAGTGCTTTGGTTATAACCTCGCCGGCAGTTAATGCGTCAAGAGCTTCAGTTAGCGTGGCTGGTAGACGAGATGGACGGGTAGCTTCGGCAAGTGTGATTGGGTCAACTGATGATTATATGGCAAATGAGAAAAAGGTTTTTAAGATTAGGATGAAAGTGAGGGGGTCATACCTGATGTCTCGGGTGGAAGAGTAGATTGAGATTCTATGCCGTGTAGACCGCATGCGATGATGGCTGATAGAGCAAGATAGGGATTGGCGGTACCCTAATCAAAAAAGCAATAATTCGTTACTCGCAAAGAATGAGATAGATCATTGCAAAACAGTTACCCACATCAAACGTCTTGAATTCAACCCGATCTTCCAAAAGTCTTAACGGCGCCTCCTTATTCCCTCTTCCCCAAGCTTGGAATGCACCAGCCCAACATCCCGGTTGCAAACGTTCATGCGAATTCACTGAAGGCGTAGTTATAGCCGTTAAAGCAGGAAGATGGGCAAGGATACCAGCCATGAATTGATGGGGTTGAGCCGAGCCGGACAGAAAGAGGTTTTGGGCACCTTCCCAAAGTGATATGTGTACATGGCAGGAATTGCCAGCTGCTAGGGGATTAGGTTTTGGGACAAAGGTGGCTTTCAGGCCATGGGATGCTGCAATGTTATATATCGTCTACAATGAAACTTTTACATTAAACCAGCGCGGATAATGCCAATGGAAAGGGTTAAAAGCACATACCTGTTTAGCCAATACGAGACCATCCGCAGCCTCCACCACCCCACCAGCAGTCAACGCAATCTCAAACTGCCCATGCCCACTCTCAGCATGAAATAAATGGACACCAATCCCCTGATCCGTCAAACTCGTCACAATCTGATCCAAAACATTCACAGCGCTATCTGCGGAATAAGGAAGAAGGGAAGTCGTGTCACAATAGTTGGTCGTGTCGATGGGTGTGTGGTGGGGGTTGGATGGACGGAGTAACTGGAATTCGAGTTCGAAGCCGCATCGGAGTTTTATGCGGTGTTTGTCTGTGAGGTCTTTGGCAAGTCTCGATAGGATGGTCTGAAATATTCATATAAATAATGTGCAAACGTTGCCAACGAACGGTACCAAAAACGCGAAATGCGACACTAACCCTAGGACAACAAGGATGCTCAGTCTGCCGCACCTCATCCCAAAAAGTTCCCAAAACAGCCGCATGCCCCTTCCAATACGGTAACCGCTTGAATGTCCGCACATCCGGCTTCAACACAGCATCCTTGGTAACCGAAATACAAGCGCCATCTAACCCCCGAGCAATACCATCACGCATAAACGGGAATCCGAATAGGGCCGTTACAAAAGGTACGCCGCTCGAGTTTGAGACCATGGAGATGAATCGGGGAAGAGGAACGAGTTTGGTGCGAGTAATGTTTCTACGTTGAAAGGGTTCAAAATCAATAAAAAAAATAAACGTAGCAGTAACATGACCAATAACATAGTTGACATACGCATAATCGACCCACATCATCCTCACAACATGAACACCTTCCATCGCTTCCACAATCGGAGCATTTCGAGACTTCATTCCGACAATAGAAGAAAAGGGTACAGAAGTCGACCATCCAAGTTTATATAATGCATTGGCGTTTTCGAATAGAATGTCTCTGGCAATTTGTACTGCTTCCTCTAGCGATAATTCATTTTTTGCAACGATTTTGCCGAGGACCTGCATTTTAAACGTTTGGGTTTCTTTCGGGTTGGTATGTGGTCATTGATACAGTTGCAAATATCAAGCGATACGTACATTGGCGAGGGCTTGTCGGCCCCATTTAGCAGCAAGGTAAACCGTCTCGGGATGGAAATGCCCATCTGGAAGAGGGTATACATATATGAGTAAAAACCCACGTCCTTCAAGTCATATTTACTACACCTGTCGAAAAATGGACTTTGGATGTCGGCGCAATTTGCAACAATTCCTGGATGCTTTGCTCGATCCCTGTTCACCATGTATAAACGCTATCAATCAATTGACAAGCCAATCATTTACTCGTCCCTTGATTCCTACCTTGCGAAGAAAGTAACAGGTTTGCAAGTCTGTTGTAAGGAGTGAAAGTTACAGCGTCAGCCGATCACCTCTATGCTTGGCAATGTATTAGCATACCCAAAATCAGCATAAACGTTCTCATAAACAGAAGCGAGGTAGGCCGCCTCCTTTGCATACTTAAAAAAAATCAGTAAGTGATATGATCAACATGTCGAGTAAATCAGTTGATGAGCACAATAACGAACCGGATAAACATGAAGCAAAACAATTTTCGCTTTAGAAAGAAGCGGATCGGGATCATCTAGAATTGAACGGAGAAGAGCAGGATTTGCCTTGACAAGATCAACGTCCTATAATGAAACCCACATACTCATCAACCATTCCTGCCAATAGAGACAGCATCAATGAACTATCACCTTGTCTCCTATTCCAGTATGAAACTGAATCGGTAATCCCAGTTTCGCAGCCACTTTCAACGCAATGCGTAATATAAAATCCAACAGAGGTTTTTGTGTTAATCTCCATCGTCCTCCCGCAGCTCTCTGCACCACCCGACATGCATCATCCAATGCAGCAGTGACATCCTCCATCGGGAGATCCCGACAAATCTCCAAGCCTGAGCGATACGCAATAACACTTTTAAATGCGACGACATTCGGTGGAGGTGGATCAATCGCACGTAGAAATGCTGATACGAATCCCGACACGCGGTTCGGTGTATCGGGAGACCAACTCGACGCTTGAGTCGTGATTATGGATTCAGCGATAGTTTCGATGCGTAGAATGCGCTTTGCGGGGTGGAGTGTAAACGCAGTGTGCGCGTCCACCGATGAGACGTCGCTTGGGGCGTGCAGTCCGTCATCTAGGAGAAAGCCGGCTATAGTCGACGCATCCAGTAATTTGCGGGTTACCGTCGCGGCTCCAAGGCGTTTTCTGGGGTGAAAATGGACTTTGTCATTGGAATATAGTGGGGCATGACATGGGTATCAATACCTCTCCTCTCTAATGAGTCCAAAGTCGGCAGATGTCTCCAAGTTATAAAACGCAGCCAACTGCAAAAGAATGAAAATGAACACCTCACCATGTCAGTACGCACCAGCAAAATGAATGACAGTTGATAATCTTTTACCTCCCGGATGGCGCGACGACCAGCCAGCGTATGTATGGCATCTTTGAGTGCACCCCCCTCTGCCTCGGAAATGATACTTTCCAAAGGTATCTGTTCTTCATTTGTCGGATCAACCAGTAACGGATGTGCATGGGCGTCTATCGCTGGAATACTGGAAATGGCTTTTTCAAGCGTTAGGATATCATTGGTAGGAAGGCTCGCCATCGCTTCATGAATGTTTGGTTGCGGATGGAGGAAAGATATCGTTGACACTACGATGGCAGGAGGAACAAAAAGGCTTTTTGCACATGGGACGGCATGACTCATGGCGCCGCCAGCCTCAGCCGAGACGATCAACACCCCCCGCAGCGCGACAGCCCCTCCCGACGTTGTCGTTTGTCCCTTTCGCGTGCGCATGGCAATTGTTGCTTTGACAGACTTTTAAACATTTTAACTTTTTCAGATATGACATTGTTAATTATGAATCCGTAATACAGATCGAAACATGTATAATTTAATAAATTAAAATATAAATACAGGACCCTCGTCCATTTACATCAATTTACATCCAGCAACCGCTGTTTGACATCCTCCTGCCACACAGGCCCTCGTATGATAGTCCACAGAATGCAAGAAGCAGCAAGAAGATTGATGGCCGCCAGAATGGTAAACATGACAAGGTATGTCGTGTGATCCAAAATAGGGAGAACAATAATGGACGCTAGTCCCCCGGCACCATATCGGATCAGATTCTGGGCTGCAATAACTCGGGCAGAGTGTCCGGGAAAGATATCGACGAGGTAGGCTAAAACAAAATTCAAAATTGTTAAAACTAGGGGAAAAAACCAGCGTATCATCAACCATGTAGAGCTTACTTGCTATCCCGGTATATGAAAATGTCATACCAAATCCGACAAGAACATGGCTGAGAATCGGAATGGCCAAATTCGTTTTGTAATAGACACTTATACCGTACCCAAATACTCCAATAGGATAAACCGCCGCGCCAATAAGTGAACTCTTTAATCGCATTTGGGGGCAACCAGGAGATCTGGCGGTGAATATATCTGCCAACCGTCCACCAGTCGTCGACCCAATGATACTTCCCGCTCCGAAACCGAGATATGTGAGCCCAATAGTGAATGGGGATAGATGGTATTTCTCTTCAAATGCCACTTCGAGGGACAAGTTGATGAAATAAATGGTTGCAAAGACAACTGCCATACGGTTCAAGGTCAGTCAGCCCTCCCAAGGTGAATTTCAAATCAAGAGCATTGCCTACCTGATGTGTAAAGTGTTGTCACAATGGTCACCGGAAACTTGAAATATGTTACCGGCTGCAGCGGGTTGCACTTTGACAGCATGTACAATGCCCCCTTTTTCTCCGCAGATCCATCCCCATGAGCCTGCCGTCTTGGCATAGTTTCGGGCAGCCAAAACCAAACCGCAATCACAACAATTCCACCCAAAATGCTCAAAAACCAAAAAATACTTGGCCATCCTCCCACATAATCATGTATCACTCCACCCAGCACAGGTCCCAAGACAGGCCCAAATAACGGACCCAGATAAAACAATCCCATAGCCTTCCCTCGCTCTGGGCCTTTGAAAACATCGGCAATTGTCCCAGCTCCAACAGACAAGACGGAACTGCTTCCCGCTGCTTGCAAGACACGCAGAAGGAGCAGAGTAGGGATATCTCGCGCAAAGCCCAGACATAGCGATGCGATTGTGTACAAAGTAAGCGATGAGAGATACACATAGCGCCGACCTAAAAGATCTGACACTGTTCCCCATCCGAGAGGAAACAGGGCTATACAGAACATAAAGACCGCGATGGTGAGATTGATGGTATTGGTTGATGTGTGAAAGTCGCGGGCCATGGAAGGAAGAGCAGGGTACTACAATCAAAAAGAACATTAACACATGGACCGTTTTAAATTGAGAGCACAAGTGTATATTGTCATTGTACTCACCATGATCGTAGTATTTATGGGAGACATCATCCCAGAAAGGGCAACAATAGAGAGAATCGTGTATCGTTCTCGAGTCGAGTATACCTTGTCCATTATGACAGTTTCTGTGATTGTAATGTCACATCCAGATGGAGATTTCCCGGTCTCTGATCGCTCTGCATCCGACATGGGCAGTTCCAGCTGCGTTGAACTAGCGTCAGAAGATTTTGTCGAGGTTGTTCCTTCAGTCATGATGATGGACAAGGCAAGCAAGACAAATGGAATGGTATAAAAGTGTGGTTTTCTCTGTCGCTAGCGTATGCTCCAAGTGACAACGTTCAAGTGCGTACTGGTTGAAAGCTCTTCAATCTCCTAGAGATGCTCGTAACAGATCCTTCATCATTTCCCGGGTTTCTTTCCACGGCACCAGTTTCATTGCAAAAGCAGTTTAAAAAAAGACAAAAATCCCAAATGAAAATGTTTCGGCAAATGTAAACTTCCCAATTAACTGTCGCGCCGTGTTGCTTTTAGAGAAATTACTTGTGAAATTAAACAAGGAACACTTCTACTTGGTAAGTGTTAAACCGGCTGTAGGGAGTTTCCGTCTCGGCGAGGAGGATTCCACGACGGCCGACCAATAGTTTGAACATTGTTCTTCCCGTGTGGTCTTTAATCTTTATGGAATAAGCCTTGTAATATCTTGGCCAAACCATGGGATCTGGAGCGTGACTTGCTGCCCAACATGACCGTGGTGATATGCGTAAGGAAAGCGTAAAGGAAAGCGGGAAAACAACATTCAAATGGGATGGGACTCTGAAGAGAGTAATATGCTGCGATGGAGGAGAGTATGGCAATGTCACTATCAGTGATTAAAATGGAAGACGGTGTCGATGTTGATAGCCAGCTCGCAGAAATAGTAGAATCTATCGATTGTATTTAGAAATTCTTACAATAAAACATCCCGGCATTGAACTAAGCAAGTAGTAGAAAGGCACTACCTAGTGTTTTGTCAATACAGGGAACTACACAACATTGCCCACCAGTGGCCCTACAAGTCAACACTACAGATTATGCGACCTCGCCTACGCTGCATTCTACAGATACTCAACGAGACCCCATCGAAAGTAGAATGGTACCGAGATACATTCTACAACTAGGAAGATGACCACCATCCTCATGTCACCCCATCGCGGTTCCCCACTCCACCCCATTGCGGTTCCCCATTCCACCCCATTGCGGTTCCCCATTCCACCCCATCGCGGTTCCCAGGAAGAGGACGACGCTGGCGGGTACCAGGATGACGATATCCGGAGCGAAGAGGATCTGGCCTGGGCAGCTGAAGACCAGATCTCGGCAGAGATCGAAGGAGCTCCACTGGACCTTCGCCCGGCGTTCCTCAATGCATTCAGCCAGGAAGAGCTGGCTAGCCTGGCCGAAATCATCAAGGAGGTGGGAAAACCAGCGTCCACGATCACCTACGCGGACGTGCGAAAAGAATTCAGCGAGCCTCTTGGGAGGCAGCAAATTCTTTGTGCGGCGACAGGAATCGCCTTCCACACCGAGATCAATCGCGGCAGCTTCCCGCAAGACCTTCACAGAATTTCACAAAAGCTGCAGCGTGAAGGTGGCAAGGATGTTCTGTCGCTGATCGGACTAACAATCAGGGTGGAAAGAGAGATATTCTAACTAGCAAAACCGTTGCAAGATCGCTCGTGGGGAACATCTGAAGAATGCGGCGTAGGCGAGGTCGCATAATCTGTAGTGTTGACTTGTAGGGCCACTGGTTGCTTCCTACGAGGCTTCTCTTCGATTTGCGAAATCGTAGGGTTAGGGTTACATCCGGGGATGTTGTAAATTGCTGAACGGCCGTGCGACGTGAGAGTGGTTTCGGGCGAAGTTATCTGATTTATGCAAAGACCGGGACGTAGACATCACCACAGCCGTAAACGCTCTTCGTCGGCAAGACGCAGATAAGGTGGGAGAGGTGGGAAGGACCGGGAAATCCTTTTCAAGGATCATAAAGAGGAATTTCTCGGAATTTGCTGTCCGTAGCGCCGCAGATGGCAAGTCCTTCTTGTCTGTTCGAACGACGACCAGCAGTACTAGTGGCGGTGATAACCGAATGACCCAAGAGCAAGAGCCAAAAGTTGAACGGAAGCGTCTCGCACTCGCAATAAGTTAAGTACGCAGGAGCAAGTATGAATGAGATGGGTGGGCATGTACGAGGTCGGGGGCTTTATAGACTCGTTTGTTGAGGTCAGATGGCCGTCTATGTAATGGGGGGGGGGGGGGGGAATGACTGAAAGCCCCCACACGCAATCGACATGGGCAAAACCAAAAGGTGGAGGTCATTCCACTCCAAGCAGTCTCCCCTCCCATATGCTTTCAATAAATCATTCGATTCTGCCAAATCTTCCATTATCGCTGAGCAGCTATCATCCTCATGTGCTCTAGCGCTATATCGTTGTGGAAAATACCTTGTAAAAACTTGGAAATGTCAAGTCGTTCTGTCAAAACCCAATATCACCATGCGTCATCACGATTTAGTCCCTAATTATGGGGCTTTCCCCATCCATTCTTTCCACACCGTCATTTGGGTCAGATGCCCTTCAACTTACAAGCCTGCAGGGACTCTGACGCTCTAACTAAAACTAGAATTGAATTAATCACATGTATAGTGCTTTGGTGGTCTCTCGGTAGGTGACCCCATACGACATCTAATTCATCGTCGATAGATAGAATAGAATTGACATCTTAAAATATAAGGCTATGCTGATGCCAGAAAGGGAAATCATAGGGTAGTTGCTCTGGATAGGCCGAGCTCATCAACCAAAGGGTTGGAAAATATAGATATCCTTGTGTTGTGTGTGCAGACCGCATAAGAGGGGAAATGTTATAGGAGACGAAACAAAGGCTTCGGTAATGGGGCGATTCAAGTGATGCAAAAAGATGGACTTTGATGTTATTGAATATACATTTACTATCAAAGCTAAGCAAGATACATTCCGTAAAAAAAAGCTCAAGACTATGTTGATGGAGAGTGATGTGTCTCCTGTTCCCAAATCCACAATTCCATCGCAAGTTTTCCTCGGCTAACACTCTCTGCATATCCATAATCCTCCTATCCGCCAAAGGCGTCGTCCTCTCCTGGGAGGGAGAGGACGACGCCGTAAAGATCCTACCTAGCGGGTGATTGCCACATCCGAAATCGATATGGAAGTGAAGCAGGCTCTCAACACGCCGTTTTCATCGATCCAGCGACGTTCGATCGAGATGGGTTGGGATTGCACGGCGTTATCCACCAGGTCTTGTACATTCCGAAAGATGCGGAACTCGGTTTTGGAGATGATTTCAACGATAGTCTCGAAAATAGGTTGGCGCACGCGAAACAACCGATTTTTTCCACCTTTCCAGGCAGTCTTGTCTGAGACCCTGGCGGGCATAATCCCACCTAGCAGGAAGTTCTTTTGCGCATGGCTGATAAGATGTTCAAAAGATCCCGGGGACGTAGCGATGACCCTCACATGGCTGTACTTCATTCCACTGATTGCTTGAATCTCAAGGGGGCTCGTGAGCTGGTCCATTGCGACAACGAAGGGCGTGTGGTTCAAGATCTGGCGCATTAAGTTTTCGATTGAACCACAGCTACCAAAGACCCTGGTCTTGCCAAGACAAGGATGGTCAGTTACATCCCCTCCAGTAATTTCATGTGAGGTATCTGCGAAAGCCAGCGTTTTAGGATCTATCATTTCCGCCGTATACGCACATACATCCCTGAAGACTGCTGCTCTGTCCGCATTCGGAGGACCCAAAAATAACAGCGAGTCAGTTGAGGAGATGACATCCTGCAACAGCTCCGCCAGTCCATAGATCTCCCTGTCAACGCGAATGGTAAGACCCACAAGGGACCTCATGGTCTTCCCACGTTCGCGCACTAGCTTTTGGCCGATCTGATGGAGCTCGTCAGGGAAACTTCCTCGACAGAGCTTTTTGTTGAAGGTAATACCGGATGCTGCACACAGGATTTGTCTTCTCCCAAGGCGGTCGCTGAACTCCTTCCTTACGCCCGTGTACGTGAGCACCGACGCCGGTCTTCCAATATCCAAAATAATTTCTGAGAGGGTTGTGAGCTCTTCCTCGGTGAAAGCCGCAAAGAGCGCCGGGCGAAGGTCTACCGGAGCTGTCTCGATGTCAAACCGTGTTGTCTCCTCGGTCTCCTCTTCCGGTTCGCCTCGCAATTCCTCCTCACTCGCGCTTTGGATATTTTGATCGTCATATCCGCCGGCGTCGTCCTCCCCTTGAGAGGGGGGGGGGACGACGCCCCGATGAGGTGAAGGAAGGATGGCATACTGAGCATCTTCTTGGCGGTAGAATGGTTCACGATACCATTCTGCTTTGCACGGGGACCCACTGAGCATCTGAAGAATGCGACGGAGACGAGGTCGCACGATCTGAATTGTTGGCTTGTACGGCCACCTGCCGTTTCCTCCGAGCTTTTCTTTACGGACTTTCCAGATATCTGCGGGGTAGGTATTCACATCCGGGAGTGTAGCAGCGTTAGCGAATGAGTATTGGGCCGTGTGGTCTTGATTGAAAGTGAGGAGAAGGCTGATATAGTTCATGTCTTTATCGCAAGGTGTGAAAAACTCAAAAGCGTTGTTGTCCGGTTTACAAATAAGTGATGAGGATCAAGCTAAAGTGTGGCAACAAATTGGGTGGGAATATTTAGGATGGATAAGCTCAGATGTTAAGGTATGTAATGGGGGGAACGATTGCAAGCCCCATACATGCATAAAGCCAATGTTAAGATACATTCTACTCCAAGCAACTGTGTTATCTTCAACCACTATATGCAAATAAATAAACAATTCCGTGCTGCCAAACCCATCATTACCCGGCATTATGCCAATGTTTCAAGCACTCGATACATTTCATAGTTCCACTTGGGATGAACGGTCTCGCAGTTACCAGTTACAAAAACTAGAATAGATGGGATCATGCTACATATATTGAGCTCCTTACAATGTTTACTTGATAGGTGGTTAACTACATATCCTACATATGATCACGGTCTTGGCTGCGACGTCTCCGCCCATTTGATGGTGGACTATCATTTGATGGTGTACTCATCCAAAGCCCCAGCGCACCTAACGCAGTGGCTACAGCGGCAACCTTGAGCCCCGTCTGTATGTACGAACCGCTTTCACTCTCCACGGGCGAACTGTTTGAACTCTCCGAAGTGTTGCCGCTCTCAGGATGAAACACCATCCGGCGGTTCCAAATGTCGGCTTTTTCTTTCGGACGCTCGGTCGTTATTGGCCCGTGCCGCTCACCCGGTTCTCCATCGATACATGCTTGACCGTAGACTTTTGTATTCGGATATTTCTCTGACCAAGCTTCCATGTAGCGCTCAACTTGCACTTCCACCTCGTGCCTTGCCTTTCTCCTGCTCGTACGCGCTGTAGGTCCTGTTGCTGGGTTTAAGGCCTTCACTTCGACAACCAGAAAAGCCGAGCGGGCTTCATTCGCAAACACCAAATCACCGACACCTAGGTCTGTTCTCCCTTTGACCACTTCCCATTCTTCTGCAACAAGGATAGGAAAGTCGTATAACCACCACGCACGGTTGCGTTTGATTTCATTAACAAGTATGCGCTCCCGTTCATTTGAGCGGACCATTTCAAGTAACAAAAGTGTCTGTAAACAAGGAAATTGTGTGGTAAACGATAGGTGGAGGGAAAGCGGAAGGGTATCTGAACTTTAAAGAAAAACAGCCTAGTTTAACCTTTAATCTTTTGGAAACGCACGTCAATTATCAAGCATGTGTGATTGTATCACATTTCCTCCTTCTTGTCACTTCCGATTTCCCTTCCTGAGCTGCCTCGTCTTTATTAGCAACCAGCCAAAATACGACACATTAGGCGACGCTACACACACTCCCCTTCTTTCTTGTTAGAGGTGTCATCTTTGTCTCCTCTGGTGCCTTGCCTCAGAAGACGTGCAATTTCCCCGTGGTATCCAACAACAGTGATCCATTTGTTCTGTAGTCCCATCTCTTTGGTTGCTTCATTCCATTTGCGACGACTGATGGTCGTTTCAAAGTATGTGTTGAACAATTTTAACATTTCATATCGCTGGTAATATCATAAACGTCGTCCATTCAGTATGTCAAGAGACTTTTCTTGTTAGATTCTGATATAATTCACCGTATACACAGGTATTAGGCGCTCGTTCCAGAGTTTGGTAGTGGCATCCCACATCTGTTGCATGTTAAACAGTTTCCGAAAGATGTATTTGCAAACCTGCAAAGATATGCTCGACATCTGCTTCAACTCGACTACTCAACTCGTTGCAAATTTAATACAAAATGTCGTCAAAGCTGTCCAATGTGTGCATGTTGAATGTCCAATCGAAGCACAGGTCCAGAATCATTCCTCCTTTTCGACGTTTGCTATATCAACTGATATTCATCCAGATTGCAATAGAAAGCCAAGATATCTGAAAATGACACTCTATAATTGATGCAAAATACCTCTTTCCGCGTCGTAGAGTAGACCCTTTTAAATAGTGGACAATCCACTTTCTCATACTCATATCATCTTTTGCTAAATGTGTGAAATGCATGTCTTTTTGCTTGGACTTTTGCATGCGATAAATCAGAGACAGGATCAAAGAAGAGTTGACATGAAATCCATTTATTGGAAATACTCGACTTTCGGCAAATGTAAAACTTCCCATTAGCTTTGCATCCAAGTTTTGTTTCTATAGGCCAAAAATTACTAAAAAGAAATTAAAGATGCCTACTGCTGTCTGTTGGCTATCGGCGACAGATTCCACGGCGGGGGCCATCGTCCTGTTTTGTCCTTTTGATCTTAACTTATCGGGCAATAGCAATACAAGAGATGAATAGGGCAATTCAAGTGATGCAAATGGATGGACATGTATGTTATTTAGATTTACAACAAATCTAACCAAGATACAGTGTAGAGATCCGGTAGCCCTTTTTGCCTGTGGAGTGTGGCCGGTTTTCATGTAAGTTGGCCGCTATCCTCATGTTCTGCGGCACAGACAGGCGGTCACATTTGCGCTGGTCTTCATCTCGACACTTAATGTACAAGTCCATGGCTCGGGCCCAGCAGTACAAAGCTTTGATGGTTCCACCAAACGACTGTAAGTCCTTGGCAGTCCGGGGTATCCGTCCACCTCCATACTCGATCTTAAAGTAAACTGAGTCAATGTATTTCGTCGGTAGGAATGTGTTTCTCTTCTAATGCGTGGCGGACAATGGTAGCGTTGATTACATCTTTGCTGGTGCGGCCTAATTGTCCGAGATCATCAAGGTATTCTTGGGGTGCAGGGTATGGCTGGCTGATCTCTACGGAACCAACCTCTGCACCTGTTGGTGCGTAGACGACACCATCGGCTCTTTCCTCTATGTCATCTTGGTCTTGTCTCCTTTTCCGATCTACGATGCATTGCAGCAAGACATCTCCCCCTTCGTACCGGAGCCCTGTGAATTCGCGAAAGATCCTCTCAATCAACGGGTGCAGGAACTTGGCCGAAAAGCGCAATTCATCGAAACGGTGGTCCAACAATTGATTCTCCTCACCAAATATCGCCTCAAAGAATGCCGGCATCACATCGTACAATACTGCCTTCATTCGTCTCCTTTCCAGAACCTCGCCTTCCGACATATTCAGCAGTGCATCTCGTCTCTCCTGCCAAGTATCCGCACGAAAAGGCTCTCGAAAAAACTCATCAACTGTCTCTTCCACGCTTTCTGTCATCATGGAGCTAATGCTATCCACTTCCAACTTCACCAATTGATTATAGTCTTCATCGCAAAGTATTCCAGAAAAAACGGCGACCTCATCCGAATGTCGCATATTTTCTCCTTCGTAAAGCTGTCATCGGTGAAAATTCGATAGTCTTCAAAGGCCTTTTTCAAGCGGGAAAATAAGCCCTGCACCTCCTCTTCCTTCTCATCAGCGGTTACCATCGGCTCTGTGGTGGTGCGTGTCCCTTTGGTGGAAGGGTCATTAAGATCGTCACGCTTTCGTTTCCTCGACGCCTCTGGGGAAGGAGGGCTTTGAGGTTTGCAAATAGTTCGCAAATTCGCCAGCATTAAATAAAACGAAAATTGGAGACAAGCGAGAGACAAGGGAATCAACTCGAGGTTTATTTATAGGCCTTCTGGAGAAAAAAAACTCCATGGTAACTGTTCTACTGTGGGAAGAAAGCGAAGAGAATAAGGGGTGGGAACTTTCGGACAAAAGATGAACGTTGAAAGTCAGATGCTTATCTCATCTCAGTGGCGTAGTTGCGGGAGATTGAATCACGTGCGTCTACGTGGGTTTATAAAGGGCTTCTCTCCTGATGCGTTGTTCTCCCACGCTCCCTCTCGTTCCTGTTGAACATCAAGGTAAGGTTTCGTTCCTCGATGTGGAAAGGTGCCAGATCCCACGCATGGCCGCAGAGTCGCATCAATGGGTGTCTTGCAAAAGCACCTGCGACAGGTTTGCGAAATGCAATCTTGGCTTCGCACAATCCGCGGGGACAGGTTGTGATGGGAGTCCTCGACGGAAAGTATCCCCCTTGGACTTCTTGGGTGAAGGTTAAGGTCGGAAGAGTATAGGCAGTGTCTGACACCTACCCGTGGGGCACGCTCGTTGCTGACACGTCTTGTCAGCCTCATTTGTTACTGGTGGTTTGCGATTATGGTTAGAGTGTGCCCCGCATCCCACGCCAGCCCTGGACTCGCAGAATGAGTGTCCTGAAAAGGGTGCTCGCGATAGGCGCGCGAAATGAGCAATGGGGGCTTCCGCGAATGGGCGGGGGATACCATTGAGATGGGAATCCTGGTCCGGATGATGCATCACCCTGGGATTCCTTGGGAGAGGGCGGGTGTCGTTCGTTGATGCGCCGCATAACAGCACTGTTAGCGTCCTTGCCGCGGCACCTTGATGGAAGCATGGGCGTTTGTACTTTTTTCTTCCGGAAACAGATATGCCTACCAACGATTTGTCCCCTTTTACTTCTTTCTTATTCCATTCATGGCAACAATCAACACTATTGCGGTCGAGAATCATGCTCGAGTATCTTGCACTGGATCGGAGGCCGTGATGCCGTGGACTCTCGTCGGGTGCTCCGCTGATCACATATGTTCTGTGACTGGTAAACTAGTGCCTGCTCCATTCAGTGCATCTATTCCCACCTAAGTTTCGTTCTACCCTTTAGAAGCAAGCATCTTACGAGAGACAAACGTTGGCGATGCCCCAGAACTGAGCCGGACACGCATGCCTCAAATTTCAACCAGATGAAGCTCCACTAGTTCGCAGCAGATTCCCCATGTAAATTTAACAATTGTAGATGAATCCATAACCCAGCTAACTTTGTGACTCTAATAAAACGCTATCTAATCGAATGCTGTTGGTTTTTATTCCGTGACCCATTCAATTATACAGCACTGAGTGAAGTTAAAGCCAGTAGCTGTCTCAGGTTGCTGATCTTGTGAGTGGTGCTTGTCTTTTCCCTTACAAAACTTCAATTCAATGTCGTCCATCGGCATCTGTCTTCACTTGTCATCCTCAACTTCCGATAAATTTGAATACTGATATGTTCTGGCACGGTGGACCTCCAGGATGAACTTGTCCACAATTTCCTCGATGATACCAGATATCCTTGCTTTGATGGTTTCGACAAGATCTTGTAACTGCTTCTCGAAGTCCGCTGTGACGGGTGTTTCCCCGTAACCAGGATTGAGCATGTATATACCCAGATCAGTGTAGCACTTCAAGAAGCGGGGCCAATCTTCCAACTCCAATTCTGCTACGTGCATTATAGCTGTTTTGGATGCCGATTCGACTCTGTAAGCAGTGTTCGGCCCACATGATTTTATCATGGATTTCAGTTGTGGAAGGTATACGAGGGTAATGTTGCCATCCATCGTCTTCTCAATATCCAACCACACCTCGTCATCGATCGTCCGTAACTCCTTCACTCGTTCCTCTAGGTATAATCGCATACGCTTTCGGAACTCCTTAAAGGAACCCAGCGATCCATCAATAACCTCCCTCGCACTGCAAAGTTGAATCGAGAATAGTGTCAAGACGAGGATGCTCCAGAGATTAATGAGCCTCATCTTGTGCCGATAGGTAAATTCCCATAAAAGCTCACTACTCTGCCATCCGAGAGGTGGAAAGTTTATGGCAAATCGAGTTCTTATGTGAGTGTGGCGCATTAAGGTTAGGGCTCATTCAGCTATTCTAAGATCGGAAGCTGTTTATTCATATTCATCTGAAAAAGACGTGTTTGAAAGCGTTCTTTCTGGGCTTTCTGCTGATTATATCACGATTGGAACAGTGAAGCGCCACAAGGTCAGAATTAGCGGGGTGGGGTGATGAACCTCGCTCCCTATTGCAGGCGGAAATCGTCGATATCCCCGTCATCACGCGAAAAAAGTGCCATCTCCATAAACACACATTGCGAATTGCAAGAGAGAGCAGAGAGAGCGTCATGAAATATGATCAACAAACCTGCTATCCAGCGAAAGCAGCCAATGCACCAAGCGATAATTCCAATATTCAAAGCCAAGTGTCAAATGTTTACAAAAGTAAACAAATGACCCGTTCGCTTAATTGTGGCAATCATCTGCGGATGGCACAGTTTTATTCTGCTGGGGAACGTGATCGCGTGTGCTGGCAGCGATAAGTGCATTCTCCCACTTCAAAGTCATCGTTGCCAACAATTTCTTTTAGAATTCTATTTATGCATCACAATCTATAGACGCTGTGGTTACAATTATGGCGGAACCCATGGAAAGCGCGTTCGCAACGGACGTGCATGGACATTCAAAGTTGGGAGTTGACTTTGCGGCGGGCATTGTTGGGGGTACGTCGCTGCAAGCAAATCTCGCGAAACTTTGTGAAAGACAAGGTCAAATGTCTAATGTCTTGCTTTGCGCTGGTGCACTTTGTCTGTCTTGCAGGGTAAGTATCGCATTTTACGAGCGAAGGTCGGAGAAATAGAGGGAATGCTAAAAGAGTTTGATGCAGGTGTGCGGGAGTTTTGGCAGGGCATCCACTGGTATGCTTTCCGCAATGTCCAAGATTTGCGCTTTTATGTCTGCTCCACTGAAATGCTCACCGCGGATAGTTGGTTTTTGTTTCGGGCGTCATTAGGATACAATAAAGTGAGTGTTACCGCGTTTGTGGGAGTATCTGTCGACAGGCGTGCGGTGATCCTTACAGTATGGCCCATTGTTGCGTTTCAGAGTACGTTTGCAAAGTCAGGCAACGCAAGGTGCGAGATATAGAGGGACGATGCATTGCCTCACAAGCATAATTAGAGAAGAAAGGGTTCGTGATGCAAACAATGTCGTCCGAATCTCGGGCACCGCGTTCTAACGTAGATGAATAGGTATACGGTCTTTACAAAGGCATGGCGTCCCCGCTAGTTGGAGTGGCGGTAATAAATAGGTACACCCCAGCCACTTGGTGCAGATAGGCTCGTCTTTGTTGATCGTTTGCAGTCTTCTCTTTGGCGTGTACGGATTTTTTCTCCGACACCTCGGACCGGGCGAAAACGCGGTTTGGAGTATATTTCTGGCTGGCTCAGCTTCGGGTGCTGTCAATGCCTTCTTCAGTTGTCCAATGGAGCTAGGTACGAAAACCCGATGTGCTCGGGTCTTAGTAGTCATTTTTTATTCTAATTCTTGTCATCGAGTACAGTAAAGATCCGTCTTCAAAATCAGCGAAGTACTTCTACGCTCCAAGGGCAAATTCCTATATATAAGGGACCTTTGGATTGTATGCGGCAGGTAGGAAAGCGACATGTGAACCTCGGCAGAAGAACAGAAGACTGATCGATCAGTGTCCCACAGATATATAGAACCAACGGGTTGAGAGGATTTTATCGTGGACTAGCGTGTACATTGTGGCGGGAAACACCGAGCTATGGAGGTATAGCAATAGCAATGTGTTTCTGCCCATCCTGAACTGATGAAGGCTGATTTTTTGTTTTGTTCCGACGGTAGCATATTTCGCATCATATGAGATACTGTGCCGAATGATGTTGCCTGAGGATGCACCAACAAATGAGCCATCGCCAAAGTTACTGTTCGCGGGAGGCCTTGCTGGTGTGGTCGCATGGCTGGTTACATACCCATTCGATGTGGTCAAAACCCGCTTGCAGTCCGGTATGTTTCATCACGCTGTTTGCGCGTCGCGAATGGCCTCTCACAATCCCTTTAATCTGTCAGTCGAACAAGAGACAAAACCACTGTACAAAGGCACGTTTCACTGCATGCGAACCATTATCCGATCTGAAGGGTGGGGTGTGTTGTTTAGCGGATGGGGAGCGACAGCTATTCGCGCGTTCCCAACCAACGCAGCAACATTTTATGCGGTATGCTGGGCAAAGAATATTTTAAACAATCTTGGATCGGACGACGGATAGATGTGATGGTGCAGTATTTGAAATATCACTGCATCATGTGGGGATCGGGCGTTGTAGATATCATCATTTGAAATAGACTAAACAGCGAACGCGTCGAAAAACCCCTCTTGACGGACTTTGTTAACCCTCATGATTGGTGAGCGCTGTCCTGGCCAGGTTCCATAACTGCATGCAAGAGCCGTACATTGACCAACAGATGAAGAAGATTCAATTTTAATCAATGGTGTCGTCGTGACCCCTTTTTTTGGATATTGGATTCACCGTCAGGAATTAGTGACGCAGACTATCTATTGTGGTCTAGCTTATCATACTGAATTGCTAGCTAGATTCACATCATACGTCGGTTGACCAGCAACCATCCTAGTGCTATGAACAACTATTAGTATCTACATAAGATCAAAGCCTCTCGAAGCCAAGCCTCTTGATCAAGAGAAAGAGCGTTCATTGCGTCCAGAATGGATCCTAATGAAATGGAAAAAGCATGAGGCTACCTGAAAACTCTAGGTATTTAAGCGAAAGTGCAGCATACCAAACTATTTTTCTTCGCCCTTCTCTCGTTCGCAAACAGCTGTCTCATGGTAGTTTTACCATCTTTCAGCAACATTTGTCCACTCATGTTCTTAGCAATTGTTTCTTCGAGTCCAGGTGGTGGTTTCATTTTCGATATGGGCTGAATTGGAGGCAGGGGCGACGACTCTCGTGGAGTCGAAGAAGCCTTTCGGAACAGAGGGTGATGTTGAAGAGGGGGTAGGTGCACCGGTAACGATGTTAGAGGTCCTGTGGGTAGCGGTGGAAGATGTAGTGGCAGTTGTTTATGGGACGTCACTGATGAACGCGATGTTGATGTGCGTACATTGGTTGTCGTCGGACGGGAAGATTGACGGGCGGGGATTGCTGATGGGTGGTTGAAGGTCATTGTATGCTGTTGAGGTGTGACCTGCGTTCGTTCCTGTGATGCAATCCGATGAGCAATCTAGTCCTTACTATACCCGACACACGGCCACATACCCGTCTACTTGGTTTCTCATCCTTCCTCTCCTTTTCCCATTCTCCTGGTAGGGGCGGCAGCCCACCTCCTACCGGTTGACTCTCAAATCGTGCAACTAGCGACGCAATCCGACCGGGTTGAGTAACAGGCATTTGGCCTTCCTCAGAAAAAGGAGCGATGCTGCAGCGAGGACAAGAATAAGTGTTAATTTATCTGGTGCTCCAGTCTCACATCCGTATTCCAGTTAATTCTTGGACATTAAATGCAATGTTATTTTTAGGTGACACCAACTATTTTTGAATACATCAGGGACTACTGGACAATGCAAACGTTGGCTGCAAGAGCTGGGAAATAGCCGTCAATACCCGCAAGCCACGGCAAGTTGCAAGGTTTTTTGGATTGCGGCTGGCGACTACATGGCGCACCGCAACATTGGAAGGCACCAAAAAGCTTAATCACCATGTAAACTACGTTGACGTTGGATGCTGCATGCCTGACCTAATAAATACATAGAGCGCTTGTCTCTATCGGAAAACGAGGTGATCTGCCGAATATTCATAATCAAAGACAGATCAAGAAGGTCCTGAATGAGTGATTTGGAATACTCATGAGTCTGTCAACCATGCGATCCTCTAGCGTTGGCCAAAGGTCAAAGTTAAACGCTGAAAGTCAACCAACATTACCAAATTGATTACCTAATGTTCCTCACGTGAGGGCGATTCACACACAAACGCATCTTGGTGCTGGGCTCCCGCGTCTTGGTTGACGGGGATCCTTCAGCAACCCTTCATCACGTAGTTCGCGGCAATCTCTTGGTATATCGTTGTACGATGACTACCAAAAGCCGTCCAACAAGCGAGGTCTTTGGATCGGGCAGTCCAAATGGGAGTATTCGTCGGGAAGGTCCAGGAGACAGCGCAACATCAAAGCAGCGAGGTATGGCCTCCCGTCAGTGTACATGACACACGTTTTGGAAGAGTAATGAAGGTGTAGTTTACTCACTACGATCCTTTCTCCTCTTAAGCGACAAAAAGGGCTTTGAAGACTTTTAACTACTCCAACACGGCCCTGGCAAACACACCAACGTGCGTGACTAGCGTCGCACTCTGTTTTCATTAAAGCTTGGTTGTTAACTTGGTTCCACTGATTTCAATGCAGCCTTCTTTTGGAGTCTCTGAACGACACGTTCACTGCCAAATCTCTCGACTTGTTTGAACCCATCAAGATTGGACGTAAAGTGAATCCCAAGAATGGACCAGAATCAACGAACGGCGTGTTTGATTCAAAAGTCCTCAGCAGGAATCACGCCGAAATATGGTTTTCGGACAATAAGGTGCGGTTGGGTACATTTCCACATGGTTTTTTATCAATTGGAAAATGGGACAACTGAGACTGGTCTTTTTGACAGGTGTGGATCAAAGATGTGAAGTCCAGCAATGGGACCTTTGTTGACGGAAAACGGTTGAGTGAAGAGGGCGTGGAAAGCGAACCTTTTGAGCTACACTCGGGTACCAAATTGGAGTTTGGTATTGACATCAATAATGAGGATGGGACTGGTATGAAGCTGTTGTTGCGCTGCTTCGAGGCACGAGCTAAGTCGATATCTTGTATCCAGTGATGTACAAGAAGGTTTCATGCAGGGTAACCATTCAACCGCCACCGCAATTGGGGACGCCGTCAACGCCCGCAGTGGAAACTGAGCCTGCTAAAATGTGAGGTCAAGAAACTTTTATTTTTGGCTCTTGGAGACGTATCTCACCGGCAGTATGAGTTTAGGACTGCCCCTAACGCTGCAAAGAAGCCAAAAGAGAAGGAGAACATTAATGTAATCCTTGAGGTACGCGTATTGTGATATGGAAACCCATTGTGTGAAAAAGCAAAGCTGAGCTATGTAACTATGATAGCGAGAGTTGAAGCAAGCCGACGAAGTGCATGCCGAGCTGGAGCAATTAAGGGAAAAGTTGGATGTTTTGGAGGCTCGCAAGTCGTCACCATTACCCTCACAAGCAGAACCGGTACCATCTACGGATCACTCTGCAGAGGTCTCAGCGGCCATCGCTGCCGCAACAGCAGATATGCTACGCCAGTTGGAAGAAGCTAGAGCGGAAGTGAAAACTTGGATGGATAAATACAATAACAATCTTCCTGGCTTGCAAGAACGTGATGCATTGCAAGAGAAAGCGATGCACTTGGCTGCTGAGGTTGAGCGACTCACCAAGGAAAGCCAGGTGATTCAGACATTACGAGAGGATGCGGAGCAGTGGAAGGAAAGAGCTACGAAAGCGGAGGCGGAAATTGTAGCGCTGAAAGAGGTATGTAGGCAGGAGCGCCTTCCCAATTCTTCGCTGTAGCCCAAATTCAACATTCGGATTTGATTACAGAGGGCCGCTGACGACTCAAAGACCTCGAAGCAGACGCAATCTTCCTCTCAACAGCTAAAAGCTCAGCTGGAAGCCGCTGAAATTCAGATCACCCAATTGAAGCAAGAGAAGAGTGAACTGACTGCCAACACAGAACGCATCTCCACCGAACTACAAACCCTAAAGAAAGATCTAACGACAACACAAAACAGTGCTGACGCGCAACGGAAGGAATACAATGAATTGGCAAAGGCCGTTGATGAACTCCGTGAAGCGAATCGTCTATTGAGAGAAGCGCAGGGGTCGCCGGCTACTTCTCCCGGTACGTCACCGACTTCTTCACCCAGTAAAGATCACATTGGCGACCATCACCACGGGCGCAAATCAGGAAGTATTCGAAGGAGAGGCAAACAGGCAGCAGCAGCGGCCGCGGCCGCGGCCATCGCGGATGAGGCAGAGAAAAAGGAGATTGCCCGCAATAGTTCACCAAAGAAGGAGCGTAGATCACGTTATCAGGTTTGTCCTTGTCATATTTTCCTGTGACCGTCATATTCTTACATGCCATCTACTTTCAGATGATGGCGATTATCGCGTTCAGTCTGCTGTCCGTAGGGGGTCTCGCGTATTTGAATGGTTTCTTTGCACCAAACTCACCGTTCCTTGCGGCCCTACGTGGGATGTGGTGATAGAAAAAATGTACCAACGTTCTTTTGTATATATTAATAATGGCCATGTGGCTCGAAGCTCGAAGCTTTGAAAAAATATACTCGTTGCATTTGATAGCAAATGCAGCGTCTGTCCACAGTTGCTTCAGAGTGATTGGATAATACTTGGAAAAATGAACTGCTTGAATTATACCAAAAACCTTTATCTTTTAATGTACGTAGAAAGAACTGAAAAAGAGAGCTATACATAAAGTGGGTGCCAGTGCAGATTTAAAATCCGCTACCGATCGACCCAGAAAAGTCATGCGGTCACATGCATCGAGCATGCTGCGCACCAACGGACGGGATACCAGCCACCTCACATAACCTATCAACCTCCTCAACTAGACTTTGGACCCTTTTCACCAACACCTTTTTGCGTGTTCGGATGATTTCAACAGCCTGGTCCATGACCTTTATAACATCGGGATCTATTTCTACTGTTTCGTCCAAAGACACATCTGATGAAATGTAGGATGGTAGGATAATATCCTGTGGACTGACGGCGTCGAGCTTTTCAAGGAGACGTACAAGCTGGTCGTCTATTTCGTGGAGGCGGCGGTCGACGGTGGATGTATTCATAAGAGGTATTAGCGGGGACATTGAGATGGAGGTTGTGGAGGAAGTTGGAGATGGGAGAGATGTCAAACTGGTAGTAGCAGACAAGGGGCTGTCTGGAGCGCTTGATTTTGGCGTCCGAGTGGCGACTCGCAACTTCTTTTCTACGCTGGTTTTTTGTCCCCGCTTTTTGGTTTGTCTAGATTCTGTAACTTGGAATGCACCTGTGGCTAACGCAGCCTCTGCCGCGGGAGCCACACCGTCCAATGCTTCACAAACTGTCTGAATCTGGGGTTCTATGATATCTACGCATTCTGCTTCAATACCCCTCAAAACATCCAACACCCTCCGTTTCCGTGCTCTCAGCTCTCTCCTAGATGCTGTTGAATTGTGATCTCTGATCAGGTATCTGGTGACGTAGGTGACTGCTACACCTGTTGCCACAGTGCAAGCTACTCCAACAGCAATTTTAAGGGAGAGATGAAGAAGCGGATGGTCGAACGCGATCATTTGGGATGATAATGATGCGCAGAGGTGATTGAGAGGTCCGAGTGACTTTACCGTAGTAGGGGCTGTGGCATGAGACGGGTACTGTACGCCGACAATCGAGCGGTGAGTCGGGAAAGCGACGAAGACCGCAGCGAAAGTGTCCAAAGATTCCCCGTCTCGACGGAAATCTCGGTCGTCTCAAAGGCGGAACCCGGCGATGCCCGCTATCAAGTTCTTTTGTTGAACAAGTTGAACTTTTTTGGAGTTTTGCTCATGTAAGCACAAGCCACACCTGACTCAGCCTGGATCGGTGTTGTTGAGTGTGCTTTTAGCAGCCATTTGTGCCATCTTGACTTGACTTGTCTTGGGTCCGTAGCCCGTCTCTACTACTGCTTGTGCCTTCTGTCCGTTCTGGATATTTGTGTAGGAGTTTGATAGCCATGTTTCCTATCGGCTACATTCGCGTTCCCCGCTCCACATGGTCGGTTGGGAGGCGGTTTTACTCGTCGGGTGAGGTGTTCGTGTTGTAAACTTTGTAACAAACCCGGTCGACTGACATTTATTAATGCTTATAGAGATTAAAAAGGTGGATACAAAGCCTGCATACTTGCCAATATCATAATGCCTAATGTTTCACTGTTGCCTTCTCCAGACCATTGGCTTTATCGGATTGGGTCAGATGGGCTATCCAATGGCACAGAATCTCCATGAAGCGACAAAGAACACTCACAAATTCATCATCTACGACAATAATGCGCGCGCTACGACAAACTTTACCAGCTCCAATTCTGGCACAAAAGCAGCGTCAACCCCGCGGGATGTTGCTGCAGAATCTGATATTCTTTTCACCATGCTCCCAGCCTCAGCGCACGTTCGCGCCGTTTATGAAGGATCTGACGGTGTTCTAGAAGGGGTTACTCCTGGTACTATATGCGTCGACTGCAGTACGATCGATGTGCGGACCGCGCGGGACGTCGCCAAGAACGTGGAAGCCAAGCAGGCCGTCATGTTGGATGCACCTGTGTCAGGCGGCACACCTGCAGCTCAAAATGGAACACTGACGTTCATGGTTGGAGCGCCTCAAAGCCAGTTCGAAGGTGTCAAAGAGTTCTTGCAGAAGATGGGCAAGAATGTCTTTTATTGTGGCGAAAACGGGACTGGGCAAGCCGCCAAAATCTGCAATAATATGATGCTCGGTATCTGCATGGTGGGGGCATCTGAGACGTTTAATTTGGGACTTCGCCTTGGCCTTGAACCTGAACTGCTGAACAAGATATTGAACACGAGTTCTGGCCGATCGTGGAGTACAGATACGTACCACCTGGTCCCAGGGTTGAATCCAAACGTGCCTGCAAGTAAAGATTACGAGGGGGGATTTGGAGTTTCTCTAATGGCAAAAGATTTGGGACTGGCTGTGTCAGCCGCCACCGAAGTAAAGAGCTCTGTTATGTTGGGTTCCGCCGCGGAGCAACTCTACAAGATTATTGCTGGAACAGAAGGGTATGAAAAGAAGGACTTTTCCGTCGTTTTCCGGTGGTTAGGTGGCGAAAAGATTGGAAAGGGAAAAGGAAAGTGATAAGGGATGCCTAGGAGAATGGATACATGGTTTACGGTTGCTCTAGAATCTGCGTATAGGATCTTTGGTGATCTCCCATAGAAAACTACAATTTTGGGTATTACGCTGCTCGTGCACTCTTATTTGCAACCTTTCTCTGGCGATGGCGATTGTCATACACCTGCATTTCGTACTTTTACGTATGATGCACTCTCCTGAATACTTCAAGACTGTCAAATTGCCGAGCATATCGCAATTACTAGGATCGTCATAGCTGAGCAAATGCAAATGTACGGGGGGCTGTGTAGTTGATTTTACCCTTTTCGTGACTGTGCATGACAGTTATGGTCAAGCTACCAGTGAGACTCTCGAGTCTGAACACCGAACGAGATCACCAAATCGAACACGACAGAATCCAGCACACAATGTCACAGCAACAGCAACAGATTGATCCCATGCAAATCCCGCTGCCTCAATTGAAGGCTATGCACAATACCATTGGCGAGGTACTTTCCACGTCCAAAACCGTTCTTGATCCTCGCGGCTGATCATAAGCGACATCCTCCTGCACGTGTAGGAAATTGAGACGTTCACAAACTCTTTTGCGCAACTCAAACAAGTCCATGCCAAGTATAATGACTGTATGGAGAGTCTTGGATATATGACGCCAAAGAGTGAAGGTATGGAAGTGTAATTCCGAACGCAAGATCGTTTCGAAAGATTCACCACATTGTGTCTCTCGATCAGGCAAAACGCTCCTCGTCCCGCTCACAAGTTCAATATCCTTCAACCTTTATGCTTTGATCGTTTTTTATTTCTTTTAGCAATATCATGTGTCCTTAACTCCTTCCACACTTGTATGTACCAGGAGAGCTCGCAGACTTGGAAAACGTGATACTGGATGTTGGAACCGGGTATTACATCGAAAAGGTACGTGAACTCTCAACGATGAATTCATGTTTGTGTATCTAATTATCGAAATTTGGTTAGCCAATCCCCGAAGCAAAGGATTATTACAAACGAAAGATCGAATATGTCAAGAGTAACCTTGATAAATTGCAGGAAACCATTAATGATCGCCGAAAGCGGTATGGAGGTATGTTTTCGAACCGTTTCGATCGTCAACTAGAGTTGAGGCGTCTGGATGTGCCTTCTCACGCAATTGTTTCCTTTGCAGATTTGACAGATTTGATCAATTTGAGGGTAGCTTTGCTACAGAAGGAACAAGGGCAGGCTGGGAAGGCTCAGGCTTAGTAACGTAAACTGTATAATATATATCCTAGAAGCAATTTGAGCGGACAAGATATACCGAGGTTTGACCAATATGCTCAAGGTCGGGAAGGAAGTCCAGCCATTGAGAAAAGATGTCGTGGAGTGTGGGTTGGCTGGAGTACATCGTAACAAGATCTCTACTCGAGTTGCTCACTTCTCATCCAGGCGACCGAAATGAGTTTATTGCAAGGTACAGATTCGTATGATTATTGATAAGGAAATCAAAGTACTCGAAGAGCACTAAAGGCATTAAACTAAAGTATAATACAGGAATTACTGAAATAACGTGAAAGTGAACATGATGTCCTACCCCTCTTGTCGGGGTACGACTTTGACGGATAACATCAGCCCGTCTCCATCAGGAGATATCAGGACGTCTGATGGCCCTGTTTCATAGTAGGAATGCCGTCTGCTAGCGGGTGAATCCAAAAGGATGACATGTAGTTCCGGTTCGGAAGGCGCTGATTCGCCAAGACCGTAACGAGGGTGTACCGCAACATTTCCCGCTCCCAGGATTTGGAAGCGAACATTCTTGGGAGCCCTGGCATTCCATTCAACCAGTATCCGATTGACCTCCGACTGCAATGACATCAAGGGCTTAGTAATCATTGGACCGCTTCCTCAAGACCCATGTCCGCCACTCACCTCAACAGTATCCAAAAGATCAGCAAACCATGCTCGCGCAAGTATAGGTTGCAGTGCCCATAGAGCCACCGTCAGCGCTACACAAATCCCACCCGCCCAATACGCATTTTCTTTGATTGCTAACCACAAGCTCAGCGCGCATACAATGGCACCGAACGTCGCCAACAAAAGACAAAATCCGACGTATTTACTACGTCGACGATCATGCGCTGATCGAAGGAGAGCATTTAGAGCGGCAACATGGGAGCGGTAGAGAGGGGAAGGAAGGGTATCTTCAAGAGCAGACGGTAGGTCAAACGAGAATGTTGGCGGCGTGGTCAATGTGGCAGGAGTGTTTGGATATATGACAGTCGCGGCACCATCACCGGTGATTATTCGTTGTGGGGCTCGACGGGGAGGTCTTCTTGGCTGTTGTCATTGGCGTGGACAAGAAATGACCCTGTGATCTCAGTAGTTGGACATATCGTCGAAATTGCACTCATTTTGAACGCACCTGCTCGCTCCCCAAAAGCGGTGAGAACTCCAACCTGTCGCTTGCCTCATCCTCACCCACACCGAAATGCTCCAAAAATCTTTGCCAGCTTTTTGGGCGTTCGCGCTGTGGCATGTTGGGATGAGGGCCAGCGGGTGGTGGCGGAAGGTCAACCATCACTTATCCAGAATTCTCCAGCCCACCAGAGCCAGTGGTCACGTGATTTATTATTCACAGCTTGTGACGGTCTTGCAGGTAGTTTCTCGTACGGCGACATTACCCCACAAATGACTCATGCTGGCTTAGCCAATTGAAACGCTGCTGATTCCCCCAACCGATCTTTTGCCCTCAGGCACTCAAAAGGCCCTTCGACAATGCTTCATATCTCTTGACGAGGAGCAAAGGATACCTTTCACGGAAGCCATGGCCACCCCTCAGGGTGACAGTACAAGCGGGCCCGAGGTGCAGACATATGCCATTGAGCTTGCGGATGATGCTTGCACTATTGGACCTAAAGACGCTGCAGACGAGGATGCGAAACTTGTCCGTAAATGGTTCTACTGGAATATTGGCTGTGTGGCTCTCGCTTGGGCGCTGGGTTACATTGTCCAGTTTATTCATGTCTCTGGTATGTCCCTGACTCGCCGGGTGTAAATACCGACTTATGTACTGACTTTTCATTTTCAAAGCTACCGTGGTCATTGCCAAAAAGTTGATCGGGAATGATCAGTTATCTACCATTCCCTTGGGCTTCATGTCCTTTGGAACTATTCTCGCTTCATTTCCATTATCACTACTTGGCGAACGGTAGAGTGAATACATGGCTTCAATATGTCGAACTGCTAACATCTCTTAATGTCGTCATGCTCAGCGTCGGTATGCGGTGGTCATTTCTGTTGGCGAGCTTTACGGGTCTTGTTGGGGCATTTGTGGCATTTTCAGCCTTGTATATTGGATCCTTTCCCTTACTTTGCACTGCGCTCTTTTTACAAGGCGCTTTCATGGCTGGTACTCAAGTAAGACTCTCTATTGATGATCCCGTCTCGTTATCTGCCTTCCTAAAATGTGGGGCCTATTAGCTCCTTAGATACACAGCGAAAACGCTGTCCCCACCTGAATATGTCTCCCGTGCCCTCTCCGTTATTGTTGGCGGGGCGGCTCTGGGCGCCGTGGTAGGACCCAACATTGCAAAATATACCGAACATACAATCCATTCTGTCCAATATGGTGGCGCATATGTAGTCATGGGAGGTTTGAATGCCCTTATGATGATTGCTATTTTGTTAATTGTAGGTATATTAAGAGTTGTCGAAGAATGTACCATCTTGGCTAATATTTTCGCTCATTATAAAGCGCTTTCCACCACGAAGAAGCGAGGTGACTATCAAGACGCCAACAGAGGGCGTGGTAGCATCTAGGGAGGAAGAAACACGATGGACGATTGTCCGCCGTTTCCTTCGAAATGCAAACTCTCAGATTGCACTGATTGCCGGGACAGGTACGCCATGCTGACTACCATATAGAAAGCGTTAACACTATCTCATAAACTGTATTGCAAAGTGTCGTACATGATCATGGTGCTCTTTATGGCACCAGTACCACGTAAGTCGTAGCCACATAAGAGACGTTTTACGCCGGGCACTTGTCAATTAATCTCTGCAACGGCAGTATCCATGCTCGACAATAACTACACATTCCAAGACCAAGCAAACGTTCTAATGAGCCATATTTTGGGAATGTTTGCGCCGTCGCTTTTCACTGGATACCTTATTGAGAAAGTTGGCACGATGAGGATGATTGCGCTTGGATTTGGCTTTTTGATGATTGGTGCAGGTACGGTTTAGGGGAACTAATCTGAGTTGTGTTGGCTCAATGTGCTGAATTATCTTTGCTTCAATGCACGCGTCCAGGCACCCTACTCGGCGGCCAGACCCTTGCCATCTACTTTATCGGTGAAACTTTTGTCGGACTTGGATGGAACTTTGCGTACGTTTCCGCCTCCGCACTCATCACAACTCTCTGCAAGACACGCAAAGAATCAACAACGATACAAGGACTGAATGAAACAGTAATAGCCATCTCTGCCGCTATATTTACATTAGCTAGTGGGGCCATTTATAGAGGCATTTCTTGGAATCCGTTATTATGGTTGGGCTTGGCTTTTTTGGGCTGTAGCTCTTTAGTGATGATCGGGATCTGGCTGGGGGCAAGCAGGTGGGATTGGAAAGATCTAGACAGTACGACAAAGGGCGTTCGGACTATAGTATGGCGGCCGGAAAAAGCGCCATCTATGGCCTGATTTGAGTCTATCCAATTGTTTAATTGTTCTTTAAGAAACCTGTCAATCCAGTTGTCCAGCATCATTTTGAGAATCTTGTCAAGGAGTACTTATTCATGTATTCGGCGCGGATGACAAGCGGTCGATCGGCAACGCTGTCTCCGTCTTGGATCACCGTTCAGACTCAGTTGCATCCCGCTACAGACAATCTAACCCTACATTACATCCATAGTTTGTATTTTCGTGGAAAGAGACATCTTCTATCTGGACGATGAGTTCACCCGTCCAGCTCATCAGTGGTAATTTGATTCCATACCTAGATTTTTGGCTCGTACTTCATATCGCACCTCATTTTCACATATAAGACAATTCGAACCGCTCGTATGGTGAATAAATCGACATGAGTTGTAACAAGTTATGAGACATTGGCGAATCAATTAGGTTATGTGCTTCAAAATAGAGTTTACCTAATGAGCATGAGCGCGTCCATATTTATCAGAGCTCGCATGGTTTAGTGGCATAACGTCGCCTTCACACGGCGAAGGTCCTCAGTTCGATCCTGAGTGCGAGTACTTCGGTTTTGCACATCGTATTTTTTGCTTTTGATTATGCCTGTTACGCTGGTATGTAATGCGTAGTTAGTTCAAAGGGAGTTCGGATGTGGTGCGAGACCTCTATCTGTCTGTGTACCCGTTTTAGACAGCACTGCTTGTAAACAGCTGTGATATCCAGTTGTGACAAATCTTGCCAACTGTGCGTTGCTTCTATGACATGACATATACTTTTCTGTCCATGGAGCCTATAAAGCACCCACAAAGAATATTCATTTTTCCTATTTTTTTCTCATTCCCAACATTCAGGTTCTACAGATCGCCATTGGATCTCTTGGCTAGGGCTGCAGATGAAGGGGAAAGTTCCCGAGATCACACCTAAAGTAAAGTATGGCCACAGATGGCTTCCTCCAAGCTCTTTTCTTTGTAATTTCCAGCTATCCGTAACGGTTGGTTAACATTTGGGATATGGTTGGATTAGCGAAGACTAAGGTGGGCTCGACCATATATGGGGTTGCGAGCCAAAGACCTCAATTTCGGCATAACAGACTGTCAAAAGACTGCAAAGGATGTGCAATCAAACGATGGAAAAAGGATTTTTAATAAGCAGGAAACCTAAACTTTGGTATCCAGTGACCCCGAAGAACAAGAATAGGTCCTAAGGCCTCGGATTTAGGAGGTTTAAGGAATGTATTATTTATTTTACACGGAGGACGATAGAAATCAAACTAGTCTTGCATATCCCCCGGTTCTGAAGTGGTACCCGTCTATCTGCACTTGCGCCTGAGTCGATAATTCTATTAGAATCCCAAAGTGTCCTACCTGGGTAGTTCAGGCTTCAGAACGGAATAATGTCGTCCCATCCGTGGGACCACAGGTCATGTCACGAATTGAACAAGAGCGTTAGCAGTCACATATTGAATCGTTAACACTAGTAAGGATTCTGTGGTCAGGGCCCCGCAGGAATGATCTGTAATATATTGTATAGACGATTCAGGATAAATGATCATGTCGGCATAGTGCCGACTCCTGTATTTATAAAATTCTGTGAAGCGTCAGTTCAAATATCTCGAAATCTTTGCGATCCACCATCTACTCCAATCGCTACATGACCACAACAACCAAGAGTCCTATAAAGAAGATAAACCGACTTTTTTTTTGTATCATTTTGTTCAGGGTTACCGGATACCCAAGACGCCCATTATGGGATATCCAATCGTTAAAATAATGACCCAAGCAACAAACGACGATGGTATCCCAACTCGCAGAAAATCGCTGACATGCACCCAAGGCGTGCCCGTTCGGTCCTCCAAGGAAATGGCATTCATATTTGGAAAGGATGAGACGGGAAGACCCATGGCACCAGAGCACATTAATGCTAGGAAAAAGGGCAATTAGCAGCGGTCAAGATATTCTTCCCATGAATAGATAGCCACTTACCAGCCGCCATGACCATGGTATTCGGTCGTGGCTCGGGTAGACCAGACCCAACCTTCAAAATAATGGGAAGGATAATTAACGCTCCCACTGTATGACTGATAAATGTAGTGACCACAAGAACAAGTCCGGAGAAGAGGGCCAGGCAAGCGAATGGCGATAAGCCTTCTAGATGTGGCGTAAGTCCATTGGCAATCTCGGCTAACAGGCCGCTGGAGTCAACGGCTTTGCCCAAAGCAATGCCTCCCATCGCAAGCATGACAACTGTTGGTAGCATTCAGGTGGTCAGTATGAGGTCCTGACAGCCGCTTCTCGTCTCTCTGACTTACCAGACCACAACATACTGTTCCAGTCGTCCTTTGTCAGCATGCCAGTCCCGTAAAACGCAATAATGGGGAAAATCGCAATCACCCCCATATCTCCAACAACGCCTTCCACAGCACTCTCGGTACACCATAGAATAATGGTCAAAATGGACACAGCGATAATGTACCATTGACTTCGAGTCAATGGATGTTCCGCAAAGTACGAATGTCCAAATAATTCCGGCGGTGCAGCACCTTCTTGCGGCGATGGCTTGTACATAAACAAGAGAAGCGCCCAGATGATCAAGTCAATGGTAATGACGACAGGGAGAGCCACAGAAAACCACTCTAGCCACGATGGTTCGGGATCCATGGTGCCGATAGCAATGATGTTTTGGGGTGAAGAGATAGGAGAGGCCATGCCACCGACATTAGCGGCCATAGCGATTCCCATGATCAAACAACGTGCGTATGGAGACTTTTGCGGAAGATTGCGCAGAATCGGCTAGTAGTCGTTACAAAGAACCGTTAGCCGCCCTGTGATTGAGCAAAATCATCAAAGAATCCGACCCACCGTGATCAAGGAAAAGCAGAGCACAGGGGCAGCCACATTTGAAATCCACATGCTGGCAAAAGTGCTGACAAACATGTTGGCGAGCAATACCCATTGCGGTTTGCTTCCAGCCTTTCCAAGCACAAAGGATGCCAGTCCCTTGGCAATATTATGCTTGCTCAATGCAGCAGCGAGGGAGAATCCTCCTAGCAGTAACATAACCACAGGCCCGAACATATCCGAGAAGATCTTTTTGGCGGCGTCTTTTGCGGGGAGCCGATGGTACTCGGGGTGGCCGTCAGGTCCAGTCGCCGGAACACGCAGTACTCGGAAGATGACAACTAGGAAGGGAACAAGGATGGCGGTAATGAACAATGGGAGAGCCTACACAATTCATGGGTTGACTCCAATACGAAAAAGTGCAAAGAAATCCTGTTCTCACCTCAGATGCCCAAAGCATCGATGCAAATATCAAGATTGCGAAACAGTATCGTTGTTCAAGTGTTTCAAAAGAAGGATAGAGGAGGAAGAAGATAAACACGGCAAGGCAAATAAAAATTTTGAGCAATTGTGTCGAAATTGGTGGGATTACGAGCTTGCGGTCGCATATTGTTATCTCTCTCTTTTTTATTTGCTCTTCTTTGGCTACCGCGGCTTTTGGACGTAAGCCAATCGTCTCCCGCCTACGTTCTTGCTCGATCATATCTTTCCATATAGTGTTCCTCTCCCAGATGATGCGTTCCCTTAGGTATCCTTTCAGCTCCGTCAGTGCAAGTCCCAATTTGCCGTCGGTATGTATTCTAGCATATATGCCAACGACTCTATCGATCATGTGATTAAGCCCATCTTTCGTCTGAGGGCGGAACGGGAGCGCCATGTCCACTTTTGTCGCCATATATTGTCGACGCAGCTTATTTGCCGTCACTTTATCGTATTTTTTCAAGATTTTGCTGAAGCCCGTGTAATTTAGCTCGACGTAATCTTTGAGCTCACAAAGAGCAATGAACAAATCCGTTGCACGCTTGGTAAACTTGTTTCGCATCCCTTTTAACGACTTGAGTGACCATACGAGAGATGACACATGCTCGGTGGAAGGGGAGCCGCCTGCTTCGTCAATACCAGGACGAGGAACTGAATTCCATCTCCGGGGCCACGTGCCACGGGTGGGCGATGCTGAAGATGATGAAGGCTGTTCAGAAGATGGCTCTTCAACGACAACGGGCCATCCCATAGTTCCTGATCACGCTCGACACCTGCCACATCCCCCTGAAGTGCCTCAACTTCGGCAAATAGCTCTCTTTCCTTCCGTGAGTAAAAGCTTGATATTTTTTCCAGCTGCTCGTCCAGAGCGCGTGTGAAAAAGGCATTTCCCTCTTCCCCAGAAAGCTGTGCCAAGAGCGGTCGATGCTCTTCGATGAGCAGAGGCGTTTCTCCCTCTCCTGCTTCAATATCGTGGGGAGATGCTGGGAGCTGACTTACTCCCAGCATTGCCTTTTCGATAGCATAGATAGTTTTTTTTAGCTGTGAGTAAGCACTATTGCAGAAGCACAAAGTGACCAAGTCAGAAGCAGTCAGAACAGATGAATCATTACATGTAACATACAGATAATCTTCCTGCCATTCAGGAGACGCATTGAGCTGTATTGAGTGCGAAAACTTCATAGTTCTAAACTCTACAAGGGGAAGATCTTCGGTAGAATTGTCCGACTGATGCTGCACTGGCGAATAACGCCAGGTTCGAAATGGCCAAAAGGAAAACAACTTTTATACAGGACCGTGAGATTACTCTCACGAAAGGTAAAGGACAAGTCCCTTGGTGCTTTGCCCGAGGAACCTTGATTTGATCTTTGGGCAAGGCGACTTCAAAATGGCTGTCGAAAACAAGAAGGGCGAAGGGTCTCTCATAATCCACGTGACATTTGGCGACCAAATGGAAATTCCAGGTTGATAACAGCCGGCCAGCGATGGCAGCCAGGAAATAAAAGGTATTTTCGGGATGCCAGTTGGAAATGACCTTCACAACTGCTTAGATCTTCCAAGGAATAGCGTCCTTTAGGATAGTCGGGTAATGCAAACTTTCCTTAAAAGGTTGTCAGGGACCAAGCAGGTAGATGAAGCTGGTAGCACAGCTGTTCTTGCGCCAACTCTAATGGGTTTATTGAGTATATTTTGTGAACACAAGTGGGCGAGGTAGCAACGTTACGTCGTCTAGTTCTAATGAGGCACAAATCTACATATCTAGATCACATTGCACTAACTCTAGAGTCCGTACTGACTGGCATCGTAAACGCGCCGTCCTCCATAGTAATTCTCATTCAACCCTACGAAAAGTGTAAAGCTTGAGCAAGGCAATTTGCACCATTCGGTCAGGGAGATACTT